ATCACGCTGTTGCAGCAGCACTGACACCGAAATTTGTTATTTAGAGGCAGACGAAAATGTGAAGGTCTATTTATTTACCAAATCCTCACAGGTTCATCTGGGTTCAGCGCAGATCCCAGCAGGGGTGCCAGACACAAGAGGGTGGGCGGATGCCAATCCTCACTGTTGTCTTCAAATGAATAGAGGAACTTAAGTGACCTCAGACGAGCCAGCGTTAGGGGAACTGTGAATGGCTGATAGCAGCACCTAGCAACATCTCCGTAAGACAAGCATGCAGTGTCCTTCAATCGATGCTGTGTGAAAATATTAACGCTTATGAATTAGAAGCAGATACCGACGTAAGTTCAGTCAGTGATGTAAGAATTAAATCTGGATGTTCACTGATTCATAACTGCAGCAAAATGACAGGAGAGAAAGAAAGAAATCATAAGTACTGGCAAGAGTTTGACTTTTTACAATAAATATCAGTGTTTAGGTTGTGATAACAGTATACAGTCTTCAAATTACATATGTAAGACTTTTTAATCTTTATGTATCTATTACACCAGCTCATGACTTTCTTGAAAACTTCTCGAGAGTGAGAAAGATCAAGTCAGCTAACAGCTTAGAGAAATCCTTGAAGGCTCTACAGATGAATGTCCCCGACTGACACCACTATCATTAAAGCAGAGGGGTGCATGAAACAGTATGAGTGTAACTCTGCACTTCATGAATCATCTGGATTACAAGGGTGTTGAATGTTTACCGAATTTGTCCAGCAAGTGGCAGCAGAGGGTTGACTTATGGATACATGTCATTTTTAACACTATAAGGTGATTTTTTTTTAAAAAATAACAGACAAATCAGCATAAAACTTTCCCATTTCATATGAAGGAAGAATACATTTTAGTTGAGCTGATGTATTGTCCTAGTTTCCACCCCAATATTTTTCAAAATTAAGAAGAGGACTTCTTTCAGTTACCAAAAATGTTCATCCTGGACGGTCAAACTCTCTTATGGATATCTGATTTTGATTTTAACAAAGAGGAACCGGAATAACAAATATAATATCTGTCCATTAAATGTCAGTGGGCCACACAAGACATCTCCAGTTAAATTCAGTGAGTTAAATAGCTTTTAACCCACAAACAGATCTCTGTATTACATTTAAAGCAATCTGCAGAATAAGACTTGAGAGTTAAGGCTTTGGTCGTTTTCCAGTAATAGTAAAGTCATGATGTTTTTTAGGATACACAATTAAAGATATCTGGAATGATAAATATTTCATTTTTAATATCCTATAATGAAATAATGACCAGTAACAGCTGATCTCCTAGAAAGCATTCTCATTCAGATACCTAGAAAGATCATTTAGGATAAGATGAATTGAATTACAGAAATCCAGCTGAGCTTTTAGGACCGATCTCGTGGCGTCCACGGTTTACGTCTGTCATGCTCCATAATACCACGTGCACAAATGGCCTACGTCAAATGCTTTTTAGGCAGCTTGATACGATTACATTTCTTTGAGCATCCCAGAGAGTGGAGCATGACTAAAACGAAGGCTAGATCGTTCAACAATGGTACGTGTAAGCTTGAGTTAGCCAGTCAGGCTAATGTCAGATACTTTGAGCGTTCAGTCACTACGAAAGAAACACAAACGTCAAAAGCCTAAAACATGAACAAGACTGCAAGAACTAAGCAGGGTACTTGCTGAAGTTAAAATTAGTGCATAATATTTCATATAACAGAATACGAGGGTTTGTAAATCCTTCATAGCCTATAGTCAAGTGACAAGACAATTCATATGTTGCGTGCTCACTTGAAATTTGATGGGCCAAATGTGTCAAAACAGTTTACATCTCACAGCTACGCTCAATGATACCGGTACAGATTTAAAGAATCTGGAGATACAGCTGATACAGGATGGCTGTGATTTCATTGCATAAAAAAAAAACAGACATGACTCAGTGGTGGAAATCACTGCACAGGCTTGAAATGACACCCATAATGACAACACGAAGAGGAAACCAGGAGCACTTCCAACATCTCTGAGCTGGAGCCTATTTGAGAAGGACTGAGGCAAAGCGGAAACTTTCTTCGAGTCTTACAAATCAAACTTTGCAATTCTTTTGGAAATCATGGATACAGGAAGGGAGGGGCAGGCATCCTAAACCCAAATTTTACACCCTTGGTGATGGTTTTAGATACATTTGAAAGTACACCAACACACCTTCTACTTAAACACCCGTCAGATATTTCCAGTGAGTGTCAAACGATCACCTGTCTTCCTTTTCACCTCCTCTCCTCTGACTTGAATCTGGTGCTAACCTGACAGCACAAACAGGAGCGGCTTCATGTCGCCTCTTCAAAAAGACTTTCTACGTTCATCAGAGGAGCTGCAAAAGGTGGGAAAAGACAGCTTCAATGTGACAAATGATGACAAGCAGAACAATATTGTAGGATGAAAATATAAAACTCACATGTTCTCTTTATTTGCTGTATATAGATAGATGTACACCACTGGAGATTTGGATAAAAGCACACATAAAAAGCTCATGTATGTAGAATTTCAACACATGTCCGGAAATGGAAAAACAAAAAAACGGAGGAGATGCCAGATTACAAATAGATAAAAAACTATCCAAATTCTATGGTTTCTAAATGGAAATCATCACGTGTTGAAGTCTGTGCCACATACCAACTGTCTGCAGTTGCTAATAACCTCTGTATTCTGTACACTGAGTATTTTGTACAAAATATGAAATCTACCATTTAATAATAGATATAACATAAAATAAAAGTACATTATATGTACAATATTAGATGACGCCTTCCAGTATGAGCCGATACTAGAAGACCGTTCATTTTTCACAAAGAAAACAAAGCTTATGTAAAATGAAGAGAGCTCCAAAGAAGCCAATATTAAAGCCATTTCAAGAAGAGCAACAGTCACCAACGGGACACTCCTGTATGACGACCAATCGGTTCGCTTTCTTTCATCAAATCAGGGACAGAAGGGGATGAGGTGTTTGTAAAATCCTTTGGTGAATGTTGTTCTTCGAGACAAACATGAAGAGAATGGAAAAAAACGTGACAGTATTATTTACAATTTGCACATTCAGTTTAAACACTGACGAGAGGTTCTGCAGGCAAAGGAAGAGAATAAAACCACAACAAAAAGAACTCGCAAGCATCCAGGAGCAGACCAAACAGATGTCCACGTAACAAAGTCCTACAGGAGGAGTAGGCTTTCACCAAACGATGGGACTTCACAGCCAGGGTGCAGGTCTGGGCAGAGGGGGTCGAACGATGTCACAAATATAAGGTGGAATGGGACAGTGAGGGGCGTCACAATGGGAGGTGATTTCCTCTCCGATGGAGGCTAGCGCTTTAATCGACAGGCACCCAAAGGAGGTGACCCCGCACACCACGACAGACAGCATCACGGATTTCTTTTCTTTTTTACTAGTTTGTGTTTTTTTTTTTTTCAGTTGTGTTTCTATTTTCTTTCAAGTTTTATCAGGAAGTGCTTCGTAGCCGAAGTGGTTTGGGGCGACCACTCTCTGCTTCTCACGACAAAAAATCCAAGCTTCAATGAGACGTATTTTCAAAACCAATGGTACATTTTTTTTCTTTCTTTTTTTTTTTACAATGATGTGGCATTTGAGCTCATGCTGCTACTCGATTCTCTGTTGAGCAATTTTCCCCTCAGACTATAAAAGGCACTGTGAAAAGAAAGGCTCATGTTTGACCTCTACAAACCAAACACACCTTGAGTAATAAGCAGTCTAATCTTCGACAAGTGTTTTATAAATAAAAGGGTCTTTGCTTGAGAAGAGTAGAAAAAAAAAGCCGTCACTATCACGATCACTATCGCTCGCAGCCCCCCTCCATTTTCACTTCTCTCGACACACAGGAACATTGTGGAAATCCAAGACGAGCAACTACATCTCTCTGACCTCTCACAGGCCTCACATGAATGACAGCGACTTGTACTGAATGCTAATTGCTATGTTTAACACGCCATGGCTGGATGTGAACGGGCAACCGAAAATAAATCCCACAGTCCTGGCTCATGTAACAGGCTGGACTCACCCAAATGACCATTCAGACGGACCCAGACGTGTGATTTACCCATTGATGGAGCTGCTAAAACATCCTGCAACCTGTTTGAACTGATTGTTTACATAATTAAAAGGATCCTTTTTAAGAGAGGGACTAATTAGCGAGAGAAGTTGGCACTAAACTAAGATAAACAAAGATCTGCCAGCGCTGCCTGTTGAACACTTTTAATCATGATCTTCTTCTGAGTGAATGATCAGTACATCTTCGCTGCTGATGGCAACATTGACTGCTAATAGAGCGATTTTCAAACAGAACAGTTCCGAAGATACGGAGTGTGCGTTCACAAAGAGGGAAGAAATACGAGGGCCCTGTGATTTCCGCGTTAACGGAATCGCGGACGGAATCGCGAACGAATTAAACTGAAGATGTCCTCCGCAGAGAGTACAATAAAGGGCTCATATTAATCATACAAGCACTTGACATCTATAGGCAAGAAGAGAAGACAGCTCACACACACGCACAATCTCACACACACTAACACACACTCATGCTCACAAAAAAGAACAAAACACCTGAGAGAAATGACCAGAAGGGGGCAGCAGAGCACCCCGAAACACAACAGGTTGAGAGGACAGGAAGTAAGAGTAACGAAGGGAGAAAGAGAGATGACAACACTGGGGTATCTTGGTTGAAGTTCAGGGTGCGGTGAGTGTGCTGGTCTTGAAAGACCATCCCAGCACCAGTTCTATTGACCCGATGAAGCCCAACCAGGGCTTAGATGTGCGGCTGTAGACATTTTCTGTGTCGTGTGGAGCTGGGACTGTTCGGTTCTGTGTTTGTGCTGGACTTGGACTGAGATACCAGAGTCGTGTTGTTGTGCTGGCCTCCGTGGGCCTGTGGTTCCTCTGTGGATGCTGCTGGTTTTTTTTAACGGTGGATCTCGGGGTGATCTCTTAGTGGCCGTCGTGCGTCGTCAACATCTCCTCGGCCCTCCTGTGCAACTCCAACGCTGTGACAGTGCAGATGTCCTTGGGGAGCTCCGATTTCCTCCGCATCAATGGGCGCTCCCTTCGCTGATCTTTTTGGATCTGGACATGTGGAGACAAGATGCATGATGAGTGAAATTTTACATGATGCGAGGGTTAGGTGAGTGCCAACATGACTAAGGGCGCGTTCACACCATCCTCGTTTAGTCCGGTTGAACCGAACCCTGGAGCGTTTACCCCTTTGGTGCGGTTCGTTTGGGTCGGTGTGAAGGCTGACCTCAAATTCTAGTGCGGACCAAATAAACGAACTCTGGTCCGCCTGAAGAGGTGGATCTCGGACCGCTATCAAGTGAACTCTGGAGCGGTTCATTTCTGGTGTGAACGTCATCCACACCAATCACAGGAAACGCACCTAGACTAGGTTGTGAAATAAATGTTGTCCGCTCACCTCACTTGTCCCAATTGACACCAGAGAGAAAATGTATTGTGGTAGGCTCTCATTTATACCTGTCGCCGTCTCGTCTTCATCCGTCTGTTGTTTGCAGCACGTCTACTCCAGAATGAATTAATTAATGCCGCAGTTCACGCTTGCTGGCTAACGAGCCATTCATACACACGATCGACTAGCGTCTATTGATACGCGCTCCAGATGAGTAGCAAAAGCAAAATCAGCCTACGATGCTCCATGACAGGCAAAGACAGCAGAGCGGGGTTTGTATTCCCGCATAAACTAATGACCAATAACCGAACGATATTCGCGGCCACGTGACATCCGGTTCTGCTTTCTGGAGCGATTGAGTTTGTCCTTCATGAACGCAAACTGGACCACTTAAACGATCCAAATAAATGTATCGTCTTGCCTTGGATTCGAATCAGGAAACGGACCTTTCGGTGTGAACACGACCTAAGCGTAGGATGTTAGGATGACTTGTATAGACACATAAATAACTTTAATGGAGGTAGATGCTCAAATACTCTTAGTTTGTCCTATACTCCACTTCCTCTGACTATGAACAATCTCCTTGATGGCAGGCGTTCACGAGACGGTGACTCTGCCTCAAGTTCAACATTCACTGAAGGGGTTCTGAATATTTAAGCTTGGACCGGGTTCAAACTTCGATTGATGTTTCGGCTCAGCTTCATTAATTCCATTGGAGCTGTTCTGACTCATTTAACATGCATACACCCATCTATTGGCAGCTTATTTTTGATGGTGATCAGAATCAGAATCAGCATAATTGACCAAGGACATGTGCATGTACTACAAATTGGACTTCTACCGTGCTTGTGCGTAAACATCAATAAACTCTGGCAGGCCAAAACACAAACCAAATATGGCGAGCTTTGATTTAGATGAATGCAACCGGGCATCTTTGGGTAAGCTATCACTGTTCTTTAGAATTTTTACCTCTTTTATGATAAACTTAGGTACATATGAGGAAGGATTTGGGCCACATTAGAGGGAAAAATGAAAATTTAGAATGAGATTAAGTTGACTGGCACCTTTCTTTAAGCATCGACCACAAATTCCCTCCTTCTACATGAAGACCTCTTCTCTAAAAGTCACTCCTGACCTGTGTGGCTTCTTCCTCTACAGTTTTCTTAAGCAGGCTGACGTCGTCGAGCAGCGGCCCGTCCGTTTCCATGTCAATCGGACCGTCCGGGCCTACAGAGTCAATGTACATCAGAAACTGCACAGGTGGAAAAAGAAGGAGAAAAAGGGACATATTTTGTTTTCATATCATTCCATGTCGTTGGTAGAACTAAATGCCTCTTTGCTCTTACACCACCATCAAAATCCATGAAAACTCACTGGGTGTTACTTCAGCTCTCGCACTGGGATTGGTATTTATTTTAGTTACATAAGCACAAAAAAATTTCTGTGAATTTATCATCAGCCTCTTACATTTGCAGGAGAACGGGACACGGAGTCTAAGCTCACCTGCGGGTTCGACTTTGCAAGATTCTCGATCTTCAGCCACGCTTCTTCTCTCTCTTTCCATTTGGCTTTCTCTCTGAGGCAACGAAAAGAAAACCATTAGATGTTGCTTTAAAACAGAAAAAAAGACTCAAAGTATTCACGCTGACTTTCTTGCATTCAGGAGTTTGTGTTTCAACCTATTAAACCTATTTTGCACTTCTAATAATGGCTGTGTATCTTCCCTAATGTTAGCCGCTTTGTGATGAGAGCAGCAAAGTTGTAGCTCTGCTGAAAACTTACTTGCTCTTCTCGGCTCTAAACTGTTGGGTGCAGTCGTCAAACAGCTTCTGGTTCATCTCCATGAAAAGTTTAAGAGCGTTGTAGATCAACCCATGGATCGTCCTGCAGACAAAGATCACTTTATTCATGCAGTTTGTATTTAAAACATAATATCAAACGGATATCAAACAGATGGAGACGTGAGATTGTTTGCGTTTTGACTCACTTGTTCCAGTGGGTCTTGGAGTTGCGGTAGAGCGAGGGGAACATAATGGGCAGGATCTTGGCGGCGTTGTCGCTGATCAGGCTCATGATGTACTCATTGTTCCAGTAGTACAGAGCCCTTTCTGCCACCTTTATATTAACACACACATTTAAGTTCTGCATATCCAGGAGAAGAACTACTAACGGTAAATTTGCAATGTAATGAAAAACAAACCTGGAAATGTGGGCTGGACACACACTTGGCCAACTGTCTGAAGAGAGGCTCCATGACTTTGACGAACTCTGACGGCTCAATGACGTCCAGGATCTCCTCCAGTTCGTTGAGGAACATCACCTCTTTTGGACTATGGGTTTTTGGCCAGTACTTTAACAAAGCCATCACCGTCTGCACACAGAGAGCAGCGGGGTTATTACAGAGAGAGAGAGGTAAAATAACATGTACCAGCAGACAATTTGTCCAAGTAATTATGTGAAAATGAAGGTCAGCGGGAGGTTGCAAACAAAAGGTACGAGGGAGGAAAACAATGTGGATTCATTTATTTGTATCTCATTGGACTTTAAATTAGGTTGTGCTTTTCTGCCTCTTGCGCTGAAATCATAATGGCCAAAAAAAAAGAAAAAAAGAAATCCCATTTTCTCCATTTAATGTAACCCATTACCTTTCAATCCTTTTGTTCTTGGCTAATACTTGAAAATAACACAATCAGGAAATCTAGGTGGTTTCAAATGACCAGAGAATTCAAACTGCAACCAAACAACAAACTAACCGAGACTTTTGCAGACTGAGTTCTTGGGGTTTGTACGGATATTGACTTATCAGACAGGAGGCAGGACATTGACAGATAATTCCATCATTGACGTTAACAACTTAACAACATAAATAAATTATTTCTTACTGGTTCAGTGAGGGTGCTATCCTTTTCTAAGAACTGTACCACACAGTAGGCCAGCTTGAAAAGAGAAAAACAGCACCGTGTTACCATTTCCAACAGAACAGCAGGAATGTAAAATAAAGTGATGATACGCTGTATGTAAGGAAGACAAAGGGGTTACCTGTGGGTGATATACACTTAGAGACTTGACTTTGTGTAAAGGCAGCAGAACTTTAAGGAGGAATATTTTGTGCTCTTCTTTCAATGGTAACGCGAATCCATTGATTATGCTGCAAGGAGAACATTTATCATCAGTGACACAAAGGGATCCTAACACGAACAGTTTTCGTTTTTTAAACACCAAACTTCAAAGTGAACCATGGGGCTGTCCCGATACAATATTGATATGGGTCCGATATCAACCAAAAAAAACAAATATCGGATTATATCGGCCTGCATCTCCCATATCAGCACTCAACTCAACTCAATTTTATTTGTAAAGCACTTTACAACAACCACAGCTGAACAAAGTGTTGTACATAAATAGACAAAACAAAGCAAACATAAAAAAAACACAAAAAAAGAAAACAATTAAAACAATGGATAAAAAAATGGCAGGTATTAAAAAGTAAAATATAGTTTCAATGTTATTAAAAACTAATTTAAAAACATAGAAACAAATAACTAAAAGCAAATTGTAAAACATTAAAACAGGAGCCGAGTCTCATGCAGGGTTGAAAGTCAATGAATAAAAATGAGTTTTAAGACGGGTTTAAAAATGGACACTCTGATACAAGCAGTCCATTCCAGACTCCGCTCCAGCACCTCACCATGCAGCATGTAGAGCCCATGTAATCACACCAACATTGTGTACTAAGGTACTAACAAAGTACCGAGGAGTAGGAGTGATGTCGGCCCTGCGGCAGTATTTTTCATTAAAGTCTGAAAACGACATTGCAGCTAAGTGCAAAACTTGTCATGCACAGGTTTGTGCTAATATCGGATAATATCGGCCAATATTGAAGGCTACAATATCGACATCGTATTGGAGGTAAAAAAGTTGTATCGGGACACCCCTAGTGAACCACAAACAGATAAACCTTACCTTCCTAGTATTTCCAGTAACTCTGCTATTCCATTATGATGTTCAGTCTCATAAATGAACCTGAAACATCAAATTACAGACACATTAATATGACTCATTTCACAAATCACACCCCATCATAAGTGGCAAACACAAGTGTCAGTATCGCTCTCACTCACCTATAAAATATGTTATTAATCTGTTTCCTAATGTACGCTCGCAGGCCCAGGAACTTCCCATAGATGCGATGAAGAGTGGTCTTTAAAAAGTCTCGTTCTCGAGGGTCTTCGCTGTCAAACAGTTCTAAGAGCTGCGAAAAAAATGAAGATCGATAAGAGCAAGTTGAAGAAATTGTAGGATACAAACATCTATTGAAGACACACTGTCAGCATGAGCTTACCTGCATTACAAACTTCTGGTCAATATACTTTTTGGCTATGTTTGGTTGAAAGTCTGGTGACTCTAAGAACCGTAGGAAGAATTCATAGACGAGCTGTGGGAGAAAATAAAGAACAGAGCTCAAAACTTTCAAGCATACGTATGGATTTATTCACATCGGTATACAGTGTTAGCGTGTGTGTGGGCTGTGTACCTGTAGATGTGGCCATGCAGCCTCTAGCGTGGGCTCGTCCTCCTCTGGGTCAAACTCTGCACCTGTGGGGTTCGATGATGGCGGCAACGTCCTGAACATATTCACAGCAAACTGAGGATGAAAAACAGAGACAGAGAGAGAGAGGTGAGTTAACTCAACTGTACACTCAAACTGTATATCAACTGTACGGCTGCAATGGTGATTCAGCTCGTTGTCAATCATCTAATATCAAACTTTTGCTTGATTAATGATCAGATGAGTGGCAGGATTAGGAACTATGTAGTCCCTTTCACACATGCACTGTACTCGAAATGACTGGTTTATGTATATGCCGGTGCTTCACAAGTACATCATGTGCAAAGTCAGACTGAGCTGGTAACAAATGGACACAATGTTTCTGCTTTATACTCACTATAGCTCGGCTCAATTGTTTCCCATTGTTATGTTTGTGCTGCAAAAATGTCCTCTTCTCAAAACAGTAAGCATCTGTGGATCTGTGGCCGTTTGTGCGATAGGGGCTTTTAATTGCAGTCCATTTGCTATCATCAAAATTCAACAAATCCAAACACCTCAGTTATTAATTAGCTCACTGCGACATGAATTTAAAACCTGACATGTTTCTTTCTAAAAGGTGTTACCGGAGAGATTCTATCAGCCATCTGCAAGGAGCCACAGACTCTACAGAGGCTGACAGCCCAGAACGGGCGCAGAGGATATTGGATCATTTTAAAAGTCACACAGGATGTTCACTAAACAAGATAACTGCGAGTTACAGTAAACACGGTGTGCTGACATACAATCACCCTTTATACTGCGTTTAGCTGTCCATGTCAACAGGGTGAAAAAATAACAGCTGCTTTGTCCGAACCCTAGCAAACATTAACTTTGTCTGTTTAATTTGTCTGCAGCTAGCTGTTAAATGTTTGCTATGACCACATATCTGACAGCAAAAGCAATAAACCTGATGAGAGGGTGCAGAAACCCATCAGCCGGAGTGTTTGAAATGCAGACAAGGTTATTCACAACCCTTGATTTGTTTTACTACTGTTAAAATAGTCACCACAAGTCTGCTGGGAACTTTGAAAGAGGAAAACTGGTGCTTAAAAATGGTTTCAAATGTCTCGGTTTCAGCGGAAGAGCAGACATCCAGTGAAGGAAACAGCCAGTAGGAGGTGTTCCTGTGTGTGCATTTGAGCATATGTGTCTATGTTTGCGTCAGTCCTATCAGACATCAGAGCAGCAAGGGAAACAAAATGCAGCAGAATCCAGCTTGGGTAGTTTTGATTGGCTGACTATTCTGTAACAGTTAAATTAGGGCTGGGCGATAAACCGAAAATTTACCGAAGCTGAAATTTATGACAATAACTGACATCATTTTGCCTATATCGGTATATTCGGTGTCAAAAAAATAAATAAATCAAAGTTGGTTTTGGATGTGTATAGGTAGGCTGTGATCTCATGTCCCTTGTTATTGAGAAGAACTGCTCAATATAACGTGATATTGATTTGAGGCCCTAAGTTATATACTCATTAAAAGCTGAACAGACCTCTGAAACTTTTTGAGAGTTGAATTTTCCATCTTGTTTAAGACGTGTAAAAATGGTCTTGAAAGTCTCAGGTTTCAGCGGAAGAGCAGACATCCAGTGAAGGAAACAGCCAGTAGGAGGTGTTCCTGTGTGTGAATTTGAGCATATGTGTGTATGTTTGTGTCAGTTCTATCAGACATCAGAGCAACGTGGGAAAAGAAATTGCTATTATAAAAAATACAGCAGAATCCAGCATGGGTAGTTTTGATTGGCTGACTATTCTGTAACAGTAATATTAGGGTTGGATGATAAACCGAAAATTTACCAAAATTTATGACAATAACTGACGTCATTTTGCCCATATTGGTAGACTCAGTGTCAAAAAAATAAATAAATCAAAGTTGGTTTTGGATGTGTGAAGATAGGCTATGGTCTAATTCCCCTTGTTATTGAGGTGAACTTCTCAATATATCATGATATTGATTTGAGGCCATATCGCCCAGCCCTAACTTATATACACATTAAAAGCTGAGCAGACCTCTGAAACTTTTTAAGAGTTGAATTTTCCATCTTGTGCTGGAGTGAAACAGCAGTGCCGTCCCCTAAACTCGGAGTCAGCCACCCTTTCTTCCCTCTTTGATTAGAAATGCTCTTCAGAGCGCAGTCAAGCTGGGCCTAACACTAAAACTCACTCTCCCACCATCTTGTTCTCGTCTGAAACCATTGCCTCTGAGGAAATAAGACTACTGGCAAAACCACCATTGAGTCATCCCAAATGCTATCACAAAGCTTGCACACAGATGCACCAACCATGCCCTGAAAGAACAAGTGCTCATATGAGAAAGTGTTTAGTCCAGCCTTAACATAAGAACAGACTCTTTATGCTCGAAAGGAGTTTGTCGTGTCAATCTCCACACTTTGATGATGAAAGCATCAGTGGACTTCAAAGCGCCTTTGTGTGTAAGGGGGCAGGGGGAAAAAGGCTGCAAGGAACAAGAGTATATTTTCATGCTGATTTGATGGCGCTGTTGCATTTTCTGCTACATTGATCAAATAAGGGTACGAGGAGGAGGTCGGGGTAAATTTACACCTTGATCATCTGCGGTTTACCATGCGGCATTGAGACGGGCCTTTGATTCACATCAAAAGGTTTTTAATTTGGCTTTGGAAAGCAAACCTGGCGATGTGAACTCATACAGTCAATCCAGAGGAAAAACAGCGATGACTAATGTACACTTGGGCTCTGCAGGAGCACCGCAAAGTCAGGGACCTCAGAATACTGATCGCTTAATTAGCAGTACCTTGCTGTTGTTTTCAGATAAGTTGAATTAGCCGTCGGTGACACATATCTTTGGGGTCAGGCTGAGGTCAGCGGTGTTTGTTACGCAACTCATGTGAGTCTGATGTGACTCAGAAGGAACCAGCATTGACAGACTAGACAGAGGACTAAAAGTATTAGAGCACAAAGTACAGCCACTTCCTATGGTAAAAAAGATAATAAAGCCCACATGAAAATGACATATGCTGTCTGCTTTGGAGATAAAACAGCCTGACACAGAACTCGGCAGAACATAGAGACTGTTTATCAGTCAGGTGGCTCTCTGAGGTTACATGCATTATGAAGTTGTGTACAGTCTCCGAGGCGAGGCATATCACATGGGGCTTTCAATGTATACGCTTATAAAACAGGAGACACTAACAGCAAGAAAGTTCCAGATAATGCACGGCCTTCTGTATCCATCATGCATGATCATGGCTTACTTTATAAGGATATGAAGTAAGGCAGGCCGTGGTTTGAAAGTAACGGACATGCTGATGTGATTAATGTTCAGCAACTTCAAATAGATTTCTTTTATGGCAATGTGAGACGTGATTATGCAACGAACCCAGAGAAAAACCTTGATGTATCTAAGACTGGGAAAAATGCCAAGGCTCCATACACAGAATCATCTCTATGACTTGTTCATTTCTATTAAACATGATTCCACTATAATGTCTAACTAGAAAAGACGCTGCATTATTCATTAACATGTTATTGTGCGGGAGTCAAAGAAGGCGACATGAAAACATGACTGAATTAGTACTTTCTATGTTCCAATCATCAGCCTGCATTTGTTTTTCAGTGCAATGTTTAGAAGACAGATAAATGGTTCCTTTTTATACGGCAGCTTCGCCTTTTCTATGTCCCCTCCCTCTGTCGAGGTTGTGTTTGCAACCCGTTCTGCTGATACCGTTCAACTTCCAGGTCAAAGCCTGACATGCAAGCACTTGGGCGAATCAAGCTCTATTTAAATCTGTAACTGAACATTTAACGACAAAATACGGCTGGGCGATAATATGATCAGTATTAATGATCGTGATAAATTTCAGTCCGATCACGGTGATCAGCTGTGAGCTTATTTACTCGATCAAACTTGGCAAAAATATAGTATATCGTGATCATCTTTTTGGCAAAATCACCCAGTCCTACGACAAAATAAATTGATTTAAATTTACTCACAATGCTCTAAGATTTACCCGTGAAACTTGCATCTGATCTGAGTAAAAATTTCACAACTTTGGAAACAGCGCTTGTAAGAAAGAGGTCATAATGTAAAAGGTAAACACATACTGCACACTGGCTTTAAGTATAAAGTATATAGTTGTACAGGAGTTTATTTAACTCTCCTCTTAAATCCTTTCATAATTAGTTTATTTTACTAACGTCCTAATTCTTATGTCCATTGACTGTTCTGTGGTGCAAGTCACTCAAAGCCAACTTTGTCTTGTAATTGGCATTAATACTGACCACGTGAACCACCTCCGGGTAGATTGGCTCTGTGATGACATTCCTGTTGTGGGTAATGTACTCCACCATCTCGCTCAGCGCGGCCCGCTTCACCTCCTTCCATTTCAGATCGCTCAGAGGGTCCGAAACGAAATCGAAAAGGACGCAGCACTGCCGCAACTTCTGGATGAAGAGTTTCTCCTGCTCAGCTGGGGGAACATCTGCGAGATAGAAATGAGAGAATGGTTGGAATCAAGAGGAAACAACGAACAGATTTACATATTTTAATATTTCCTAGTATCTAATAAGCACACAAGCTATCAAGTTATCCCAACGGGGTTGACTCTGTTGAGTTAGATCACATGTAAGAACCAAGACTTGTGAAACTCACCCAGAAATGAAGAAAATGTACTTTTCTTTTCTTTTTAAATCACAGCAAAGTTTTTGAGAGTTTTAATTTATGTCCAAATAACCCCACCTACAGCCCTTCACGCGAGCGGCTCTTCCAAGTAGCACAGCACGGAGATGGTGCTACTCTGGAACCAGGTTTTCTGGCTCAGAGCCAGTTCTTTAGCAGTGGAAAACCAAGGAACTAGTTCCAAATCTAGTACAGGCTCCTAAAAAGCACTGGAACCGGCTTGGTGGAAAAAGGGTAATAGTTTTCAAAACTACCAACATGTGAGAAAATATCATGGTATACTAGACTGATGACACATGAGAACAATAAACACTGAGCCTTAATGAAAAGCTTGAGAGAAAATGTGAGGAAATGTGTTATGCTTACTAAAAAATTAGTAAGAGAAAACTCCAATTTCTTTATTCATGGCAGCATCTACTTGTGTGGTGGAGATTTGTTTGTTGCCATGGTAATCGTTGCCAAAAATCATTCTCATTACTTCTTCTTACCCGCTCCTTTTCTCTTAGATTCACAGAAGATTTGTACCAAAGCTTTAAAATTATTCCGGTTGCGCACCGCTGTAAGTTGCTACAGTGGAGTTCATGTAGTGGCATTTAAAGACTCCATAAATCAATAATTCAACCTCTCACTGACAGTGTCAGAGCTGCATTCATGATGCAGAGGCTCTTAATCTGCCTGCAGGATTACTGAGCCACACCTGTCTGCGTGCAACCGCTGACTTGCAAAAAAAAATCATTACTCGTTTTGGAGATACCGCACACTCGCTGTCAATGAGCCAGCGTTCATTTTGAGCCCGTGTAAAAGCATTATTACCCAAACAGCAGCTGCTTGAAATTAATCAATGATTAGCACTGATTATACACAACACTCAGCATAATATGCGATTAATCAAGCAATTGAATAAACATAATGTGAAATAAAATGAGAGCGATACTAATAGCATCAAAACAAAATGTAAGTGGGCTCATCTTGAAGCATAACAAGACTTCAAGCAACCCTCTGAATATTCCACGGCTGTGCCAGAAGCTAAGAGCTCAGGATCTAAATTCAGAATCAGCGAGGAGTTTTGTTCTGCACATTGGAACCGTTACAAGTCTGCTCCCGACGGACCTGAAGGGCTTTCCCAACTTGCACACAGAAAATGTGTCAGACACATAAGGTGCTTAAGGCCAAGTATTGCTTTATAAACAAGGAAAGGAGCTATTCTGAGAGCACCATGAAGCCATTGCAGGGACAAGAAAGAGAGGCTGTTATGTGTTTTCAGGCAGTGCAGCTCTAGATCAGGAGTTACAGGCTTGTAGACTTTTCGGAATATCAGTTTATATGCTTCATAATGCCCCTAGTGAGCTTGTTGGATCATTCAGCTATAAAAACTCTTTTACTTGCCCAACAGTTATCAATGCTTCTTGTTATCAAGAAGCATCAATTTGTTCATCCCAGCCTGTTGTTCATGACTCAACGTTTGTCTCCCCATTAACGATCTACGTGTGTGCTGCACATCTCCATAGTGACCACATGCACTGACAGGACTTTGGACCAGGGGGTGATCACCGCCAATCAAATATGCATGCAGGCTAAAGTTGTTGTTGCCCTGGGATCATATGCTCGCTAATTTGCTAATCCAATCAGCTGCGGCCAAGAGACGCGTCAGCCACACCGACCATGAGGGGAACATTACTTACATCTGAGTCAATACAAGTTGAATAACGTTATTTCTTGGCACTGGTGAGATAAGTCAATTCTAAGAGATGCAACTGAAAGGAGGTCGTGCGCACTCCCACGCAAGCTACAGGACTGACAGAACCAACAAGGACTTTTCCTACACCTCCACGTTTCTGAGTCACAGTGGCACTGCGGGCATTTAAATACCTAACATGAAATGCGGTTACCTGCGTGCTGTCTAAAAATGTTTCTGTTTCTTAGCATGACCCTATCTATTGATCCAAAAGGCTCTACTTTGATTAAATTTTCCCCCCAGTTCCTAGAATGTTTTCAAAAAGTATCTTGCTAACTCTGTTTTTTTTCCTGAGGTGGTGTGTGAGAGGCTGTACAGTTTGTCCTTTGAGTGTGCGCCTTTAGGCCTTGCTTGTGCAGTACAGTACCTCAGAGCAGGGAGTGGAGCCAACTGATTACAAAACATTTTGTGTCTATATTCAAGCACAGAGTTGAACAGTGACAAGTCTGTATGTAGTTTTGGAATAAAGGGCAAAATGCTTAATTCCACTGATACAGTTTATTAGCAGCATGCAGGGTGTAAAAGAACACACCAGGGGAAATACAGCTGGTGGTTTGCTGCACTCCTGACATCCCTGGGGACACCAAATGAGGCATGTTTTGGCTGGGCTTAGTCAGATAGTCAGAAAGCAGTTTCCTCAAGAACAAACCTGGACACAACACACTCAAAAGGAGTTTGAAATATGTCAGTAAAATACAATACAGTAAAATACAATGCATCGATCCACCTTTTTCACCTCCGATACCGATATCTACAGTTTAGTATTAGCCGATACCGAAGTTTTACCACTGCCCCTCGGATCGATTACTGCTCCTGTATTGCAAGTGGCCGTCGAGCTTTTAGGCTGAGGTATTGTGATAAAGTTCAAGATAGCAGACCCCTTTGCTCCCTCCATTTTGAAAACAATGTGGGCATCTGCTCAGCGTGTTTACTCGTGGCGCATAGCAAAGAATTAGACTGAATAGACTGAATTAGACCGATTTTTATTTATTGGCTTTTAACCCTGTGTGAGACTCGGCTGCAGTTTTAGTGTTTTATGGTTTGTTTTTAGTTATTAGTTTGTATGTTTTTTTAATTAGTTTTTAAAAACATTGGTCGGCTGTGGTTGTTTAAAAGTGCTTAACAAATAAAGTTGAGTTGAGTTAAGTTGAGAATAGATTGGCCACTATGCATCGGGCCGGATGTCACAATACACGATCTAGAATTTTCTTCAGTTTCGGGACCAATACCGATATCAAATATCAGATTGGTTCATCCCTGATACAGTGGAAGTGTAATATTTAAATTCTTTTATATTAATGGGAAAAAAACGAAGTAAAATGTAAGGTCCTGTAATCATCAGTTGATTTATTTTTGCTAACAGAGATTCCCGTAGACCTTGTAAAAGTCATTTTCGCGTCTATCACTCGGCTTGTTGCAGGTGCTGCGACAAGCCTAGACAAGGGTGTACTCATCATGAGAACGTTATCATCAGCACCTGAGCGCCATAAGGGCTCCCAGCTCCTGTTACACAACAGCACTAGGGTTTCTGATGGGGCCTAAAATATTAAGAGACATGCTGTGGCACTGCAGACTTCACACACAGGCCCCTCTGCGTGGATGGGCGAATAACCTTTACTCATCTGAAGGCTCCAGTGTGCAGATAGGAAACAGTCCTATGATATATCAACTGCTTATTTATAATTGATAGGTGACTAACAAACCGGCACCAGTGACAGAAACGTTGCATCTAAGTAAATGTGGCTGTTTGCTATTATATGACCACAATTCTCACTACTATGCAACAAAGAAGTCACGTATTTTGATGGCTTCTCACGTCTCAACATGAAATGTACATTATACCAGTGGTAGCATGTGTGTGAGTATCATGCATGTGCAGCAACATTGCATCCTGAAGGAGGAAGTCATGTATGCACAAAGATTAGCTGTTGTTTTTTAATGCACGGACACTTCATCTGCACTCTTAGCGTTCATCCAGAGTGAGTTTCTGCTCTCCACTCTCAACTTTTGCTGCAGGTTGCAGCAGCGAGCTTTTGCGGTGAGAGGGTGACTAACCAGCAGCGACGTGCAGAGCTTTGACACTTGCACGACTGTCGGCTGACACCACATCCATACACAATACAATACAGATGCACACACTGACAACAACAAGCTTTGACCTCACTTCCTATGACATCAGCAGGCTCGATGGGGGGATGGGAGGCTCAAAAGTAGCACTCCTCACTCTGTCGCCCTCCCTCTCTGATTAAAACTAAGCTATACAATGTCTTGGCAAAATCCTTCCTTGTTGATATACAAACACAAACCCCCCGCTTCCTCTTCCAGAAATACCCCTGAAACCAGCACAACGAGGAGGGAAGCTCTCACTCTCAGGCAGCAACTTTAAGGGAAGTCACCTCACACAATTATATTCCTCTGCAAAAATCCTAAGTAGCAGCTTCAGTTGCTAAGTGACAACAACATTCCTACCCATCTCCCCTTGAAACACAAACACAGCACAGCAGAGGAGGCAGATTTCCTGTTCTCACCTCTAAAATGCATGAGGGCCACAGGCTGGAAAGGCCCATTAGAGCTCGGTGCATCCAGAACCATCCCGCTGTCAGCTCTAGCACATGCCAACATCAGAGAGCGGAGGCAGGAGACAGGGGAGGAGAGGGCAGCCCGGGCTAAGGCGAGGAGCCAGCCTCCATTTTAGCAGGAACACTCGGAGCAGAAAATGAAGCTCTCCTGCTGCTGGAGGGAACCAGCTAGTTAGTGATGTCATAGCTCGGTGCGGCCACGCAGTTGGCTGGCTGCAATCACATGGGCCGGGCTGTCGGAATAAATAAACATGAGGGAAGGGATTGGCTGGTGGGCTGAGGGGGAGGGGGAGGGACTGTTGCTGTGATTGGAGCGCGAGCAGCCACATCTGTCAAGAGTTTTAAAGCACAACCTGCAGATCTGCCTTCAGTTTGACTGGTTATGTTTTTAAATAAAGCAACCAGAAAACTAGAAAGAGCAGATGGCTGTCCAATTTATCGTTGAACACATTTCATTAAGAGATTATGTAACACACAACGTTATCATTCGTCAGCTTATTTAACTTTAAACACAAGTACAGAAACTAACAAAACAAATCAAGGTAGTCTAATGCAACAAGTGCTCAAAGAAACACGCCTGAAGCGCTCACACAACAGCTCAAGCTCAGACATGAATTAAAGCTGCAGGATTTAACAGCAACACAAGCTTTGCATAGGACAGGCGCTGTCTGACTGTTATTTTAAAGCCCTTGTATGTGTGTGCCGTCTCTGTGTGTCTGTGTGTGCGTGAGCTCTCGTATGACAGATGGCTCTCCAGGACCACAGCCTGAGCCCAGGTGTATGTGACAGAGAAACAGGAAGGCAGGAAGTCTCAATGTGAGCAACACAGGATGTGCAAATGTAGTGAGCGGCAATGTCTGTCTGGTGCTTTCAGCAGCACCGGCGACGAAACCCTGCGCTGTGAGCTGAGCAGGAAAAGGGCGAATCTACACTGACAAAGACAGTTGAACGCACCAAAGTCAGTCCAATGAACAAAAGAAACATGAAGCATGTAAAATAACAACTTCACAATTCCTTGGTTTCTACAGGGTGGGCGCACAGGAACAATGAATACACCAAACACCTTTTGCATCCCCCAAATGCAAAAACTATGCAAATGCAATGCAAAGGGTGTTCAATCCACTGAATCTGCACTCACTTTTGATTGCTGTGCTATAACCCAGCTACCTTCAAGTTCACCAAAAGATGTTAAATACTAGTTTTTCAACATGGTAACATGGAGGGGGAACATTAGTTTCTACTAGGGCTGTCCCAATGCGATATTGATATCGGATATCGGCCCCATATAAGCCAAAAAACAAATATCAGATTATACAGGCCTGCATCTAAAATCTCTGATATCAGTACTCCGATACAAGCAGTCCATTCCTGACTCCACTTCGGGACCTCTAGCTAGCAGCACCCTGCAGAACCCATGTAATGGTAACCCTTTCTTTTACGGTACACTTATTACCAGGTAATTAACAGGTAATTACCTAGTAACAACATTTAATTATCTGGTAATTACATGATAACTACTAAATCAATCCTGTCTAGCTACCAGGTAGGTAACCTTCCATCATCATACAAATTTGAAGCAGAATTGCTCTGGTATTTCCAGGATTTTCTCCGCTTCCTGGAACCACCACTTGCGCGGTAGCTTCGTACGCATTCGGTGGGTGAGTCGCTGTGATGACGCTCGGCTCAAACAGCGTATCGCTACGCAATCTTCGCACGCCCATAGGCTGTATCAAGTATCAATCATAGAAAATAAGAACCCCAAATAGCTTTTGAAAATGGAGCCGCACGCAAAAAAGAAAAACTAGACAGTATTGACTTAGTAGCTATCATGTAATTACCAGATAATTTCATGTTGTTACTAGGTAATTACCTGTTAATTACCAGGTAATAAGTGTACCGTAAACGAAAGGGTTACTCATGTAATCACAAAACAGCCTGCACTAAGGTACGAACAAAATAGCAAGGAGTAGGAGTGATGTCGGCAGTGAAAAACTTGTTATGCACAAGTTTGTGCCAATATCGGATCAATATCAGTATCGGCCAGTACTGAAGGCTACAATATCGGTATCGTATCGGAAATAAAAAAGTTGTATCAGGACACCCCTAGTTTCCAAATTCCATGCCAAGTTAAATGCTACTGTTAGAAATCACAATTTCGCAAGTAAGCAGAAGTATAGGGATGAAGTTTGGCTGATCATGACACAACAGCAGAGCATTTCATCAGCAGGGTCTTGCCTGTGTGTAAAAAGGACTCTTTCTTATCACTGTGTTCACCAGTCATGGGGCAATCTCCCATCAGTAGATCTGTTGTTCTGACCGGGACAACGCTGAACGCACCCACTTGTTATAAACGCTCCTTTGGCACATGCGTTCATCAGCCATGAGCTTTCTGCTGTGTCTGAGCTATTTATGGCCGCGCAGAGAGAGAGAGACAGAGAGAGAGTGAGAGAGTGAGAACTTGTAAGGCATCATGGGCCTCGTCATGGAAGAGATGGAAAGTGTGTCGGCCTGTCTTATATCAGAGCCTTCTTTAAATCTATCATTGATAGCAGCAGGCCAGCCTAAAATACACAGCTGAGTGGTTCATTTACAGGTCTGCTGCTCTTCAACGTCGTCGCCCTCTTTAATAGCACTTACTACTAAAATGGGTTTGGTGAAACAGGCCAATTGCAGCTGGAGCTGAACTTCATTTTCCCCTTAAGCAGCCTCCGGTGATAAGAACACAGCTCTTGATCCATTCTCATTTATCCAACTTCTTTAACAGTAGAAAAAAAAGTGATTAATTCAAACTACAGCAGTTTATTTTAAAAGATATGCAGGAGCTGACGGTACCTGGCTCAGACTAGTCAGGCTGTCCAGACAGAATCAGTTTTACTCCTAAGAAAACAAGCATGATTCTCATGTGTTACCTGCAAGGCTGAAAACTAATCAGAGTTTGTACTAAGGACTGGCTGCTTGCTGGAAACTGAAACCTTTTCAGCTGACTAATTTCTCAGTAGTCAGTCACCATAGCTTTAACTGTATTATTCAACAGACTCAAGTATTTAGGTCAGCTAGAGAGCTCGAGTTGGCGGTGGATCATCCACAGCCCCCATAAAGTTAATGCGACAGGCTGGATTTCAGAATCAAAACTGCTTGATTTGTGTTTTACCGTCTTAAAAGCCAACGATTCTTTATTTTGAGGGGGAGTAAACCTCTGCGGATCATTTTGCTCTGAGTTCAACTTAAGAAGCAGTGACACTGATTGAACCCAAACAAAAATAATCCTTCGAAACTAGCAAGTACAGCTCAGTCCTCAGATGCCCTCGACGTCCTGTGTCGTCTTTCAAAGCAGAAAATAAATCAAGATTTTAAGAGTAAAGGTCCTTTCACACCGGGACCATTTTATCGTGCCATTATTTCGGACGTCAACATTTTTTCGAACCCGTATCCTGTCAATACAAGCGTTCACATCAGCGACGGTTTTCTCGTCCTGCGATATTGCTGCATTTATTTTTTCATATCACGGTCGATTTTTTAAAAAGTTTGGCATACTGTGTGTCCACTTCTGACCAATCAGATAGCGTGTTGATGCGACGTCTGATTCACCGATTGACCAACATGGCCGACTGCCTGATTGTTTAAGTGTCTGAGAACAGAGTGCTTCATGATAACATAGCGTCGGATCTCTCATATGACGATGGTTTGTGTGCTTTATCAGTTTACTAAACGTCTTTGTTTTAACTTTCATCTGTGCTAACGGTTGTTACCATAGTTTCATGTGCTTTTCTTATCGCCTCTGATTGGCTATAAGTGCTGACCGTTTGGCTTGAGCGTGTGATGACGTTTACAGCTTTTCTAGCCAATCAGAGGCTAAGGAGGTGGGACTTTCCCCGGGAAGGTCTTCCCTGAGGTGCGTCTAGATGTTTATAGTCAGGCGCATCAAAATTCGCTTCCAAATTTTTCGGAATTTCGCGTTCTATATTTGCGTCGGGCCCGGTGTGTCAAAATCAACTCAACTTTATTGTCAAATCATCAGGAAACTCTCAGCAAATCATAAATCTTGTAAGGTCATTTTGCTGCATTAACAGAATCTTCTTTTCTCATGGTTTTTATGACCTTTTTGGGGAAGCAGTCTCATTTTCCTTTAACACTAACCTCAAGAGCCATGCTGCTCAGACTCTCCCTGCAATTATTTTGGGAGTATTATTTGGGATAAAGCCAAGAATAAATGTCGCCCATGCTTTAGCAACAACACCTACAGCCAAGTGCCCGTGGGCTGGTCTCAGCATTTCCCACCTGAACAAACACTGTAAATCGTTATGTAAAATTTGACTAATCAGACAGTATGATAAAGTGTGAAGAATGTTCCGGCGTGGGCACAAAGAAAGGTTCACCTCTTAAGTAACTCATCTGAGAGTTGAGTCAACAGTTGCGAGATTTCTACAGCTTCAGCAGCCCGATCGCAGCGAGAGTTCGCTCTTTGTTTTAGTTCTTTATGAAAAGATGTTTGACGAGGGAAATCTCTCTCATGAGGTGTGGGAGTCCCTTCCTCTTACACTTGCAGGGGTGGCAGAGGAAACCCTTCCCTGAAACCTGCCTTGCCCTTTAGCATCCTGCTCCAAGTACCTGCCAACCCGCTTGCACGAGTGTCAGTGTCACTTTACATTTGTATCCTGCCAGACTACATTTTCAACCTGTCTGTTCAGGGACATGCCAGAAAATTCTCTAAAAACAAAAAGAAAAAAGAGGAGAAGCAAAATGCTGTAATGTTAGACCTGAACAGGTTTAACTCTGATTGTATATTACATAAACCAAGTCTTACAAGCTCGGTAAACACAAACGTAAGCTCACTGTCTGTGCAAACATTCTGAGTGAGTCTAAGTGACAGAAATATCAATAAATACAAGGTTTTCTTAAGTATTCCCTCTACAGAAAGTAATTGTATTCTTTGTTGCTTCATCTAGATTTCTGAGAAACAGGTCAAAGCTTAGAAGGGCTGCGGTAGATATGCTATAATCCTGTCACCTATCATCCTGTTACAAGCCACAGACTCATCTTCTTCAGCACCAAAGACCTCTGAACCTCTCGTATTACACGGAGAGCCTTCAATCAAAGAGCAATATTAAAAAAGTAATCCTTATCGTGTTCTGGTGATACAGGGTTAGATTTAAAAAGCATCCGCAACTGCTTTGGTCACACTGTGTGCAGTATACTGTGTGTCAATCAATAATAGTTCATCCAGAGACTTTAAAAGTCTGTTTCTAATATGTTTTCCCTTTTATTATACATGTTGTGGCATGTTTAATTCTGTTAATGCACAGCCGTGTTAAACTCTTGGTTCTGATTGGTCCCTGAAAACCAATAACTCACTGTGTCAGTCTGCTATTTCTCTGTAACACCGTGTGCTAATAAAAACAGACCTTTGCTCGAGATGTGGGTCTGATTATAGGCTCTGTGTGGCTCACATGGATCATACATTTCTGTTCATTTGATGTCAGTTTGTATAAGCGAAGAAAATTATGTAAAAGAGGCACAAGAGGTGGGCTATTTGTAACTGACAAATATCCAAAAGTGAAGCTGGTCCATGAGGTAACCCTGTAATAAAACATGCTATAAGATAAAACAGATTTTAAGTCCGCATCCAGGGAAAACTCAGATATGAAGCTAATTTATGTGAATTTCTCCTTTTTTGTACTTCAGCATTGGTGGAAATTCTTACTAAAACAAGAATTAAAACAACTGAACAGAAAATTAAGCTCATCTGAAGAAAATTACAGAGTTAACCTGAGGCATCTTTTTATCACTAAGGCCCCTGTCTATGGAACAGCTTACCTGAAGACCTGAGGACTGCACCTAATCTTAATGCTTTTAAAAGCAAACTGAAAACGTACCTTTTTAGTCTTGCTTTTAACTAAATTTTATATCATTAACTCTGTTTTTGTGTTTTAGCATCTATCTCCTTTAGTTTTAATCACAGGATCGTCTTTTATTGAGCTATTTTGGTGCTCTTATTTCAGTATCTTTTACTGTTTTTATTTCATTTTATTTATTATTACTTTAAATTTCATTCTATGTTTTTTCGTTTTTAGATTTTAACCTAAACCTCCAGTGTTTCCTTATCTTGAGTTTTAAAATGACGTACATTCTTGTTTCCACGAAATCAAACCCTTTTTAAGTTAATGCATTTTAATACTGTTTCTGTTGTAATTAGATTGTGGGGTGGGAACGAGGGGTTGGGCTGGGGTAGATTTGGGTATTCTTTGTTTCTTTTATTCCTCCTTCTGTGTAAAGCAGTTTGGGCTACATGTTGTGTATGAAAAGTGCTATATAAATAAAGACTGATTGATTGATTGATTACTATGGACACAACTCAAACTGTGTTAATGCCTTATGTAAACCGAAGAATCAGACTCATCTGCTGTTCGATGATATATTAAAGCTCCTCTGAGGACCTTTTGGTTTATTTGGTAATTAGTAAAAGCCTTGTTATAGGAGTTTTAACTCTACACCTTCTTGAAAAACACTAAAAACACACGATATTTATCTGGTGGCAAGGATATCAGTTACATGTCATTTTAAAATACTGTCCTGACATTTGAAGTATTTGGTACTGTGGTAAGAAGCTAAAATTGGGGTATTCAAACCACCAGATGGCGACAAACTCTACAGAATGGATGCCTCATGCAGGACAGCTCCTGCTCTGAAGGAGGACACATACAGAGGCAACAACTGTTGTTCTTTGCTTTTTTGGCAAGAACTGTTACACTTGAAACAAGACCACAATAAACTAAACCGGCCCCCGTAGACATCAATCCTCTGTATATGAGCTTCAGTCGGAGAAATCTCGAACAAACGTTTATCCAAAACACAAATGTTTTACTTTGGCACAGTCTTTTAAAAACAGGCTCAGCATATTACTTTTTCAGCAGGAATCATTTAAACTTACTTTCCTGCGAGCTGCGAAAGCTTAGACAGTTAAAACGGACTTGGGAGGCACAAAAAGCACTCTCCGTTCTGAGGCCTGTCGTGGGAAAGGCCTGCTTCTGCTTGGGGGTTTTCGGTCTCGCTTCAACCTTGTGGCTCTGCAGGACAAGCTCTCGGACATGTGTTTCCATCGGGAGGTGGTGAACATGCCTGGAGTTAAAACAGGCCAAGCGAGGAACGTGTTTGGACAGGACCGAGTGATAACAACTCCTGGCCCACTGTGGGGCAATGCTTTGCAGAATGTAATCAAAGCTTTCATCGAGGTGTGAGAATATAGCAGCCTTTGTAGGAAATCAGTTATTCTTAAGGTTTCTTATCACAAGGCAACACTGAAATCTTAAAGATAAAGAGGTTTACTTTATGAAAGTCTCAACTGTGAGTGTTGATTCAAATCCTTCAGAAAGAGCAATATGGAAAGAGCAACAGCTGCTGATTCCTTTAGTCAAGGATGGGAACTTCAATCTTAGTCTATTTTTTAAGAGGAAAACGTCTATTCTAGTTTGTATTGTTGAGGACTCTGGCCTTTGCCTTGGTGTGTTTTAGATCACTTTGTGTATACAGGCTTACATAGTCAGAAGAAAAACGTATGAAATGCACATTTTTCTAAAAAAGTAGAAATAAATCTATTTTAGGGCCTGAGTCTTCTGCAGGAAAAGTACACTCTCTCTCAGATCACTATTTTTCTTCCCCATTTGACAGGTTGGGATGCAAACTAAGACACAGTGCTCGACCACACCTATATACAGCCTTCACATTTACCAAAAACAGACACTTTTTTTTTCAATACCCAAATAATGCTGTGTGCAAGTCCAGTCATACACCTTTTAAAAACAGTGAGATAATACTGAGTATCTGAATCAGGTCACTGCTGCCTCAAAGGAATATTATTGCTGCATTTGCTTATAAAAAAAAAAATCCCAACTCCAAAAAAAGGCTGTCTTGGTCTACAGATACATGTGTATGATTTTGTTTCCCCTTTAAAATCAGGATATTTCACCCCTAAAGAAGAGGATTTTTACTTTTTTCCCAAGGAGAACACTGAATTTTACCATTTTTAAGACATAACATTTTACATTTCCGAAAAAAAATCGATATACTCTCAAGTGCAGACAAGCAATCTTCTCCCAAACTCCACAGAGAAAGTGACTCTGTCTTCTTTTCAACTTCACATGCGTATCTTTTTCATATTAATTCACACCAGCTCACGATGCAGAATGTTCCCAGTGCACCTCAAGGTTAAACAATTATTTCTAAAAAGCCTGGAAAAAGCCGAGGACAACATCGGTGGGTGTATTCATGCATGTATACACAGCGGCTTGCATAGATAATAGGCCCAGAGGGCTAATGGCAGTATCTACTCTTCGCTTTTCCATCTGGCGGTATGCTGGCAGACGTTTAATTGAACGTGGGTTTTACATCTGCAAATATGCAAGACAAAAAAATATATCTTGCCCGTGTGAAAGAAGAAAAAAGAGAGGGAATATAAGTTCGGCTGCCAGACATTGCTGGTCACTGGCAGCATCCTGAAACACAGGGACCATGGTATTAAAGCTTTATCTCTGGATTACCACTAAATATAGACACTTGGGTCAAATCCAGCGCAAAGTCCATGCCATGTACGTCCTCTGTTTGTTTCCTCGTATTGCGTAATGTCATGCTCAGCCTCGTATCAAAATCGGAGTGATGCAGCGGGGGATAGTTCATGGATATTTCAGTGTGGAAAGGCTGAGTAAATAACCGAGTGTGCGCATGCAGGTATGCAAGTCTGCGAGGCCTGCACTTATCTGTGTCGAGATTACAGAGATCTCTTACCACACATACCTTTCGAAAAGAAGATATCTGCCCTATATTTACCGTCTCCGGTGATTTCTGACTCTTGAATTCAGGTTTCAGAGATTTCAGATTCATTACTTTCGGTGACGTGGCGTGATTGTCACTTCGCCGGTAAATACCTTTGAACGCGGGCAGCTTCTGCAGCTCCCTGTTGTTGCTCAAGCTGAAGCGAGAGGAGCTCTGCCTCTTGTCCTTTTTGACAGGTGTCTGGGAACCTGGCTGCTTCCCCTTTAGCAGCTGAGTGGTGGGAGGAACGCTGTTGCTCGTCTTCCTGTTCGAGCTCTGCTGAGGCAAGAGAAAAAAAAAGAAACCACATTAGTGACGCTGAAGTAAAGCGAGCATATGCGATGCGCGGAGTACAATGACCTCTTTGTTAATCTGATAAAACTGTGTACGTTGTCTACATCAAACTGTCTCACCTTATGTAACCAAGGCTATAAAACGCACTTCACCACACCTGAGTGAAGCCGCCAAATGTAACAGTGTATTAATTTCAGAGGTGGGGGAAAGTCCTTATGTTGCAAGTCCAAGTCGAGTCTCAAGTCTTTGCCCTCAAGTCCGGGGCAAGTCCAAGTCCTTTGCTCTCAAGTCTCGAGTCAAGTCCAAGTCCTTACCCTTTCTTTCAAGTCAAAAACAAGTCATATCAAAGCCATAAACCATTTGTTATATGTAAAGATTTACATAAATCATGAGCATTTTTCACTTTTAGCATTTAATAAAACAGGCGGGCAATACTAGCGAGCGATTTATGTTCAGTCCTCCCGGTGTTGTCGTTATGATGGAGGCTAGAGTTTGAGACAGTGTTGCCAAGTTTCATGAGAGAAATAAGGAAACAGACCTCCAGAAACAAGCCAAAAACAAGTGAATTTTTTTTGCAGGAAATAAGCAGACTTGACAACACAACACGGTGTTACCAACGGCGGTAATTCCTGACTATTAGTTGATGCGACACTTTTTAAACGGTTTGGGCTTGCTGTAAGGTATTAAGTGACTTGAAAAGACTTGACTTGACTTTTCAAGTCACTGGGCCCAAGTCAAGTCAAGTCAAGTCAAGTCTCAAGTCTTTAGCAATCAAGTCCAAGGCATTTCTTGATTTCATCAAGCAAGTCAAAAACAGGACTCAAGTCCAAGTCGAGTCTCAAGTCGAGTCGTCAAGCCCCCACCTCTGATTCATCTTAAAGAAAACGAAAAAGTGTGACTCCTTATCTACTTGTAAATCTCACAAGCACCCAGAAGACATCTGTAATGCTGGTTATAATCCTGATGTGGGCTAAAATAAATGTGTCAGGTTTCTCACAGCTGATCCCACCTGCCTGTTGGGACCCATACATCAACACACACCTGATGTCACATGGCTTACTTCATTAGATGCAGCTGCGGAGCTGTGACTGTCTGAGTCACAGAGGAGTTGTTACATTCATTTAAGGCGAAAAGCTAGTCTGCAGCGGCACAAGACAGCAGCTTAAGAGCCGAGCACACAGAGAGTGTTGAGCAAAGAAGGAAATAAACTGAACTAGATTATTTTGTAATCTAAAAATAGGGATTTACTAATCTTGTTGTTAATTAATTCAGCCAAAGTAGAAACATCTGTCAGGTCAGCTATGATTTTAATGCTTTTAATGTAGCTCACTGATTTGTTTGTTACCCAGACAGCAGATGAAGGCTTTTATATATTATGAAAAGCCTCTTCAGCTTCAAACACTTCTGCTTACTAAGTAAGTGGGACAAAAAAGGGTGGGGACGTACGACGGCAGCTTGCAGCCCGACCATTTCAATTTGACACGAGCTTGGTGCAAAAGTACATCTGCCAAATGTCCGCTAACACACGGCAACAATCAGGCTTGCTGCTTCGCTCACCATCACCCGAAAAAAGAAAAAAAGAGCTGACAAGGAGAATGAAACTCAAGATATGAATAAAGCAGATCTTCAACATGTCTTACTTATTCATAAGTGTTTGGATCAACCATGAATATGTATGTATTTGGTGATGTTTATTTGAAGTGTACACTGCTCTGCCTTAAATGTGTTATGAAACAGGGTGTAGGTAATGCCTGACAGTGTCCGGTATCCATCAAAACACAAACATGTGGTGAGCAGGCCTTCAAATGTAAAGATAAAATGTCAAGGAAAGAGGAAGACCACCTGCCATGTCAGCTGTAAAATGGTTTCAAGATTTTTGATTGACCATGATAAATGAAAGACCTCAGCGCCATGAAAAAAAGGGTGTTGAGGTATTTTTATGCAGGCGTGATGATGTTCAGACTTGGCAGAAGTTGTGGGAAAACACTTAACTCAATCTGCTTTTTGTTAAACTTATGTTATGTCTATGTTATCTCAGAGGATTCATACTGAGAATGTTGTGTTTCACTGATACCTTCTTAAAAATAAAGTGCATGACCATCAATGCGGTACTGTTATATAACGATTCACGCCAGATGCCAATGCTGCTATTACAGAACCAAAACACTATCTAACGCCTGGGCCACTCTGCCGTTGCCTATCATTCTGGCATGAATGTGAAGAGCCACACAGTCCATGTGAGAGACACAGCAATGCTGAAATCTACTTCAAGTGTTCCAGTTCTCCTCGACATAAACTAGGGATAAGGATTCAAACTTGGGTCTACTATGGACCTGGTCCTGCATTTTTCAGAAAGCTATCCTCCTCATATATGGTAATGACACTCAAACTTTGTGAAAACTCCTGTAAATTAAAAAAAAATTACGATGCAGAGACAGTTGTAATCAGAAGATAGAATCAAAGTTAAAATCTACAGAATAAAAGCTATCTTGTTGACTCAGGGATGTCACACAGAGAGACAAATGTTTCTAGGCTAAGTCCGAATGATGTGTTCAAATATCACATCAAGAAAAAGAAAACTTGCGAGTCACACACATAGACTGTATATACCATGGACAACTTGTTATATAGAATGGACGCTGTCCATTCTATATACAGTCTATGGTCACATAGTTACATAAAGGAAGAATAAGTTTGTTTTTTCCTGCAATATAGATTAAAAATTACATATAGAATCAAGCCCTGGTTAACTTCCTTACATTAGCTCCAACTGCCTTAAAACATATTGTATGACCCACCGATGCAAAGATCTTTCAAAGAAAATATTCAAATTAAAATGACAATAATCTACTTTCCATAAGTCTTGTCTTTGCATCAATAGGAGTCTGATAAAGACAGTTTGAGAATCTTGATCATGATATCAGAAAAATTTAAAATTCCCATCCCTAGGAGTCACACCAACGTAAGACCCAAAATATTACACCCTAAATCTACATTTTAGGCAAACTCGACATAAAGGGAAAAAGCTGGCAGTAGCAGCTCTCCAGCAGCCAGGTTGCCAATACACTGCTGGTGTGGATGCCAGGAAGTTGTGAGCCGCAGCAGTTCAGTGAGGCAGCCCCAACAGTGTCAGACATGCAGTGAAGCTCCAGTATCGCAGTTTGTTATGCGGACTGTCACTGGCGGCCACTTTCTCCTTTCTGGATGTGATCACATCCAGATGTGAGTAAAACAGTCAATGGCTGGTCAGATACTGCTGCCAGTCAGTACAGGGTGTGGATGGCTGTTGTCGGCATGTCAATGTAACGACTTGCAGGGGCTGTAATGCACATGTACATGTAATGTCTCTTCTTTTCTACTGCATTCATGGCAGTTTTGTGCAATAACTGCAAAGACATGTTCACAAAAAACATGAGAGCTCAGAAAATTAAAAAAATAGAAAGTAATCTCACAAGCCCAGACGACTGATAATCAACTCTGTATCTGTTGTACATGCGGTGCACAAAAGCCTACATTCTGAAGATACTATCTTCAGTTATATTTTTGTATATCCTACATTCTAAACATATGATACAAAAATGTGGTAGCAGTGCACCGGCGAAAATGGTGAAGACACTGCGGTGAACTCTTCACACTTGATGTCCCCCGCAAGAATTTTGCACCGAGTTCCTAACAAACTGCAGGTTAAGCCACAAGGAGAAGTACTACGATCCATGCACTACCCGGTTCTTTCAATAAGTGCTCTCGTCACTAACAGAAGCATGGTAAAAACCTAACCACACACTGCTTCTCTTCAAGGCTCTGATTTAGAGAAGTTCAATCTTTATTTGACCCATGATAGTTTTGCATCATCGGCCCTTCTACCAAGGAAGTGCATACACCTTAAACTGCAATTCCTTTCCCCACACCCTGCATTACAGCAACCACAAGGCAACATCAGTCGAATAAACCACTGCATTTCAACACGGTCGAAACATGAGTCACGTATAGTGCTGAGAATTTAAGTAAATCTTGATGAACTTTCTGTCATACATTAAACAAAACTAAAACAGAGTGATCAAAAAATAGCTCAGTCAACCAAAAGCTGCACTACACTTTGACATGTTAGCACAGCTTCACTTGACAGTTTGACAGTTACACAATGTAAAGTCTACGATATGAAAGGTCTGCTGTGCTGGGTTGCATTTTTCTCCTGGAATTTCAAATATTGCAGCCACTCCCTGTGCTATTTATAAACTATGATATACATGGTATGGCTGAATAATACTGTACATGTACCCATTATATTCCATTACATAAATCAGAAAAATTAAATACCGATTATCATCAAATAAACTCTGACCAGCCATAATATTATGAAACACCTGGGCAATCCCAATGCACCTGATACAGCTGCTCTACCATACATTTAACTTTTTCAGAGGGGGGGAACAGTATGTGTTAACTCCTTTTATGTTCACTGATGAAGAGGACAAAACATAAGGGACACGTTCCAATACAACATATGGGAGAGTAGGGTAAGTTGAGCCAAAGGGTAAGTTGAGCCACCCCCTGTTGCTTGGAAATGGTAAATGAAATGGATCATGTGACCAAATATTTAGGAGATGGGCATCAATTCATGGAGTCTGTGAAGGTTAGAAGGACATGGGTGAAGGGGTTTATTTCCAAAAAAACATTTTTCACTCTTGAAAGTGAATTTAGTCCGTCATAAGTTTTATCAGAATTGTGTTCAGATCAAAAAAGATCATTTTAAATTAGTTTTATACATCAATTGTGGTATCTATGAGCTACAACATGAGGTCAAAAACCTAACATAAAAGTCCACCATTTTAGTTTAGAGAAGTAAATGTTCTGAATCACTTAAAGGCATTCTCATGTTAAAATGGCTTTATACAAAAACAGCTTTCAGCAGTTATATGCAATGATAATGAAAAGAATTATTGTACCAGTTAGGGAGAGAGAAGGTAAGGGAGGGCTGGGGTGGAGAGTGGAGGGGTAGTAGGGATACGGCTCAACTTACCCCGCTCCTATGGCCAACTTACCCCATACACGGGGTAAACTGACCATAGGAGACCACTTATGTTTACACTCATTCTGTTGGTTTGCAGGAATGCACAACATCTTGAAATATGTGCAGATACACTAGATGGAGACTAAACTATGATGTAGTAATCCGAAATATGAAAAATGGCTCATCTTACCCCACTCTCCTCTACTCCATGACACTACCACCTCCTGTAATATCTTTAATAATAACTGTCAAGTGCACTCAACACTTGGGCCAATTTTAGCCCGTTTAAGACTAATCTATAATCGGCCAAAACTCAGAAATAAAATGTAGTTGAAACCACTTTTCTGGTCCGAGTTTGATCAGTCAGTCTTCCTGTCAACGTGAAGAGCAAAAGCCTACAGTATATCTACAGTATAAAGCATAATGTATATATCTACAGTATATACATTTTTATAACTTCATTAAAAAAAAATTTAAAATCGGCCGATCAATCGGTAATCGGATTTTTCCCCTTCTGATAATTGGTATCGGCCTCAGCCCCAAAAAATCCATATCAGTCGGGCCCTACTCAACACCCATCATGTGGTCAAAACAAACAAAAACTGCTTCCTAAAAGTTGAATTTATGGTAGAGATGTTGTATTTAATTGCATTAGATTGCCCGGTTGTTCACATCGTTATTGCTGGTAGCTGTATATCATCCACTGGATATATTACAGTACAGTTAATCATTTCCCAGCATCTTTATCTATAGAGCTTCCCCACAATCACAGCAATGATAATGCATGGGTGGAGCCTAATGATTTATGTCATTGTGATTGCAGTCCATTGTCATAAACTGTAAGGCAATTGGGCTTGTGTTTCAAATACCCCTTCTGTTTTAATTATGAGCTTTGTGAAGTTTTTATTTTCTTATTAGCCTACCTCATGCTCTGAGTTCTCTTGTCCTCCACTTTTGCCCACTTTGCCAGATTTAGGGGACTCCTGAAAAAGCAAAAAAAAAAAGAGAGAAAAAAAAATTAAAGCATTTTTAACGTGCAACAAGCAGATAGGACGGATGGCAACACACGTAAGCAGTCTATCAATGAATGCCTCCATGCAGAAAATCCCAGCTAAATATAGCCATGCCTGCCCACCCAGTCTCACACTCCTGTTTGAACACAGCGCTAAGTCTGATGCTAGCTAACGGACGTTACTTTACACGACCCCGGCTTTCGGCTTTAAAAAATAGACAAAAAGCGGATGCGCGCGCTGAAAAGCACCCACGTAAAGCTCGGGGGCGTACGTGCATTTTAAGTTTACTAGTCCATCATACTTCTGAGAGAAGACGCGTTATTTTAATGAGGCACTAACATGTTGGCAGGATAGCGGTTAGCTGAGGATGACTGCCGTTAACAGTCAGTGTGATGGGACATCGCAAAATGACTGCTAAATGTCTTCTTTTCAAGCCGGTTTAATCAATAAAAGCCACTTAACAACGCGCCTCGTGCAAGTTTCATATCTAAGCGTTATCCCATATAAGCAGCTCTTTCACTCACCTTGTCCTTTTTAGATTTATTCGGCATTTTACAACCGTAGCCGCCCTTGCTCCCCTCTCGGATACTCCACAACCAAAACCTTGACAACTCTCAGGGCACCACAGCGCAGAGCGGTTCTGTCCGTCTTCGCGCTGTGATTGGCTGTTCGGTGTCAGCTGACTTCAACGTCGCAGACCGACTCCCACAAAATGGCGAGTGAATGGGAGCCCTCTACTGGTGAAAGAGTGATGGGCATGGCAGTTCTTTTAGATGTACTGAATCACTAGAATCGGTTCACTAAAATGATTCATTCAAAAGATTCGTTCACCGAATCACTGGATCATTCAGCACTTGGCCGGGGGAGCCTGTTACTCCGACCTCCTGAACTGGTACACGGCTGAACGGTTCAGGATTCAGTTCAGTTCATAGTTTCTAGGACCGAGAGATGAGAGTGTTTGGCTTTGTTGCTTAAACAAGTTTGTAAAAATGAACTTGTGTATAAGTCATGGTGTTTTGAGTGTACTGTCCTATGGTATGCTATTTATCAGGTCTGCTCGGTAAATTGGGCCCAGTGAGTGATTCATTCACTGAAAATTTAGAAGAATTCACACTGAACATGCACCGTTCCCTCACAAACTGCTGCACTCGGTTTTATGCACTACCTTGTTACATGCTGTGTCCTATTGTATGCAAGTTGTTGTGTTGGCAATTTAGCAGTAAAAAAAAAAAAAGGAAAAAAAATCCGGAGAGTATAGCTCAATGCGTGATTTGTTTACCAAGTGAGTCATGCTATAGCATCTGTGCTTCTGACAGCTCAACTGAAGTGAGAAACGAACGAATCACTTGAGGAAGTGATTTGGTTCAGTACAATCACTTAAAAGATTCGGTTCTTTTGAACGAATCATTCGCGAACGACACAACACTAAGTCATATGTGAACACCAATATCTTGTATCTTTTACTTTAAGGTATTTATTAACTTAGAAATAGTTGTACAGTTTGTTGCTTAATAATAATTGGCCCTGAATTAGATGAAATATCACTGTGATACTTACACATGGTACAAAACATTAAAGTTAAATATAGAAGTATTATAAATAATTGACCATTATATAATATAAATATATTGACCATTTGTAGACTGTTGACTCACTCTGACTGTGTTCTCCCCTTAAATTTCAGTCATGTTATTTTAAGCATACTGTGTTTACTTCATAGTGTTTTATTGTGGCAATTATGATATTTAAAAAATATACGGTTAAATTTTTTTCTTTGAAAAAAAAAAACTTAATTTGCCTGGCAGATGAATTTTCATGTGCTGCAGCCTTTTTTGTTTGTTTGTTTGTTTTATTTGAGAAAATTACAAAAGCTTGGTAAACCTCCATTAATAAAGTCACTGGTTGTGTTGTACTGCTGCCACCTACTGTCTATTTTTAGAAGGTATTTTCCCCTTAAATTGAATTGCTTTTAGTTTAGTTTTTTTTTTAAGTCACATTTTCCTTTATCAATAGATAAATGGACCATTTGTCTTTATGGGACCATTTTGCAGATATTTCAACAGGCCAGAGTACAGGAGAAGCACAAGTGTAAATGATTAAATTAATCATGTCTGAATTCTTCAATTGTGCATGTCAACTCACTGCCACACTCTTCTAGCTTTCTGGGACGACAGAAAAGAAGTTTTTGTTTAGTTTATTAGTGATACATGTGCTTGACAAGGACAATATCTGCTGTGAAAGGGCTCAATTTGCAGCTAGTTTGACGGTGTTATTGTGTAACTGACTTTCTGTAATCTTTGCAGCAGAACCTCCCCTCCCAGGTTGCTCATCTTGTCATGACAGCATTTAAATAATTCACTCCGGTAGTGACACTATCTTTATTAAGTTAGAGAAAATTGTAATCATGTTAAAGGTTGGGCTATTGAGTAATGTCCTCAACAGAATCAATTCTTCCTGTTCACATCTTATCTTAAGCTTCATCACAAATTTTATATCACTTTGCCTATAGTCTGAAAAATATGCCGGAAATTGTGTATGAATACTCCTATCTAATGCTGGCCATGTGTGAGGACTTAACCCCACATTCTCCAGACTGTACTGAACATTTCTGATCTTAAGCCATATGCTTGATTTTTTCAACAAAGAAATAGGTGGGGAACTAATCTACTGTAAAATCATTTTAAAATTGGTAACAAATAACAACACATGACATGTCAATATGGTAGAACTTTATTTTCAGCGGTCCCACCCTATTTTCATGTTACAGTATCAATTTTGTTTTTGTTATTTTTCCAATTTACAGTCAAAGTAAGAACACTCACAGAACATCGGAATGTCAATAAATACAAAAAAAAAGAAAAAAATACATTAACAAAATACAAAAAGTGACAACTTAAAAAATATAAATTTCTAGAAGGAATATATCTGAACTGCACACAGTATGGTCAATGCAAAGGGATTAGTATGAACTGCTTTAACGGAAAAGGATGACAGAGGGAACTTTCCAGTCTCATTTACAACATTTAACTATAAATTTTCCAGAATACTACTTTTGAACACTAGCAGGCTTTACAAACAAGCCTAATCCACCTCCTCCATCCTGGAGGTGTCGTCATCATCCCCTTCAAGAGGGGGCATGTCTTCAGTCGGGGCAGAGGTAGTGTCATCTGGTGTCAGGTCATCCTCATCGATACCTAAAACAAAGCAGAGGAAGAGTTATTGATGCAGCGTCTTTAAACGTTTACCTCCAAACTACTCTGACAAGAGCTGGGGATTAGTGGGAGAAAAAAGTGTGTTTATGCAGCCGACCACACAGCTCTCTAATCAGTAGTAGTTTTTTAGTTCCATATAATTAGCTCTGAATCTCATTTTTTTAATATATCCTGATGCTTGGATAAAAACTGTCACAAAAACGTTCATGTCCCTGAACACAAAAACTCACCAAGACCCAGTTTGATCATCCTGTAGATGCGATTGGAGTGAGTCTGGGGGTCATCAAGTGTGAACCCAGATGAGAGCAGAGCAGTTTCGAACAGCAGGATGACTAGATCCTTCACAGACTTGTCATTCTTGTCGGCCTCTGCTTTTTGCCGCAGGGTTTCGACAATGGGATGGTCGGGGTTAATCTCAAGATGCTTCTTAGCAGCCATGTAGCCCATGGTGGAGTTATCTCTGAGTGCCTGAGCCTTCATGATCCTCTCCATGTTTGCCGTCCAGCCATAGGTGCTGGTGACAATGCAGCAGGGGGAGGAGACCAGGCGATTGGAGACTGTGACCTGTGGAAGTAAATATCAATCAATATAATTATTCAGCTTCATTAAGAGAAATCATCAAGTTATACAGCTTCGGGGGTTGTTTAAATGAAGTGTCTTTCATCGTCCTGCTCACCTTTTCCACTTTCTTCTCTAAAATGTCTTTCATGATCTTGCACAGGTTCTCAAACTGAGCTTTCTTCTCCTCCTGCTTCTTCTTCTCGTCCTCATCCTCAGGAAGCTCCAGGCCTTCCTTGGTGACTGAAACCAGGTTCTTGCCCTCAAACTCCTTCAGCTGCTGGACGCAGTACTCATCGATGGGTTCGATCATGTAGATGACCTCTAGTCCTGCCTTGCGAAGGCGCTCCACAAAGGCAGAGTTGGCCACCTGATCTTTGGTCTCACCTACAACGAAGAAACAGCAATTATGTCTCAGATTATCACAATAACACATTTTTAAACTCAATTCGTCTTTTTGTTGTGAAATGTTATTAAACTTTCAGAATAGAGAGCATTATTACCAGTGATGTAGTAAATGTGTTTCTGGCTGTCCTTCATGCGTGTTACATAGTCCTTCAGGGACACCATCTCATCTCCAGAGGCTGAGGTGTAGTATCGCAGCAGCTCTGACAGCTTCTTTCTGTTTTGAGAATCCTCATGAATTCCCAGCTGAAAGAAAAAAACAATTCATATCAGTTACATCCTGTACGTCCTAATATAAATGACATTAAATTCTTTGGCTCCATTATGCCAAGTTCAACATGTGGAACACAAGAATTGATTTATGGTTCATAAGGTTTAACCACTAATAGCAGTGCTTCCTCTTAAACAGAGAATTTGACCCAGACAAGAAGCTTAACTCTGAGACAATATGGCTGAAGGATCAGACAGATGGTTATTATGGTAAAGGTGTGAGGAGCAAGCAGTATTATTAACTAAAAGGAAAAAACTAAAGCCAGCTTGACTCTCCATTTTGCAAACACTGGATGGAAAATGTTCAACCGCAGTTCAAAACTAAGGTGAGAACGGAGGATCCACTCACCTTGATGTTCTTGGAGAACTGCTCGTAGTACTTCTTGTAGTTGTCCTTATCCTCTGCAAGCTCAGTGAAGAGTTCCAGGCACTTCTTGACCAGGTTCTTGCGGATGACTTTCAGGATCTTGCTCTGCTGCAGCATCTCTCTGGAGATGTTAAGGGGCAGATCCTCAGAGTCCACCACACCCTTGATGAAATCTGAATATATAGGCGATAAAGTTTAATCAAAATAATCCTCCGAATGAGTATAACTTTTAAAAGACTCTCTTGGTATAAGAAAATAATGTGCTACTCACTGAGGTACTCAGGGATGAGCTCATCGCAGTTATCCATGATGAAGACCCTTCGTACATACAGCTTGATGTTATTCTTCTTCTTCTTGTTCTCAAAGAGGTCGAAGGGAGCGCGACGAGGCACGAAAAGCAGGGCACGGAACTCCAGCTGACCCTCCACTGAGAAATGCTGCAAGGAAAAAAGATGGATTAGATCATTAGCAGCTCAGAACCTCAAATTTTGACAAAAAACATCTCAAGAATTTTACCTTGACAGCCAGGTGGTCCTCCCAGTCGTTGGTCAGACTCTTGTAGAACTCTCCGTACTCCTCGTTGGTGATATCATCGGGGTTACGGGTCCACAGGGGTTTGGTTTTGTTCAGCTCTTCCTGGTCGATGTATTTCTCCTTGATCTTCTTCTTCTTCTTCTTTTTGTCACCAGACTTGTCATGGTCGTGCTCCTCGTCAGACCCGACATCCTCAATCTCGGGCTTGTCCTCGTCCTTCTCCTCGTCTTCATCCTTAGCTTTCTCCTTCTCCTCCTCCTCCGCCTCGTCGTCGCTCACTTCCTTGTCACGTTCTTTCTCAACCTAGATTAGAATATATCTCAGTCAATTCCAATGCTTTTGGTGTAAAACATGAATGATTAGGACTGTTAGAATGACTGCTTACGAAGAGCGTGATGGGATATCCGATGAACTGTGAATGCTTTTTCACGATCTCCTTGACTCGCCGCTCCTCGAGGTATTCTATTTGGTCTTCTTTTAGGTGTAGGATCACCTTAGTGCCTCTCCCCATTGGTTCAGCTAAAATAAGAGAAGGTTGAGCCAGTGTGAATCATTGATAGGTCTGGCACCAATGTAAGAATCCTAGTAGAAAGAAACTAATTTGTCAAACAGCACCAGCCAAAATAACGGCCTTTGTGTTACTTACAATTGTCTAGTTTCACTGTGAAGGAGCCTCCAGCTGAAGACTCCCAGGCGTACTGCTCGTCATCATTGTGCTTGGTAATGACTGTCACTTTCTCAGCCACCAGGTAGGCGGAGTAGAAACCAACACCAAACTGACCGATCATGGAGATGTCGGCTCCAGCCTGCAGAGCCTCCATGAAAGCCTTGGTGCCAGACTTGGCGATTGTGCCCAGGTTGTTGATCAGGTCAGCCTTGGTCATGCCAATACCTGTGTCGATCAGGGTGAGTGATCGCTCCTCTTTGTTTGGAATGATTTCAATTTTGAGGTCTTTTCCGTTATCAAGTTTAGTGGGGTCAGTGAGGCTTTCATAGCGGATTTTGTCAAGAGCCTGTGGGTAAAAACAACACCATAAGTCTAAGTCACGAAAGAAACTGAGTGATTATCCTGGACTTTTTGTTTTTAGTTTTATTATGATAATATAACTATGTATAATAGCCACAACTTTAGAAAGGATGAGATTAAAGAAGAGCTTTAGACTGTTACCAAGGCAAACTTACATCTGAAGAGTTGGAGATAAGCTCCCTAAGGAAGATCTCTTTGTTGGAATAGAAGGTGTTGATGATAAGGGACATCAGCTGAGCAATTTCAGCCTGGAAGGCAAAGGTTTCAGCCTCCTCCTCCATCGGTTGATCATGTAGTTCAGGCATCTAAGAAGACGGGGGAAAGAATATTGATATTTAAAACATGCTTGTCAACTCTGATCGGTTATTTTTCTTGCAGTCCTACATGTCACAGACCCTTTTGTCCATCATGTTGAGGGCTTGTTCACAACATATTAACTGGCTGCAGAGAGCTGCTTTATGTGTTAATCAGTGAGTATCTATTTCAATACACATCTAAGTTGTACAACATTCACTCTTATAGTCCCTTGACAGTCAACATCCTTTATCTTTAGGAGCTGTGTGATTGCATCAGCATTGTACGGCGAAGTGTGAAGCATGTATTACTTGGGCAGACAGGTGGTATGACAGATGGTGTAGCTTTACTCATTGCTCCACCTGCCTATAATCCATTATGTCTGCTTCGGCCTATACCCAAGTTACACTTGTTGCTAAGCTAAAGTCATTCAGCAATGTTATAAACTCAAAACTGTACCAGTTGCTTCTTTGTTTTATTTAAAGTTTATTTTAACAAGGATATTACGTTGAGATTAGAGACAAGGCATCAATGGTGGAAAAATGTAAAATAAATCAATAACTCTATCCAGGTACTCGCAAAAGTTTGTGGTAAAAAGCTGAGGTGTAACGTCCTGATGCAGACTCAGTTTTCATTGTGGATTTTTCTATGTAGTTTTTCAGTTTATATTAATTTTTGAGAGCTTTGTCTGCAAATTAACCTTGGCAGTTTTTTCCCCTGCAATTTGACCTTTGTCTCTCATTCTTGAAAAGCTGAATTACTTCACATATTTTCTTTTTATTTCTATTTACTTGATGTGGCAATCACCTGATTCCATCTATTGGCAGCAACTTATGAAAAACAATAAAAAGCACACACATCCAGAGGATAAAACTGCTTTGAAAAAACATTTCTATCCAGACAGCTTAGACTCATCAAGCGAAGGTGTTTTAAAGTATTATTTTCCACAACCATAAAATCAATTAATTGGGAAATTTGACCTCTGCCCTCTAGAGTTTGCAAATCATAGCAGAAAATTAGTGTATTTTATTGTGTCCTCTCATGCCACTGGTTAAACAGAGGGGGAGCACGTGGATAGCATTAAGTATCAGCAAAACAGACTCCACCTTGTGGTCTCCCGGGCGAAATACAAGTTTCTAGAAGGTACCAAGAGGCAAACTGAACTCTCAAAGCAGTTTCCACAGGAATCAAGAGCTCCACCTCCTCCTCCTCCTCCTAACCATCTGAGGACAGGAGGTTCTGTGAGTGTACTGAATAACTGAGAGGGCAATATGATAACAGAATGAGGAGAAAATTCCTACAATTAGAGAAAACCTGATGGAGCTTCATGAAATTATTCACTGCCTGTTAGTGTAATCCTTCGCCTAACAGGTGCACCATGAGGTCCATGTGGCTGCTGCTGCTGCGTCCAAGCTTAAGCCATGAAGGTGATGCGCGACAGTCTCCATGTCAGGATGGAATAAAACGTTTTCATGTGTTAAAATCACTTTGAGTCGATATTTAAAACCTTGAAATGACAGGCCTTATGTTAGTGCAGTGCCATAATCTGATAATGTCACGATGTAGAACACAGTTAACTTAATATTATAGTATATTACAGCGTCGCCATTTCTATTTAATAATGTAACCAGTGTCATTTCAAACATTATCAGTCACATTGAAGAAAGCTTAAGCTCGAAGCTAACGTTAACAATGACCGTTAGTGTTAATGTTGGAATTTATCAGTGGAGTATTTCATTGTATGTTTGTATAAAAGTATTTAATTAATTTACCTTGGTCCTACGAATCCAAAAACCCGACGAGAAGAGTCTTCTAGCAGGTCGCACACGCTTCACACAAACACACACACAGGCTCTTGGATATATACCCTGTCCGACCGAGTGTTCGAGAAATCCCGATCAGAGCTTCCAGAACCGTCTGAAATCCTCCTCGCAGCGGTTCAGCCACTATCAGTCGCTGACAGGCTCAGCGGTATGTCAATCATTGTGCGTGAACGCGCTTCTCTATTGACGCTGTACTAAAAGGGGCGGGGCTTGGGACAGGGGGAGGATGAGCCGGGTGAAGGCGTGCGGAAGTGAACAGGAATCAACCATGGAGCGTTCATTGAAAATTCCAGAACATTGTGTGAAACAGTGGCTTAAGTTTATAGAAGAAAGTTCAAACCTTTTTTTTGTTTTGATAACTTTTGTTTTTGTGAATTTACCAAGCAAAGTGATTAAATTCAGCATGTGGCAAAGAAAAAAAAGATGACAGGTCTTCTTTGTACATATTTATTTTATTAAAAATGTGTATCATTTCATAAAAAATGTTACAGTTACAAAAAGAGCCGTAAGCCAAACCCAAAGTGACTTTATATTACTCTTAATGGTTGTCAGTAGCTTTATATAAACAGCTAATGCAATGTACTAAGCCACACTGTGGCTTACTGTATATAGGTTTCATTGCGTAACTATTCATTAGTTAATTCTGTTAAAAGTGTTTTGTTAGCATGAAATGTCTTTTTGAAGAAGCTAGATAATTTATAAAAATATAACTTATTAATGTTGCATCTAAGAGTAGTTTAGTCAACTTCCTCCATCCTTGATGTGTCATCGTCTCCTTCCAAGACTGGCATGTCTTCTTCAGTGGGCTGGATGAGGTCTTCAGCTGCAGAGTCATCATCATCGATGCCTGTGAATCAGAAAGCCATGAGTAACGATAGCCTGGTATGGATATTTTATAACCTGGTTTATTCAGAGTCAGAGGGAAAATAACCAGCAGCTTACCAAGACCGAGCTTGATCATTCTGTAGATGCGGTTGGCGTGTGTCTGTGGGTCCTCCAATGTGAATCCTGAAGACAGAAGGGCAGTCTCAAACAAAAGGATGACCAAGTCCTTAACAGCCTTGTCATTCTTGTCAGCCTCTGCCTTCTCCCTCAGGGTCTCAACGATGGGATGCAGAGGGTTGATCTCGAGGTGCTTCTTGGCTGTCATGTAGCCCATGGTGGAGTTATCTCTGAGTGCCTGAGACTTCATAATCCTCTCCATGTTTGCCGTCCATCCATAGGTGCTGGTGACAATGCAGCAGGGGGAAGCCACCAAGCGGTTTGAGACCACAACCTGTCAATGAGATGTTGTGTTATTGTCATGGTCAAAGAGATGTGGCAGCTATGTAAGCATAATAGTGAGTGGACATCAAAATCAATTTCTCTGTCATTACCTTTTCAATCTTCTTGTCAAGGATGTCCTTCATGATCTTGCACAGGTTTTCAAATTTAGTTTTGAGCTCTTCCTGCTTCTTCTTCTCATCGTCATCCTCAGGAAGCTCCAGGCCTTCCTTGGTGACTGAAACGAGGTTCTTGCCATCGTACTCCTTCAGCTGCTGGACGCAGTACTCATCAATGGGCTCAATCATGTAGATGACCTCAAGGCCGGCTTTGCGAAGGCGCTCCACAAAGGCAGAGTTGGCCACCTGATCTTTGGTCTCACCTGAAAAGGTAATGTAGATGAAATCAGTGCACTGAAGTGATAACTAAATCCCTTTACAAAAGAAAGAAAAACAAATAGAAATTGAGTTTAATGGCTCACCTGTAATGTAGTAAATGTGTTTCTGGTTGTCCTTCATGCGTGAGACATAGTCTTTCAGGGACACAACCTCATCCCCGGAAGCTGAAGTGTAGTAGCGCAGCAGCTCTGACAGCTTCTTCCTGTTCTGAGAGTCTTCATGGATACCAAGCTAAAAATTGAAAGGAGGTTTTAATGAATTTCAGCTTTACACAGATGAAAAACACATAGACCTGAACTCTTGTGGTTAAGGATTGACAATGACTGATTGCTTAAGTTACCTTGATGTTCTTGGAGAACTGCTCGTAGTACTTCTTGTAGTTGTCCTTATCCTCTGCAAGCTCAGTGAAGAGTTCCAGGCACTTCTTGACCAGGTTCTTGCGGATGACTTTCAAGATCTTGCTCTGCTGCAGCATCTCTCTGGAGATGTTAAGGGGCAGATCCTCAGAGTCCACCACACCCTTGATGAAATCTGAATGAATAGATGATAAAGTTTAAATCAAAATAATCCTACAAATGAGTATAACTTTTAAGAGATTATCTTGGTATAAAAGAATAATAATGTTGTGTTACTTACTGAGGTACTCTGGAATCAGCTCCTCACAGTTGTCCATGATGAAGACTCTGCGCACGTACAGTTTGATGTTGTTTCTCTTTTTCTTGTTTTCAAAGAGGTCAAAAGCGGCTCTTCTAGGTACAAAGAGCAAGGCACGGAACTCCAGCTGACCCTCCACTGAGAAATGCTGCATAGATGAAAATTAGTAAGAAATTAAAACCTTAAAAATCTTCACAAAAGGATCAAGAAATTATCAAGAGATATTTGTATAGAAGTTACCTTCACAGCCAGGTGGTCCTCCCAGTCGTTGGTCAGACTCTTGTAGAACTCTCCATACTCCTCGTTGGTGATATCATCAGGGTTACGGGTCCAGATTGGCTTGGTCTTGTTCAGCTCCTGGGCGTCAATGTACTTCTCCTTCACCTTCTTCTTCCTCTTGTTCTTGCCGTCCTTTGAGTCTTCATCCTCATCAGAGCCAACATCCTCGATCTTGGGTTTGTCTTTGTTCTCGGCAGCTTCTTTCTCAACCTCTTCCACCTTCTCGCCTTCATCCAGGTCCACTTCTTTCTCTCTTGTCTTCTCCACCTTGGATTTAAAAAAAGGTGGGGATTTTTTAAGCTTTTCTTCAAATAATATAATATTATCGCAAATTTTCATCACTAATGTAACTTACGTAAAGGGTAATGGGGTAGCCGATGAACTGTGAGTGCTTCTTTACAACTTCCTTGATGCGCTTCTCCTCACAGTATTCTGTCTGATCTTCTTTAAGGTGAAGGATCACTTTGGTGCCTCTGCCAATAGGCTCTCCTAAAAAAGTAATTTAGATATATACATTAAATCTCACTTATTTACTCAAATGACTCATCAGCAGATTATGTTGTTGTTGAAACTTACCAGTATCTGGCTTGACGGTGAAGGAGCCTCCAGCTGCAGATTCCCATATGTACTGCTCGTCATCATTGTGCTTGGTAATGACTGTCACTTTCTCAGCCACCAGGTAGGCGGAGTAGAAACCAACACCAAACTGACCAATCATGGAGATGTCAGCTCCAGCCTGCAGAGCCTCCATGAAAGCCTTGGTGCCAGACTTGGCGATTGTGCCCAGGTTGTTGATCAGGTCGGCCTTGGTCATGCCAATACCTGTGTCGATCAGGGTGAGTGTGCGGGTGAGCAGGTCGGGCCTGACTTCAATCTTCAGGTCTCTGCATGAGTCGAGTCTGCTGGGGTCTGTCAGGCTTTCATATCTGATTTTGTCCAAGGCCTGTTTAGATATGTAATGTTGTTTTAGTATTGAACATATATAAAGAACTGCCAATTTTTAAAAAACAAAGGCATATATATTGATGAGAAGCTTTTTTTCACTTACATCTGAGGAGTTGGAGATAAGCTCCCTAAGGAAGATCTCTTTATTTGAGTAGAAAGTGTTGATGATAAGGGACATCAGCTGAGCAATCTCAGCCTGGAAGGCAAAGGTCTCCACTTCCTCCTCCATAGCGTGTCCAGCGTTCTCAGGCATCTAAAGGATAGCACATGTTCTGTTTAAAAACATATTCTGCACAAACATCTAAACATCCTCTTTAGAGTCTTTTTTCTCGTATTTAATTAATATTTTCTGCTGTTATCTTATGATTCTTTCCCCTCCCTCTTGGTAAAGCCGGCCTCATGGCTTAGGAAGGGCTCTTCTCACTGATAGTGGGGGAACACATGTTCCTTCTGTCAATCAAACCCTCGCCATTTGGTGACTGGGTGGAGCCCTGATGCTCCCCCAACCCCCAAAAGCTTCAGCATGTGTCATTCAACACCTTTATGTTGTAAGAAGAAATAGCAGCTTAAATATCAGATGCAAGACGAGCTAAATCTGGGTTTTAACCGCAAGGCATGAATCCTTTTTTTAATCTCTGTGACATCTGTATTTGGAACAAAGATTTTTTCCCTTTAAACAACTTGTTTTACGTCTTCATACATTAGTGATTAAAACTTCACCAAAGTAATTAAATGAGTGACTGATTTCTTTTAAAAACAGTCCATACTTCTGTTATATATTTGGTACTTTTCTGCATCAATATGTGAAACTGGTGCATCTGTTCTTTCTGCCAACCTCTTATCCTGCCCACCCGCCATTGCTGTAGCAGGGTCACCCTGCTTGCCATGTGCTCCTTCCGAACAATTGTGGTAGCTTAAAAGGCGTACTTTTTTTATTTGTGCAACTTTTATTTGAATTTATGTTCTTTTTTGGTAACCATGCCTGTCTTTGTACCAGTTCTTGTTTCATTCAAAACATTTTTTTGTTGTCATTTTTGTCTTTTCTGTTTTTAAAATCCAAGTTGAAAAGCATGAAATAAGTGTATTCAGTTTTGGGTGTCTTACCTAGAAGATGATCTTTTCTTGTTGCTGCTTGAGGATAGTCGTCAAATCACTGAGCTTGTCTCCTCTTCCTGGTAAGAGCCCCAAATGAATGCTTCACTGCTGTTCTGGGAGCAGTTAGTCACTCTTGGTGAGTTCAAGAAAGTGTCTTTGACTCTATGCAGACCCCACGACAAGCCGGTGTCTTTTTATACTTCAGGGGGTGGTTTCTAGAAGCTCCCATTCAGAACCTTCCAGAAGATACGCTCACTACAGTAAGGGGGGTTGCGAGACCAGAGCCCTAAAGTTGATGTGCCCTTGTAGGGCTGCAGAGTCACAAGGAGTGCCTGTCAATCAGAGTGAGTGCTTCCCTGATTGCTTGTCTAGCTGTTAGGCCCCATACCCCCCTAAAGCGTCACAGCTGTGCAGAGCCTGCTATCAGCTGCTGTCGAGGAGCCGCATGGACACACATGCTTCCCATGGGGTTTATGGGCAGCAGGCCTGCTTCTTTTTTCAGCTTAAAAGGGAGAATGTGGGAAGTTTCATATGTTTGGAGCATTTGTGAAGCTTTCCTCAAAGTGTCTCAAAAACATGTCAAAAGATTGATACTGCTTGTGAGTTCACATGATGTTATCTTGTATATCAGACTTAGTTTTTATTAATATAGTCCCAATAAAACATTATAAACTCCTACACTTTTGATATAGCCTGTTAGTTTAACGAAATACTGAGAACTCAGCCCCTAGACTGGAAATTTCCATAGTTTTTGAGCTGCATCTTGTGGCCGTAATTACAAGATGGATGTGCAAAGAGAATCAGTGTCCTATAAGTAAAGGTTTTGGCAGAGTTTAATTGTAAGACTTGTAAGAGTTAACTTTTTTGGGATAAATAGAAGGCCCCAATATGATGGGCAATTGAAGGCCCTTTTCATGTGCTTTCTTTGACATGTTTCCACTGTGGACAAGCATTGAAACTGAATTAGAGTTCAAACAACAGAACTATAAGCCACAATACTATTACAATTGCAATATTTCATTAAAAAAATTACTTTAGTTTTTTTTAAATTAAAGTTATACAAAAATCCACAGCTTTGTGAGATAGAAGTCTAGATTCCTCTGGTACAGTGTGGACTCGAGGTAACACAGCTGGCCAGAGGATGGCAGTATGGTACACTGACTGCAGCTCTGTTATGTAATTGAGATGTTTCGAGGTAGTAGCAGACAGTACTAGAAACTGAACGCCATGCAACGTGGAGAACTGTTGCAATCACTGTAAGATGATATTTTCTTGAGCTCAGTGCCATACAGTTTAAATTGTTTACTAGAATAAGATGGCAGCTTAAACTGATGCTTGTATGAACGTGGCAGAGATAAATTGTATCTGGGTGGCACTGGAATGAAGAGCTGGATGATGGAGGTCAATCATCAGCTACCTTTGTTTCAATAATTGCATCATAGAAATTATCATGAGCTTAAATCTCAGGCTGCTTTTGTTTGCTTTAAGAAGGCATTTAGCAAGTACCAGAGAATTTTTTTTATTTTTACAGTCTAATTTCAAGATGTCTATGGGCATAATATTCAAAAACAGTATATGAGGAACAACAATGTAATGTAAAATTGTCAGGGTTCTGTTACATTAGACAAAAAAAATTAGATTGGTACATTACAGCTTTCTTGTTATCAGATTAAAGTAATAGTTTATATATTGCTTTACATTTTGGAGAAAAAAAATCATTACTTCACTTGCACTTGTGAATAAAAACATTGGTGTTAGACTAATTTGCCTCATAAAATAAGATATTCCTTTATTAGTCCCACATGAGGAAATTGTTTAATCTGCTGCTCTGGGCTACACCAACTCCCAGCTCTTCAACAGGTGACCTAAGGTAAATTATGAAAGTCATGGTGTTCTGGGGTGTGGTATCGAAAGGTATCGTTCGTATTTTGTCCACTTCATTAAAATACCAATGTGTTCATAATGTTAAAGCTGCTTCGTCTAATTTTGTTGTGTCTATTTTCATTTTTTTCCACTCACATGATTTTATTAATTCGTACGCATGGCCGCCGGACTTCAACGGCCCAACGCATGCGCTGTCGTCAACATCCGGGGCTCAGACAAGGATGAACGCCAATTTCCAAGATGGCGGCGGAGGGAGGAGGGAAGGAGATGAACGAAATTAAAACTCAATTCACCACACGAGAAGGCGTCTACAAACTCCTCACTCACTCCGAATACAGCCGCCCCAACAGGGTGCCTTTCAACTCGCAGGGCTCGAATCCCGTCAAGGTCTCCTTCGTGAACGTGAACGACCAGTCCGGCAACGGCGACAGGATCTGTTTCAATGTGGGCCGGGAGCTCTACTTTTATATCTACAAAGGCGTGAGAAAGGTAAACAATGCCGAGAGCGGCGGTCCAGGAGCGGCCTCAAACATGCGGCACCGTGGCTGTCAGCTGTCTGAGCTTCTGTCATTGAGGTGCGCAGATTGTGAGGACCAGGCCAGGTAGCGGACCAGCCTCAGTCTGGAGCTAGTTAGCTTTTCTGTGCTAAGACCGCCTCAGTTTGTTGTTATTGCACTAAGAGTGTGCACTCCACAGTTTGAGCCCTCAAGCCGTGACACAAGGCTTTCGTGTTAATAGGATAACGCATACAAGGGTTTGATAAGCCATGTCCGATATCTGGTCTCAGTTTTTTAGCCAAAAGGTTCCTATATGAGTAGGAAGTTGTCAACAGAGCTGCGCAGCTTAGTTTTTTGTCTCTGTTACAGTACCCAGAATCCAAAGCCACAGGAGTGCCAGAGGAAAATGTGCATTATCTGTGATGTAATGATGTGTGTGCACTCCTTTGTTGGGGTCTGGATGTGATGCAATGTGATCCACTGTTTGGTTGTACACAGTGGTGATGTCACTGCAGCAAGCCCGTGTTTGGTCTTGTTTATAGCGGGGATGGTGAGTGTGACACTGGTGATCATGCTGGTGGTGATGTGGTCGTCCCTGAAAAGCAGCTACAGTACACTCAATTCAACAATAGAGGCCAAACCGGTGAATCAGAGCTGTGCGGAGATGTCTCCAGCTCAGAGCGTCTCAGGTGTCAGTATTTAACCACACAAAAGGGAGGAAAGAATGACTGTAAATACTTACTTTCCTGATTACTCATCACTTCCAAAGACTGTCTAAATATTGTTTTGTCTTGTTTTCATTATCCCTGTGGTGTTGTGGCTTTTCAAAAGAAACAACAGTGTCAATCTAGTATTACTTATAGCTTAATGCAGATACAGCGTCTTTAACATCTAGGGCTGGGCGATATGGGAAAAAGTATAAAAGAATATGTATCACCATGTGAAAAAATCACTTGTCAATCTTAAATGTTCCCTGTAAAGGTCCTTACCATAGACTGTATATACTATGGAAAGCTTGGTCCCGCCTCCCGCCTGTATATGGATTCGAAGCCGAAAAGCTCTCGATATTTCCAGGATTTTTCTTCATTTCCTGAAACCAGCATTGCGCAGTAGTGTTGTGCGCATTCGGCAGGAGAGTTGCTGTGATGACACTCGGCTCAAACAGCGCATCCCCCGGGTGAACTACGCAATCCCTGAACGCCAATAGTCTGTGTCAGGTGTCGATCAAGAAAACATGAACCCCCTATTAACTTTTAAAAACAGAGCTTCACACGATTTTGCAGGGTCAGAATTGGACACACAGTATGTGAAACTTTAGAAAAATTGACTGTGAAACGAAAAATAAATGCCGCAATATCGCAGGACGGGAAAACGTCACTGATGTGAACGCTTGTATTGACAGGATACGAATTCGAAAAAAAATACTGACGTCTGAAATAATCGCATGTAAAAAAAACGCTCCTGGTGTGAAAGGACCTTTACTCTTAAATGATATTTAACATGTACGCAACATAATTTGCAGTGCACATGAAGCTGAAAATATACAGGATCTATATTTAGCGCGTTCTGTATTTGCTCTGTAGATCAGCTCTGGGTATCGCATACAGGATGTGTATTTGGAGCGTAGCAGCAGCGTAGTGCAGCTCCGGTCAGCTGGGCTCAGTTTACAGGAGACAACATGCTCACATCAGGTTGTTTTTCCTTTCTGTGGTCTATTTCCTGCTAATTTGGATATAATTCAGTGACCGTTGAGCCTCTACTGCATGCGAAAAAGCAACGTGATTTTACAGTTTCAGTTTTTGGAGGTTTACTCGTGTTTAATAGAGTAAACTATGTTCCTTTAAGCTGTGCTGTTACCTTCAGACAGAGTTAGCAGGTAAAAGTTCTGTTGGGGTCCACATGGATCAGGGATTGACCATCAGATTGTTCTGTGTTACTGATACATACATGACCAGGAAGTATTTCTCATCTACACAAACTGATACACAGTCGGGAGTTCGCATATGGTGTTTTATTTTGAAATACCGGATGACACGCACGGTTTTCGTGCTTTATCTTTTCTGTGTGGATTGACACACATTGGAAGCATAGAGCAGCAAAAATAGACTCTGCTGCGTATCTTTATCAGTGCTGCGATGGGGCTGATACGCGTCCTGTATGCTTTGCTGCATTAATTAGAATGGCAACCTATTTGCGGCGTGATACGCAACGCATAGCAGGAAGTTGTCTTTTTCTGTGCTATTTTGGACAATCCACACAAGTTCCTTAAACGACCTGTTAACCAGTTGCAACTTAATTGGTTCACCCACTGTGACAGTGAAACATCTTTGATGTGACAGTATTTGACATGTTTATGTTTTGATGTAGCCTCGCAACGTCTTGCATCTGTTGGCATGCCCTCTGAGGCTTTATTGTCGCTCTGATAGAATAACAAACAAGTGATTCAGAAAGCAAGAAGACTGTTTTCTGTCATTGTTATTAAACGGTGCTACTTCTTGAGCAAGAAGCCCAGAAATATGGGTATATTCTCTTGATAAGTAATGTTTACTGATGCATTTTAGCTTTACATTAACAGTATATTCTTTAATTTTTTAGCTTGTGTGATATTAGGGAACTATTTCTTTGCAGACTGGACTGACAAGGCAGCACATTCAGCTCATTAGCTGCGTGTAAACGGATGTAGCCAGCAACTTTATAAAATCCATGTCAAATATAGGAGGGGGAAAATAATGAAACAGCAATATACTATCTTCCTGATTGGACAGAAAAAGGTGGCAACTTCATGACTTCTGCATTTTGTTTTCTCTAGTTTGTCAGAGATAAGATGTATTGTGATATGAATGTCTTGCTATCAATCAATTATTGAAGCATTGCTATATCAAAATCCCGGCCTCAGTGCAAACCTAAGTCATTATCAGTCTGAAGAATTGCAAAGTATCTGAGGTGACTCCTTCAACTTCATTTCTCAACTTCAGCCTTTATACTCGCAGAAAGTATCAGATTGCCAGACAGACAAAGCGAAAGTTTGCATCCTACTCAAATTCAGCACGCCTAGAAGTCTCCACTGCTAGCATAGGGCAGCGTGGCAGGTTTTAACTTCAGAGCAGAGTTGTGCTGCTCACACTGATCTCTCTTTGTCACTTTGCTCTGCTTCTGTCATGGTCTTTTTTGTTGTTTGCGGTTGTTTTGAAACTTGGACTGTAAATTTATCACCTATTGTGCTCGCACACCATCAGACTATAGTGCAGGGAAAAAATAGACTGTGGTTTTTAACTCAGGAAACAGTTTGCATTAGTTGAAACAACACAACTTCTCATTGCTGTTTCTGAATAATACCGCCAACAATGTCAGTAAAGTGACAGCTTAACTTTTTGCTTAAAAACGTGAACAATAACTTTTCATACCAGGTAATTTTTTTTCTTTCAAAGTGAACAGGATTATCAAGACAACAGTTGCTCATGAAGTGGCCTCCATCGGATCTGCTCATATGTTGATATAAAATTGAAAACAGTCTTTCCGACTTAGAGCCCGACTGATACAGATTTTTTGGGGCCGATACCGATTATTGGGGGGGGATCTGATTACAGATTAATCGGCCGATTTTTTAAATTTTTTATTAAGTTGTAAAAAAGACATATATACTGTAGATATACTGTAGGCTACTGCTCTTCACGTTACACATCTCTGGTCCGGTCTCATCTGGAGACATGCAGCTGCCTCAGTAAGAGAAGTAGCTCAATCACGTAATGTCTACTGTTGTTTATTCTACCATTAGTTGGCACGGCTAACAGTTTAGCACGGCTAATAGCAGATGGCTAACTCTAACTCTAGCTTGCATATTACATGGTGCTTCACCGTAAACTCTGCGTGACCAAGACCAGCACAGCGGGGAACATCGTGAAGTGGGTTGAACGGAAACTTGTTGAGTTATTGTGTATTTCACAAACTGGTTTATTTACCGTTGAGGCGGACCACTCTCCTCTGTGTGTCCCTGAGCTGCCTGCTTCAGATCCGTCACTCTGCTGTGCTGTGAGGTAGTTATTGGATTAGGATTGTCATGAGGTCGCTGCACCATCTACAGGATAAGTCGAGGAACTTTTCAAATGGCGGAACATTTTCAAAGTGAAACCGAGTCTTATTCTCCGCATTTTATTTCTGAAAATATCTGTGAAAATTGGCGAGTTTTGGCCGATTACCGATAAGTCTCAAATAGGCTAAAATTGGCCGATTTTATCAGTTTGCAGATAAATCGGTCGGGCCCTTATTCCGACTTAACCAAACTATTTTTACATTACACCCAATTTAAACATGATTTTAATTATTGCATTTCATTTCAGCCTGAATACTACACACCGCTTCTTGAATGTCTGAAAATTGACTATGAAAGGGCTGAAGCTTAAAAGTGTCTCAAATATGAAATTTTTACTGTTCAAATGCGAGATGTCTCTCTGTCAGGTTGACATTAGCTCTGTCAGGTGAGTTTCTCCCTTTTCAACTGTAGATCCTCTTCTTGTGTAGCAGATTTGCATAACCTCTGTGTATGGGGCCTCCATGTATAAATGGACTATCAGTCAGTCTACCTTTACACAAGCACTGAATTGGAGAAGAGACAAAGAGTCAGATTCATCCAAAAAGCCTTCAGGTTGTTTTTTGAACAGCACACTTTTCAAGTAAGGGTCCATTAATATCACCGCTCGGTCTTTTCTAAAAAGAGTCAGCAGCTAAAAACAGTCATGTAAAAATAAACTCATTCTTCTTCCTCCTCTCCTTATTTCTTAGGCTGCTGATCTCAGTAAACCCATAGACAAGAGGATATACAAAGGAACGCAGCCCACTTGTCATGACTTCAACCCACTCACAGCTACAGCAGAGAGCGTCTCCCTGCTTGTGGGCTTCTCTGCGGGTCAGGTGCAGCTCATAGACCCAATAAAGAAGGAAACCAGCAAACTCTTCAATGAAGAGGTAGGTTCAAATCAGATTCTTGAAACTTGGTTCTTCACAGTGAAAAAAGCGGTATATGATGTTGACCTTTTTTTTCCCCTCTGTCTGTTTTCATCCTGCTCCCTCAGAGACTAATAGACAAGTCACGAGTAACGTGTGTGCGATGGGTTCCTGGTTCAGAGAGCCTCTTTTTGGTGGCTCACTCCAGCGGCAGCATGTATTTGTACAACGTGGAAAACACCTGTGGTACCACGGCGCCTCACTACCAGCTCCTGAAGCAGGGTGAAAACTACGCAGTGCATACATGCAAGAGCAAGTCAGCCCGCAACCCGTTACTGCGCTGGACTGTCGGAGAAGGAGCACTCAATGAGTTCGCCTTCTCCCCTGATGGGAAGTTTTTGGCGTGTGCTAGCCAGGACGGCTTCCTGCGTGTGTTTGGGTTTGACGCCGCAGAGCTCCATGGGACTATGAAGAGCTACTTCGGCGGCTTACTGTGTGTGTGCTGGAGCCCAGACGGACGGTATATTGTGGCAGGGGGGGAGGACGACCTGGTGACGGTGTGGTCATTTTCAGACTGTAGGGTAATTGCTCGGGGACACGGTCACAAATCATGGGTGAGTGTGGTGGCGTTCGACCACTGCACCACCAGCGTGGAGGACGGTGACCCCCCGGCTGAGTTCAGTGGCAGCGATGAGGACTTCCATGAGCAGATTCACTTTGGTGCGGGGAGAGACCGGGCGAACAGTGCTCACTCTCGCCTTTCTAAGAGGAACTCTACAGATAGTCGGCCTGTTAGCGTGACCTACAGGTTCGGCTCAGTAGGTCAGGACACCCAGCTGTGTTTGTGGGACCTAACGGAGGACATTCTCTTCCCTCATCTCCCTTTGTCCCGCACTAGGACTCACACTAATGTTATGAGTGCCACAAGCCCCCCAACCACTGGACAAACTACTACTACTACGACGACTACTGCATCCACTACTAACCCCAGTGGCACTAATGGAAAAGACAATGTGAGCAATAGCAGCACTAGTGCTAACCCAGCTAACTCTCTTCCTGGCACTCTTCCACGGTCTAACAGCTTGCCCCAGGCCTCCAACCCACCAGGGGGCAGCACGCCCAACAGCCACACAGGCGGCAGCAGCAACAGCAGCAGCAGCAGCACCACCACCACCAAGGGCAACAGCATCATCGACAGCGCTTTCATCGCCACAGGTGTCAGCAAGTTCGCCACCCTGTCGCTGCACGACTCGCGCAAGGAGCGCCACGAGAAGGACCACAAGCGGAACCACAGCATGGGGCACATCAGCAGCAAGAGCAGCGACAAGCTCAACCAGCTCAGCTCGTCTCGGACGGCGAAAGCGGAGGTAGCTAAGACTCTGGGCACGACGCTATGCCCGCGCATGGAGGACGTGCCGCTGCTCGAGCCGCTAGTGTGCAAGAAGATCGCTCACGAGAGACTCACTGTGTTAATCTTCCTTGAGGACTGTCTGGTAACAGCCTGTCAGGAGGGTTTCGTTTGCACATGGGCTAGGCCTGGGAAAGTGGTGAGTGACAGGCCTCTCGAGGATACTGTCATGTGACACCTCTTAACTTCCATTGTCTTGCGCACAGCCATTTTCTCTCTCTGCATTCAGAAGCTGTAAACGCCACTGTGTGCAGCCAAAGGTTTTGGTTATTTCACGCCAGATTTAAACCAAACCCTCAGCATTTTGATGGTTAATAGCACATCTTCTCCGACAGTAAACCTCATGGCCTCACTATTCTTCCTCTTTGAATACATTCACGTAACACTGTTGTTTGTTATCAATGTGTGTTATCTGTCTCTCCACAGGGATTGCTATCATCTCAAAACAACCCTGCCAACTCCCCCAGTGGAACAGTAGTATAGCCCCAGTGCAGGTGCTGCTAATGACAGCTCCATGCAACAGAGACGGGGGATGACCAAGGCCAAGGCCCTGCAGCGCTTCTTCACACACTGTCATACACCACATGACCTCCAGTGTAACCTCCATTCTCATCACTACGAGAACCCAGAGCTCTCTTTGTGTTACGTCTCATGTTTAGATAACAAATGTTGGCCAAGCCAGGGTTAGAAACTCAACCCCCCTTTTTTTTGTCTGGGAGTCTGCTGGAAGTAAAAAAAGTCTAAGCTTTAAAAAGTCGTCCAGGAGGGTTATAGGAGGGGTTGACTGGCTCGTTATTCCGTTTGTGGTCATATCAAGTGGCGTCTGGTCTAAAAATAACAAACTCTAAACCCAATCCTTTGTGCCTGTAGATCTTCGAAGACTAGACTCGCCGTAAGCATTGTGGTGATGCCTCCACCCTAAACTTTTTTATAGGTTTAATTCCGATGTTTTCCCATGTCCTGTTCCTTGAAACGTATTCACAGATAAAGGGAAAAATCTTGTTTCGGAGCAGCTCCACATCCCCAATGCCAAGTCTCTTTCATCTGTCGCTTCCTGGGTGACCCTTTTGTGCAGCACTAGTCCTTAACATGAGTTCGAGAAAGACTGGAGCGTTTTACTTCCTTCACAAATATTTGAATCAGAGGTTTCACACTTTATAGTGAATTTGCACAGATTTTCCTTTTCTCTCTTTCTCTCTATCTCTCTCTTTTCCCATTTTGGAAGTCATGACAGTGGAAAACAAGCGAGATATTTTGAAGACAGGTTTTCAGAAGCACTTGGGGGGATCGGCTTGTTATATGCCCTCTGTCTCAACGCTGGATGCTGCAATCATAATAGTTTTTTATATGGAAAAAAAAATTGTTTGCACTTAATAGTTTGTTAGAGGAGAATGGCTTTACATTTTTGGAGTGTGTAAGGACTCCTTGATAAGGTTGAAATATAAATAGAATTTAAAAATAAAAACCTTTGTATCTATTAAACATTTATTTTAATATTGTTTCAGATTAAATGGGCTCTGTATTATATGTAAATATTGTACTTCAATGATTTATGGGTGAAATGATCATTATTACATTAGTTCAAAGATCCTCATTTCAGAAAATAGTGATATTTCTACTACAGAAATCTATACATAATATTAAAATGAATCTTGAATATGCAGGTGAAACTGTTTCTTTCCTGTTGTACATAAAGAGAATTCAGGTGTATTTTTATTAATGAAACGTTTGGTATAGGAGAAGTCTATGAAATCCTCTTATCTAACAGGTAGTGCTGAATGCTAGCTAGCCTGTCGCTGCAGATTCATTTAACGACATAGGCAGGTAGGCGTAGATGCAGCGGTCTAATTCAGCCATCACTCCGAGCTCAGGTAAACCACAGGAAGACTAACGCTGGCATAGCTCCCCTCACTAGTCTCATCCATCGACATGTGTGTGAATTCACTTTAACTAACAAAATAAGACTGACGACCGTGCTCTGAGGACAGGGCTGAGATCTGTGAGTCCTGATTTTTTTTCTTCTGTTTTTTTTTTTTTTTTTCTTTTTTTTGTGAGTAATTGCTGAACTGATGCTGAACTTGTGAACAAACATTTGACACTGTGTTGAATACCAACTGACTCATGTCAGCACTTGATGATGGAATAAATGCTTGAGGTGAGCGTGTTTTAACAAGCACTCACACATAGGAAGACTGAGGATTTTAACAGTGTGACGCCTATTAAAACAGCTTTGACAGATTTCGTGTTTTATTTGTGTTGATTTGTTAAGTGCATGCTCTCTCCACATTCATCGATAGCCTGGGCAGCCAATCACTGATTCATGTCAGTCACTATGATAGGAATATTAAAGGTCCGTTATCCACTTATTAGTTAATTACACCTTCTGCCTCTACAAGCTGTAATTTTCTCCACTCAAACAAACAGTTTGGAAAAAAAAATCACAGCTTTAATTGAATGACCACAGGGGATGTCATTCAGGCACAGTGAACACCATCCACACAGTCAATGGAGGAATTTGTATCAGGAATTTTAAGTGCAAACCATTGAGCGTGCCTCTGCCCCTTTCATGGATTAAAACGTTTTATGCTAAACTTTAAGTGCAAAATTAAAAAATTGTACAAAACGCAAGTTTTGAACAGACTAGTTTAGAACAGAATTGAGTGTTTCTAAACCACAAGTGGGGTGTTTTTTTGTATTGGTCAGTACCATTTCCTCGACATTTTGCTGAAAAAACAAAATCAAAAACAAAGATTTTTTGTCTTTCACGGATTGGGAAACAGTCACGTAACAGCGGCGCACATGGCTTATACACTGACTGAGCTACTCTATGCTCTATGGGGGGACCAAACTAAGGTACATTTTAAACTACATCTCTGAAAGATTATTGCTTTTATTTTCCAACAGCTCATATATCCTTTAAATACACAAGTTACTGTAAATAAAAAGCTTTAATATATCAAGATTTATCTTAAAAATGAGACCACTGGTTATTTTTAATGGCTCTTTAAATGGGAAATAATAATAATGACAAAAAAGGTGGTTCGACATTCATGAGGCTATTCTCAATAAAATATTTATGCAATAAAATGTTTATGGTACTGACTAATTATACGCAAAACTTGATATGCTGAGTCATATATAGCAGTTAAGTTGAAACCAGGCCCATACTGCTTATAAAAAGTTCAGAGCCAATATGTGGAGGTTTTGATGCCTGTCAGAGGATGTTCTTTGTTGGCAGGATGAGATGAAATTAGTTCCCTCACAGAGAAAGAAATTTGTTGCAAAAAGGAACATGCAGCCCTGTACAACTTAATTCAACATAAAAGCAAGCAATACACAAGAAAGTGACCATGAAATAAACTAGTACAGATGAAATACTGTAAAATAAATAGAATCTATAACTTTACACAATAATGTAAGACTTAAAAATGGTATTAAAGACTGAGGCTGAATAGAGGTATAACCAAAAGTTTTTAGAAACAGTGTATACTGGAGCTGACAGTGTAAATCTGTTGCTGTTTTGTTTACATGCTCTGTATCCTGGATTGACACTGTAGATCTATCTTTGAGATTGCTATCACACACACACTTCAAAAAAACTACTTTGATTTTTCCAACTGAGGTGAGGTCAGCTCAGTTGAGTTGACTGAGAGCATTTCCACTTTATCAGCATATAGTGTCCTCTAGTGGTGGATTGTTGTGGATAAATTGTCACAGATCTTAATCCTGTTTTTAACCCTCTGTATGCTCAGTAACAAGAGTTAGAAAGACTTTACAATGACGGAATTCAATATATTTAAAAATGATTGGTGAAATCTCAAATGATTGGTTGACAAAATCTTTTGGAATCATTGTCAGCATAATAATATTTCATATGCACATTAGTTTGTTTGTTGTTTTCCTTTTAGTGGATATCTTTCTCTCATTTGTCCAGGAGGCCATATTTTACAATCCCTCATTTGAGTTTTCATTATGCAAGGCTCCACACATGGCATCAGAAGACCAGTGCAAGACCAATTGACGTAGAAATAAAGAAACAGGGTGATCTTGAGTTTTTGACACATTTAAGACAACAAATCTTCTCTGTAAATGTCTTATTGTGGATGTTTGAACCCAAATGTATGCTTGAAATTATATATTTAATCATCTTCTGAGTGAGTAAAGCTGAAATCAGGGCCGTGAAACTATTTGAGCACCTCATATATACTTAAATACACACTGAGTATCAACACAACCATTCTCTTTCAAGCTACCATACACTCTCCAAGTTGACTCCCATCTGTCTCATCTCTCTCATCATGGGGCCTCTTCACTGAGTCTGATCCACTCTCTCTCATCTGTTTCTTCATCCTGGCGCTGCTCTGCATCCTGTTTCTCTGTCAGCATTTCTCTCAGATCCAAATTTAGGTACTGATCCTGCATAAAAGAAATGAAAAAAAGCATATCTGTCCATTTCTTGCTTGAAAACGCTTCCTGTAAGGAGTCAAACTCATCTTTGAAGACACTACTTGCCTGCTCAGGAGAAGATCCAAGTCAAAGTAAAGATGAACCAGGATTCAGGATACACTGAGTGATCCAGGATTCAGCTTTGATGAACTACATGGCGTAGACTGATTCACATTTCATCGCATGACTTGATCTGACATCAGCACATCACATCGGGTCACATGATGAGACGTGACAGCACATCAAGACGCATCACACATAAGACAACAACACATCAGGACAGAGACATCACAGCGCAACTCAACGGGACATACAACTGCATTATAAATAAGACGCAACATAAAATCCATTAAAAATACATCAGGAAACAGGACTTACATAACATAAACCCTCCATAACATGACAGGACTTGAAGAAACATCAACAGACATCACAAAACCAAAAATCTCCTTATGTCCATATTAAAGTACAGTTAGTGTTGTGTTGGTCGCGAACGATTTGTTCAGAAGAACCAAATCTTTTAAGTGAACATACTGAACTGAATCACTTCCTCAAGTGATTCGTTTGTTTCTCACTTCAGTTAAGCCGAAGTGAGAAACAGCATTGCCAGTCGAGCAGCTGGTGAACGAGGGACCATATGCACCGACACCTGAATCACTTGGTAAAGGAATCACGCATTGAACTACACTCTCTGGAATTATTTCTGTCGGACAAAACTACCTTTTTTTAACTGCTAAATTGCCACCACAACAACTTGCATATGATAGGACACAGCATGTAACAAGTAGTGCATTAAACCTGCAGCATCCTAGCCTGGCTGGGCCATCCTGTTGCATGAATCACTTGCTGTTGACCTGTTTGCCAAAGCAACAAAGTTAAACACTCTAACCAGAAGCTATGAAGTGAACTGAATTCTGAAACGTTCAGCCGTGTATCAGTTCAGGAGGTTGGAGGCGCAGGCTTCTCCCGACAAGCGCTACATGAATCGGTGATTTAGTGAACGGGTCTTTCGAACTAATCTTTTTAGTGAACTGATTCTAGTGATTCAGTACAACTAAAAGAAGTACAGTACAGTACATCACATCACCAAAACCTTAACTTATCTTAAGCAAACTTATCTCAGCTTAACCAAACTTGACTTTTTTAAACTTATCTTAACTTATCTTGAAGAAACCAAACTTATCAGAACTTATCTTTACTTCCTCTATATTTAAAATGGTAACGCTTTCTTTTACGGTACGCTTATTACCAGCTAATTAACCGGTAATTACATAGTAACAACATGAAATTATCTGGTAATTACATGATAACTACTAAGTCAATACTGTTGAGTTTTTCTTTTTTTCTTTTTTCTGTGCAGCTCCATTTTCAAAAGCTATTTGGGGTTCTTATTTTCTATGTTTGACACTTGATACAGCTTATGGGCGTGTGAAGATTGTGTAGCGATACGCTGTTTGAGCCGAGCATTATCACAGCAACTCACCCGCCGAATGGGTACAATGCTACTGCGCAAGAGGTGGTTCCAGGAAGCGGAGAAAATCCTGGAAATACCAGAGCAATTCGACTTCAAATTTGTATAATGATGGAAGGTTAACTACCTGGTAGCTAGACAGTATTGACTTAGTAGTTATCATGTAATTACCAGATAATTTCATGTTGTTACTAGGTAATTACCTGGTAATAAGTGTACCGTAAAAGAAAGCGTTACCCAGCAAGTTTCTATGGCAGAGAGATCTCAGCTGCTGGTTCCTCGGCTTCATCAGGGCCTGAACATTTTTTCTTCCATTTTGGCTCTGGCCCAGTTGAGATAAGCCCGGAAGAAGTACAGGGGAAGTCTTCGGGAGGCTGGCTCGGTTCCTCCAACCTCGGAGGGGAGATGATCCTCTGTTGAATCCTTCTGACAGGCTCCAAGCCAGGTCACCGCTCTTCCTCGGCTAGCATAGGGAGCAGGCAGGGGGGGAGGGGTTGTAGCTGGATCTCTCAGGGCTCTTCCGTGACCTAGCTGGGGAAGAGCACTGAGAGGAACCAAATGAGGAGGAAAAGGAGAGGTTATGATGGTTATATTTGTATTCCTAATAAAGTCATAGCCACTTTTTGCCTGCAGGTGGAAGTATTACTCAAACATAAGCCCTCATAACCATTACGTGACCCACTATTTGATGACATCTACAGAAAACAATGTCTATTTATGTATTTCCTGTTCTCTCTCCGTACACAAAAGCATTTCTACTACTTCACCTCACTACTTCATTTATATTTTATATTCAAAGTAGGGAATAAAACTGCCCCTCCATAATTCATGAGTCACTTTTAGAGGAAATACGAGCACTCACAGCCATCAAACCTGCAGTGTGTGGCATCACAGTGAGAGAAGGAGCGGGGAGAGCGATCAGCAGGCCGGGGGAAAACCGATCATCCTGTCAGGGTGTCAATCAACTCATGACAGGCTTTGAGAGGCAGTCTGATCCCCCATCTGAGCGGCACACATCAATGCTTGAGCAGGTTTCACAGAGGATTTGTGTAAGGAGGAGGTTTGAACATTGAAACTCATCGAACCAACATCCTATTGTGTTGTTTTCCTCACTAAACAACATATGCTTCCAATCCAAACACACTCATTATCTATCCGAACCACCCTCTTTATGAACTGACCATATATATAGCAGTCAAATCACAGTGTACGCTAAGAGCTACATTTATCTTGCATCCTCGGGGAAATGCGCAGGTCCCACTTGATAGGAATTCAATAAATTGAGAGAGAATCTCATAGCTCATGTGGAGTCCTGCTTTAATCATCTTCTCACAGATGCATTTCCCTCGTCTGTGTGCCTCCATTTATTGACTCACAGTTTTTGTTTACCGAGCAATGTGTGCAACAGCTATGAATGATTAATACAGTCTCCCAGAGGTACAGGCCTTAAGAATGATCAGCACTCAATGTGTGGCAAAAACGCTAAAGTTTAATAAGACGGATTGAGTTATTGAATTTGTGAACTAGTATGCACTTTCAATTTGTCAAGCCAGATTATAGGAATAATAAAATAACCTACTTTTCGGGGATATTTATGAAACACGTTCAGGTGACCTGTAGAGGGAATCCTAAAAATTCAACCCTTTACAGGAACAATGATTTCTTTTTGAGGGCAGCAGGAGGAAGCTGTGAATACAAGCTAACTACAAACTTGTTATTGAATTATTTTTCAATCAAATATTATTAACGATATCACATGGGATAATACTCACTGGGGTTAACCTTCCTCCTGTGTTAGCTTTTACTACACACCCACATAGTTATATTTCTTATAATAGTTTTTGTAGTGGACCTCTGGGCCTTTCTTTGTCAGTCTACCCCTCACACAGACATCTATACTGAATTGATCTCACGTCTGGACATGCCCGACGTTGTTACTTGTGCAGGGAAAAACGGGGCAAAATGAGAATTTCCTAAATCTCACATGATCTGAAGAGGATCTGACTGTCAGTGCACATATGATTTCAGTTTTTACTCTGATTATTTGACATTAATCTAACTGGGTCAACAGCGACCCTAACCCTTGTATTTAAAATCAAAAATGGGTTGGTGCAGACCCTAGCACAGGAGGAGGGTTAAATAAAAAGGAAGTTGCTCAAAATGAGGTCCTGTTAGGTCATAAAGGTACAAGTGAGACCACATTCACATGTATTTTCCTGCTCTGAAACTCTTCTAATCGATGTGTCAGACACTGCATGAACGAAGGGTTAGAGAACCACAGTGAGGTGACTAACTTTTCATATCATAGTCAAGAGACCAGGAGTAAGAGGTGGATTAGAGGTGGGCTTTTGGCCAATCTATGAGCCAAATTAGCCACTAACGGTGCCTTTTTGTACCAAGATGCAAATGTGTGAATCCCCCATTAAAAAATTGGGTGTTGTATTATAGGATCTGTCAGGGTGTCCTTCCCTTTTAGAGCCAGCCTGAAATTGCCGTCATCTGTACCAACAACATTGGCTTACATTTTTAGCATCAGAAGTTTCTGCTTGTGTCATACAGTTATTTATTCTGTCTATTAAATGGACCTATAAATATCAGCCTCTTATTGAACCTGTTACTGACTGGTGGTTTGGTTACTTTATGTAAAGGTGTTTGTCTTCAGTATTTCATTTGAGAAAGTCAAAAAAACTATCCCATTGACAGATTATATGCACAACTATTTATCCATTTTATTCCCTCCTCCTGAGTTAGGGTCTGCGCTGACCCATTTTTGTTTTAAATGCTTAAAAGAACCACTTACATTAGCTTTTTTTGCATCAAGACTTTTTGACTTTGTCAGGAACCTCTATTTCAACAAACTATAAAACGCTCTTATTAAAATTATGGCACTTGTCATGTTAGGGTCGCTGTTGACCCGGTTAGATTAATATCTAATAATTAGAGCAAAAACTAAAATCCTAAGTGCGCTGGCAGGCACCACACTGACAGTCAGATCCTCTTCCAATCATGTGAGATTTAGGAAATTCTCATTTTGCCATATTTTTCCTGCACAAGTAACGTCAGGCATGTCCAGACATGCGATTCAATTCAGTATAGATTTCTGTGTGAGGGGTATACTGACAAAGAAAGGCCCAGAGGCCCACTACAATAGATATTATATGCAATATTTTTATGGATAATGAAGCCTAACAAGTTAACCTAGAGATAAAAACCAAATTGGATGATAGAGAATTGTTTTTAGTGTAATTTGCAGCTGATTTAAGACACAGGTCAAAACCGATCCTTAACATAAAGGGTGCGTAGTAAAAACTAACACAGGAGGAAGGTTAAATGATATTTCAATTAAATCACGAAATAAGCTGCTAAAGCACCAGGACATTACACTTTTTAGGGCTTCAGGATGAGTTAATCTTCAGTCATCAAGAATCCAGTGCAGAGTGTCACTTCCTCCTATTCTCACTTCTATTCTAAGCCGTGTCCCCTGAGATGTGGACCCAATAATTGAGACTCCACCATGGGAGCAGCTGCACAATTTGGTAGTCACATGACCTCGGCACGGCAGCCCCAGAGTCATGTCTTCACACTGAATACAGAGTTTAAGCTCATGTATAAAAGAGAAAATTAGACTCCTTTACGCTTTACATTTCATATTTCATATTCAACTCATACAACTATTTTGGAGTTTTGCGCCAAGTGAAATCTCACCGTCCTCCAGCGTAGGATTTTTAAATCAAGTCGAAGGTGTGTTATGTCAGCGATAACTTTGCAGTGATTCCAGATTTTGAAGAGTGTGCAGAACTGATTGTTAAACACCGCCTCCAGGAGAGAAGGGGAGCAATCAATGCAGCTACTGACAAGCCACCGAGCTTAGGCTTCTGCGGAAACCATCAATACTGAGCTGTGGTCCAAGCACTTAAAATGTAAATGCACCTTCAATAGCAACAACACCAACAAGAAAGTTGTATCGGTGTCTTGGGACTGCTCTGGGTGCATCGTGTGCATTTATCTGAGCAACAAAAAGCTCTGCACAAAGATACAGGTGACTGGATTGTTTGATTGTGCCTGGATTGCTCAGCTGGAGAGTGATGCAATGCAACAGAATAAACAAATGCATCACGCTGACCAAACACTTCCTTTGAGTGAGTCATAATTTTGGCATCGCCGGCGTGTTTATGAGTAGACGACACCTTTCTCTGCAGTCACGAGAGTAATAACACACTTGGCGTGCTCTGGAAACCTGTTGAAGCGAAGTAGGAGATGGTTTAAATGGAACAAGGTGTCTCAGAGGATCTCCTTTGATCTCAGCAATTTTGCATGATATAAATACCTACAGATTAATTATGCATGCGCGGTGGGATTCGCCAAATTCATGACTGTCCTGATGAGCACTTGCTTGCTCTTTTCTCTTGCTCTTGGATATTTTTGGCACGTTGGCGAAACCGATCCGATGGCGTCGTTAGAGAAAACACAAGAAAGCGTCGTTTAGTAGATTGTTGTTAATTACAACTTACAAAACATAGTAGACTTGCCAGGAATCACTTAAATAATTCAATGTAAAGACATATTTGTGTTAAAGAAGCCAAAAATCCAACATTCGTTTTTATTTGGAACAGTCCGATAAAACAGGCAATATGAAGAATAGTCCATAAAGATTTACTTTAAAAGGCTTTTTTCTGTATAGAGGATGCAAAAGAGACAAGAATATATAATAGTAGTAATTAAGGTCACTGTAATCGAACATAACTCTTGCAGAGTTCATGGTCCCTGATATCTCCCCAGCCCCCGTTTTTCACATGTGGAGCCACCCCTCCAGCCCCGTTTGCAGGCAGTCTCTTAGTTATCAGGAGGTTCTTTGGGAACAGCTGGTTCCCGCTGCTCTGGAGGATGTTCTCTATCTTGGTTTTCTGGCTCATCGGCATGCAGGAGGCCTTTTTGTGGTGCATGCCGCAGTCCCCGGCGTGGAAGATCCTGGGCGCCTCGCTCACCATGACCTTCCAGTAAGAGGGCAGGCAGGCCACAGTCAAGTGCTGCAAGGACCAGTCCCAGTTGTAGTCGTCGTACGTGCAGAACGTGTCGGTGCACTGGATGAGCTTCTGGTATGTCTCTCTATTCAGGGCCATCCCCATGTTGTGCTCAGTGGACTTCCACGCCTTCACCTCAACCTTGTTAGCTTTGCTGGAGTAGCCGATGTGGCTGTAGCTTCCCAGTGAGAGGATGTCGCAGTCGGTGCACTGCTCTCTTTTCAGGGCTGACATCAGCTTTAAGAGATGGATAAAGTCCGGGGACAAGAAGTGGTCCTCCTCGATCAGGAGGACCAGACCTTTGTGATCCTTCACAGCTTGTACTCTTTCCCATACAAAGTGCAGCTTCCACCACCAGTGGTGCTTGGTCTGAGAGAACTTTGCCTCCCGGTAGTGGCCGAACGAGTCAGGGTACTCTGCGTTGATGCAGCCCATCTTTAAGGCGTCTTTTTTGGGGATGTCTCTGGGACAGTCCCTGGGGTCATGTCCCGGGAACTCCTGTGGGTATAGCTGAATGCTGAAGGGGAAGAAAATCTGAAGTACCTGACAAAAGTCCACAGAGGCAACCACCTTGTTTATTTCAGGAGACCAGAAGTCATGGCTGAATATCAGCAGTATGCTCTCTACGCCTCTGGCCTTCCGCAGACTGTCCACTAAGAGTTTAAGGTAGTCCGGTCTGTTATGGACCTGAACCACCACAACCAGATCATCCTTCTGCCGTGCCGCCTTGAACTTTTCCTCATTTCTTATCGTTTGGTCGAAGTTGAGCTGAAAGACGATGCCCCGGTAGACTAAAGTGGTGTTATCTATCTCTGGTTTGGAGATCTTCTCCTTGTCCTTTGCTTTTTCCTGGTGTGTGTCATTTGCATGTATAACTGGAGGGTGGACAGGTGCCCGGCTCACCACAGGTGTAGCTTGTACTTGGATATGATTGTTAATGTTGATGCTACTGCTGCTACTGCTAATGCTGCTGCTTCTCCTCGCCGTCTCCACCTCCTTTGGGAACGCTCCACTTTCGCTCTTCTTCTGCCTTCCGCTGCTCCAGAAAGCGAGGCCACAGATGACAACCACCACGGTCAGTATCACCACCTTCCTCTTGTAGATTCGGAATCTCATGATAAGGGGTCAGCCTCTTGCCAGGGGGGAGAGAAGTTGATTGCGGTGAAATGAAGATCTCAGGTTTGCAGCGAGGATGATGTGCTTTGTAAAGGGTGCAAGCCTGATTAAAAAGAAGCTGCTATGAGGCTAATTGTTGGCTAAATGATTCTTTGTTGTAAACACAGACCCCACTGGAATGTCATTGACGGTGGATAGATTCTCCATAAGGCATGACGGTAGCTTGGAGGCAGCAGGGCAGCAGTGTGCAGGAACCACCTAAAGGAGAGAGACATCATGAAAAAGTTAGGTGCATTGTGGTACTGAAACTAGGACTGTCATGGTGAAAATGCCTATACTAGTTCATATCAGTATGCAGTGTATTGCAATATATCAAATGAGTTTTAAAAGCATCTGCCACTGTCTTAAATTGTTAGATCACCCATCACAAAATTAGAATAAATGTCACATACTGGGAGCCAAAGAAACAGTAAGATGCTTATTTTAACTACAAGCTCATAAAATAGTGACAGATGTTAAATGAAAAGGGCTAATAAGCTACTAGATTAAGAAAATATACATACACTGCATGGAATAAAATAACTAAATCCTATGATATCAAAATTAAAACCAGGGGGAAAAAGGCTAATCCTTTTTTCCTCCATTTGCTTGTGAAGGCACTTGGAAGTAGTGTCAAGCTACTAAAACAAGCTCATCACATGTTAGAAGCCAAAAATATTACATTGCAAACACTAATTCATTTTGCAAGGTTTAAATCTGGTTAATAGAAACGATGTGATGACTGAAACATAATATTGTGAAATGACTCCTGTAGCTTTAGTCAGAGCACACACACACACACAGACACACACACAGAAACGGTCTTGTCTTGCATAAAATGACAGACAAAAATGAAAATATAGATTTTTTTGGGGATGCTTATCTCTGATTAATACATATTTAAAATTGGCCTTTTAGTTAAATAAACAGTTAACTAAAGCACCCAGGTTTCGCTTTTGTAAGTCTGTGTCCTGAAGAAAGATTCAACAATGACAGCCCTTTTCTGTTGATATCTGACACTATTCTTTTTTTCTAGCACCCGCCTAATTCTCTCTCTTGTGGTTCACCCCTGACTGTGCCCAAGCTTGATAGTCTGTGTGTGGTACTGAGACATTTGATACCTTTGATCATCTGTGAAAATATTAATGAACACACCCCACGTAACGCCTACAAAATTTAACAAAGTCTTAGCCACACAAGTTTGGATGGACCATAATAAAACAGCAATGACTATACACCAACCAGTCACAGCATTAGGTATTTTACCCGCTTCTTTACAAATGCATCGTATTAAGAACACCTTACAATAATACACTACAGCTAGGGCTAGGCGATAAGAAGATAACGATACACATCGAAAATCAATTTCCCTCGATTCGCACTGAACCAATTATGTGCTGAATTAGAACCAAGAAGCAAACAACTGCGTAGTCGCAGGCTGCAGCTACACACAACCATAGCACTTTAACACGTAAAGCAGACAGCACTGTTGGTGAGAAAAAAAAGAAAATGAGTGCTACCCCTGGCAGAAATTCAGATGACGGCTCAACAGATGACGACATCGCCGACAAAATTGGCATGAAAACGTCGGTGGTGTGGAGGTTTTTTGTTTTTTTGAAGTCGGACATGAAGCAGAGTAATGTGCACTGCAAATTGTGTCGAGTACATGTTCTCACAAAGTTGGGTAATACCTCAAATCTTTCCCAGCAGTGACACGTTGCAGAACATGTGCAATACAAAAGTAGGACTGGTGATTATATGATCATGATTTATGATCGTGGTAAATTTCATTTCGATCACAGTAATTATTTGTGAGCATATTAACTCAATCAAACAAAGCGGAAATGTGCGTCACAACAGCCAATCAGAGTCCAGCTTTTCCTGCTCCACTTCTGTAAGTCGCCGGAGAAGTAAACCGTAATAATGTGTACTGTAATAATCGTTCCACAATTATAATTTAAAGACAAGTGGCAGCGTCACTCAGCAGAGGCGAGCATGCCGACTACATACCAACCTAACCCACTTGTAGTCTTACCCACGGTGTCAAAGCCTCGGTAGCAAAATGTACAAACAAACCACCACAACAGTAGTCCCAAATCCAAAACAAACTCTGAAATTAAGTACATTAATGCCAGCCTAACAAAAGCGGGAACATTAAAAGAGAAAATGAAGAAATTTTACAACAAAATGCGAGAACAGTCGGAGACTGAGACATAGTATGGACGTTTTACGGCTTCACAAAACAGACGGAGCAGGTAAACCTGACACCAATCTGCAGGTTATGCCGTAAGGAAGTTGCAGCGCCGCCGTCTAACACTTCAAACCTACATGCCCATCTCCGTGAACACCATCCAGCATCTTTAATTACGTTAAAAGCAATGCGATAATACCGTGAATCGTGATATTTTGGATCACCAATATCGTGATATAAAATTTTTCATATCGGCACATGCCTAGCCCTAACTACAGCACACCTCCAACACACCCACCTCAACTTTAGCAATTAATTTAAAGCAAGTCTGGCCATGTCAACAAAAACTAAAAATGCAGAAACTTTCTTTGAGTAAATCTTAAGTTGAATTAAATTCCATTAGGTGTTCATGATGTTGTGGCTGGATGCTGTATAAAGTTATCACCTCGTATATGTGTGTAATATCCCTGCAGGGCTCTTCACGCATTTACAGCTCGTCGAATCGTAACCGTTGCTCCTGCAGCCGAAAGTAGTTCAATTCGCAATGCTGACTCTTTCCTTTGCACAATCTGAACCTGAGTTTGATAAAAATGTTTGTCTATCGTGTCCTGTTTCTGTGTCAACATTTCACTCGGAGCCCTGAAGCGTTTCCTTTAGTTTTCTCTCCTGACAGACACACAGAGCCACAGACAGCTTACATCGATTACAGCCTTTTCACACCATCGCTTATATTTTCACCGGGTGAGATAAAACGCTCAAAATACCAGAAAGCAGTCTGCAGTTTTATTGTTTTATGACAGGAATCCTCCTCTTAAAAGCTAACGGTGCGTTAGCATTTGCGGCTAACTACCAACAAGCAGTCCAGTCCAGACCAAACCTCGTTAAAAACAGCCTCCATGTTAGACCCGGACCACCATATTTAAAATACGCACCTAAAACTGAGGCAGCCGAGCGGTCCTTTCAGTGGAAAACATCAATACGGCGGCGTCCCATTTTCCTCCATTTCTTCTAATAGGCTGCATGGAAACGCAGCTTTCAGCTAGCTGCAAAAACCCTAAATACGGAAACCACAGCCTGCCGCTGTCCCACAATGCACTGTTCCAGCGGGGGGCACTCGAGACCCCATCAATATCATATCCCTGCTGCTTTTCTCTTTTTTTCTGCTTTATTGGAGGATACGGCTGCACAGATTAATCAAACAGCAAACAAACACCATAATCTCAGCCTAAAATAAACACAGAGTAAGACACGCTATTTATATGCACATGGGTATAAAAATTAAAGTGAAATATTTTTATGTACAGTGTGGACTCTGCTCTTCTGTCGTTCAGTTTATGTAATGATTTGATGTAATGCTCTATTTCTATTTCGAGTGTGTTATACTTTGGGTATACACCCACCTGCTGTAACATTGGGCACACCTGGGCGAGTACGGTGGCCGAGAACCGCCACTGCTGGAAATAAGAAAGAATGCAAAAAAAAAAAAAGGAAGAAAGAAAGAAACCACAACAGAAGTTACTGATACAAAAAAGAAAGAAAGAAACCACAACGAGAGTTACTGATGCAAAAAAAAGGAGAGATACAGAAAAAAACAGAGAGAGAAACCGAAGCCCGCTGCAAATAAAAAAAGGAAACGGTGCAGATTGACAACAACAACCACACACACACACAAAAAAACCCCCACAACAGAAGTTAATGATGCTAAATAAAGTGGTGATGGAAAAAAAAAGAGAAACAACAGAAGTGAGCTGCCGGGAACCAATAATGATGATGCACCTGTGTTTTACGATCTTGGCACAGAAGACGACAGCAAAAAGATGAACAAAGAAGTAAGTGGAATTGTTTCATTTGGCTTTGTAAACTCTCAGTGTGTCGTTTGCTTAGGCAATGTAGCGCCTGAGTTGATATGAAGTTGAACTGAACGAAAGTTAAAAAAAGTAAAAAAGTAGTGATGCAAAAAATAAATAAATAAACTTACTGTATATATATATATATATATATATATATATATATATATATATATACACACACACACACACACACACATATATGTAGAGTAAAAATCTTTACCGTTGCCTTAAAGAATTCTAGTATTTGAGTAAAGTACAAATCATCAGAATCTGTACTTAAGTACAGTACTCAAGTAAATTTACTGTCCACCACTGCATATGTTGCTAAACAGAGTGAAAGAAAAGTTGACAGCAGTATCTTGAATAATTTTGTTTTATTACTTTTCTTATATTAGAAATATTATTTAGATTATTATTGCCACGGGACTAATAAGCAATCAGTACATTTCAGTAATAAAACTAACTTTACCTTGTTGCCCAGACTCCATACCTCTAGGCGGCAGCACCTACAATCTCCATAGGGGAAACAAACCATCTAAAAGCTTCATCTGCGCAGGCGCGTCCCTCTTTCTTCCTTTCCGACGCTCGAGCGAAAGAGACAAGATGGGCCACCAGCAGCTCTATTGGAGTCACCCCAGAAAATTCGGACAGGGATCACGATCCTGGTCAGTCCTGCCTCTTATTTATTCTGTATCTTATTAAGCGCCGAAGTGGGGTAGTTTGAGAGTGTTTGTGGTTTCTGGCACTTAGACATTTGTCCCCCAACAAACACCGCGTGGACGCTGGTCCTCGGCTAATATGGCGGTGTGGAGGATGCGCCTAGTTAGCTTCATAGCATTAGCCTTAGCTCATCACAGCTCTGTATACCCTTGTTAACAGTGAACTAAACCTTATAAAAGGATGAAAATGAACAAAAGATTTTTAAAAATATACTATAAACTTTATCTTTTATTATCGTAAGTGTTGTATCCGTGTTAAGTAGTCGAGATGCATCCAAGTGATAGTCGGCTCCGGGTTTGTGTGTACTTCCGCCACTTCTAATTCAATATTTCTGTATGAATAAAAGGTGCTATAAGTATTGTTTTGTAAGAAATGTGAAATGAGAGCTCTTTTATCCGTTTCTTCCTCCCTCTCCAGCCGGGTATGCTCGAACAGACACGGTTTGATCCGTAAATACGGGCTCAACATGTGCCGTCAGTGCTTCAGGCAGTACGCCAAAGACATCGGCTTCGTCAAGGCAAGTATCTAGCTTTTTCTCTGACATCCACGCTGCTTTTAAAGTTTCATGAAAACTTAAATAACTTATATTATTCTTGCAGAAGTTAGGCTTCTGTTTGGCAGTAAGAGTAATGGTTTATGTTGTGTTTTTACAGCTGGACTAGATGTCTCAAACCCTCCCTCCCAGATGACCATGGGGACCTATGACAGGCTGGAGATAATGGGATGATTTGGCACTGCAAATAAATGTGTTTTTTTGTCCAAGATGAATGCATTGTGTGCTTCTTATATTGTTTACTGGGTACTTGTACAAATAACGTGGGTTTTGATGGGGAAATGTCCCACTCTAAGCAGGAAATATGCACAACAAATCTCAGTTTCACTTTTTTACAGTGGGCAGATCTTTGACAGAGGCAGGGAGGATTCTTTTCAGAATCATTTAGGGAGACTAAACACCTTCATAGGAATCTGTGTGTACATGGCATCTCTAGGCTATCCAAGAATGTATTGGGCTGCTAAAACAAGAGTCCCAGTTATAGCTGATTCCATGACCTGTGATCGTTTCTACATGATCAGGTCTTCACTAAAAGGCCTGAAATGGTCAACAGTCCAAGGCCTTTCAGGTGCAGAATACCCGGGTTCAATAGTGAAACATGTAATATGTGTGAAGTACCATAATTTCCTCTGTGTCTCCAAAAGATCCTAGTGCTTCCTCAGGCATTTTAAATTAATCACCTTTTGTCAAATGGAAAACCCGGTGCCTAGTGAAAAGTCAGTGAGTTCTAAGTTGACCCAGGACCTCCTTAGATGTTTTTTAATGTAAATATGTTCAATTTGTTTTGATATACTAATAAAGATTTATAAGTAGTATATCAAAACATGATTATAAAAGCATGCATTAGTCTCTGTCTGGCTCAGAGAGAGAAACGGTTATACTTTTGCAGTGTTTTTAAGATGGTAAAAGGCTGTTTTAGTGACCACCCAGGATGAGTTTTAAAATTAAAATCAGCATCAAAGACCACCTTGAGAAAATGTGGATAAGTACCCTATTGCTGGGTCTTATCAGGCAAACTTTACTATGTAACAGGAATATCTCAGATTTGGATGTAACACGGCTGTTCAAACCCACATATTGAGTGTTTCTTATAAAGAATTACTCAGTCAGATTTAATGTTTTAAGTCAAGCACACAGCTTTTAAAAGTTTAAGTTTAACTAGTTTTAGTTTTTTAACCAACGTTTTTTGTTGGTGCTGTAAAGTCTTTCAAATCAATACAGATCCATATGAAATATCAGATAGTGGAGTACAGCAGCTTTTGTCTGGAAGCTCCCTACAATGTTTTGTTTCTACTTTGGCTTTATGTTAAACTATGTTAACACTCAAATGGATGGCCAAGAAAGTAAAACGAGTAAAAACTAAACTCAAATGTCATAATTTAATCATCATACCTGTTGTAAACAAAATTTGCTCTACTTGAGAAGACATTAAAGCGAAAAAGGCTGTTTTTTTCACAAACTGGTGAAAAGCAAAAGGTTAATTTCCAAATTTAAACAACACACCCAAGAATTGCCAACATGCTGAGATATTGTTATGAAAAATTCAGAGTCCCCTGTAGTGCGGCTAATTGCTCAATGCCTCAAGGCGGGTGGACAACAAATATTGAGAGGATTTCACAGGCGCAAGCAAGGAATAAACAAAGGCTGAATGACAAAACAGAGGATAGAAGACAGATGATTACTTATATTTAACTAATAAGTAACCTTGAAGTGAAGGGCTATGCCTGTGTATCTCAATATAAAAGCAAAGTCAGATGGAGACTGTAACACTGCTCAGTGTCTTGATCTAAAAAGAGAAGAAAAGCAATTAAACCGAATGACTATGGTCGAATCAGTATGATGGCAATGAAGTATTTCAAGTCATTATGGCAGCATAACAGTGCATAATTAATTTTAAAGCACTAAGCCATGTGGGCTGTTATAATCATAGTGTCAGACTGTTCAAGCGAGATGAATTTGCCTCGGTTTCTTAGTTTTGTCTGCACAAAATTGATGTGAGTCAGGTTTGCCGTACTTTTATCAGCCTGTGAGGAATTACTAAGAAATTAATGAATTCTGAGTTCAGCTGCTGCAGCAAAAGTGTCCTCATCAGGACGGCACAGGTTTTTTATTTTATATTTACAGTAAGGATGTGTGCGCAAAGAATGAGGATTTTTAAGGAGATTTGATATCCAGAAAATTGACTTTAAGACTAACACATTCATAGAAGATGTAAATTGGAGATTTTGATTTTAAGCGACAACAAAATATGTCAGTGACAATAATCACATGGTTGGTACTTGGGTAACACTTTACAATAACCATAACTTACACATGGTAAATATACCATTTATGAATGGTAATCAGATAGTTTATTAATGTTTAATCATCATTTATATCTATTAATAAATTGCAAATTTTGCAGTTTTAAAAACCTAACCCTAACTTTACAATAACCATCTAAGTAATGTTTATAGATGGTTTATTAACCAAATATTAACGATTTACAAAGTGCCAATGACACACATTTTAATCTAGATGTTTTACAACCAATATTTAAACCCTATATAAACCTTTAATAAATAGTCCATTAATAGTTAATAAAAATCCAAACCACTGCTCTCTCAAATGTTGACTTAAAGACAGAGAATTAAGAATATATATATATATATATATATTTTAAAATACACCTTCATATGTGGCTTTGTTGATGAAGTTGTAAACAGAGTTAGAGTTTGTACATAGAATAGCATTCATCTGTATGTCTTTTTTACCCTCAAAATAGCTTCAACAGAAGAATTAAACACTAGATGGCAGCAATGCTTCACCATTTGGATTTAAAGCCAGCAGAGGTGACAAAAGTGGGAATGATACTGCTCAAACTGTGCCGTTAACCAGCTTTTTCCGCTGCAAACAAGCATTATAGAAGCTTAAGTTAAGGTGTTGAATAAGGAGTTTTACACGGGTTGATGAATAGCTAAGGAAGTATTTCACACAAGGAGCTTTGCAGTTTGATTTTTCAAAAACTACCCAGTAGAAACATTTATTACTTCTACTTGTGCTGATCCTGCAGTGTGTATTAATATCACACCATGCACTCTGATGATTTATCAGCCCAAGGTTTGGTTCAATTTGATTTAATCCGGGGCAACAAATAAATGATGTTTTGCAAAGTCCTGTTTATCATCAATAACAGATCACTTTGTGCTCAGCAGGATTAAGATGAAACCTTAATGATCCCAGCGGGGGAAATTGGAACAGGGCAAAAAATAAATAAGATTAGCACAAAGTGAAGGTTATATGAATACATGACCTACAATTTCAGGGGAACATTAAATGACAAGATGGGGAGAAAAATGGTTGTATGTGAAATTAGATTAATGCGGCATGGAAAATCCAATATATATACAAAATGAACAAATCTCAGAGGCAATGAAATATGTGCAGCTACACAAAAATTAAATAAACATGTCGTATGCGTATGTCCAGATCGCACTGCTCAAATATGGCACAGTTATAAATGCATAAAACGAGGGATAATCATCAAACTCTTCAAATGGAGACAAAGTGTATGCAGAAAAATCTGCAGGGCTCATGCATACTGTTAGTGCGGGGATAAATTGTTAATGTATTTATTATATAAGCTCTTATTCATATGCATAGAGAAGATTTTGTGAGGACTCTGAGTGCAGTATCGAGACTCTAACACAGACTGGCAGAGGCTGGCTGAAGAGAGCTGAGCACACAAGCGCTCCGCGTTGCATCACTCCACTACAGAGGCGGCTGGAAGGTGTTGTCTTTGATGTTCAGTTCAGTTTCATTTCTCTTCACCCGACTATTAATGCTCTTGTTATGCTGCCTCCTCGGCTCACCACTGCCAAGACAACTGAGTGATAGCATACGTCGACCTCAGCCCTCTCAAGTAGGGCCTTTCTTGTTCTGTGTGACTGCTCAGAGCAGTTTGTCAGAGAAATTTTGCCTCAGATTTTCCCTTTTGCAACACCTTTACGCTGTACTCAGATCAGATTTCCTTGAAAATGAATATCCGGCTGTTTTTGGTTATGAGATGGCCATCCTCTGACCTTTCTTAGCTCTAAAGGTGTCTTAAAAATCTGCCATGATTTCCAAACGTCTCAATTTAGAAACAAACATTTTGTGTCATCTTTAGCTGCTGAAATTAGGGCCTGTGTCCACTGACAGCACCTCTTGTTTGCTGGCTATGCTTACAACAACAAGCACCAATTGTTGCAAATATTACAAAGGTTATCTCATTAAGGTCCTCACACACCAGGAAAGACGCAAATTATGAAATATTCGGAGGCCAATTTTGACGCGCCTGACTATACACATCAAGCCCGACGCGTCCTGGGTGGAAACTTGTAAATGACTAACATTTGTTTTAAGACTCGACTTTCGACTCAACACCTGGAAAAAAATCTTTTTTCATTTTCATTTTTTTCATTTATTTATTTTTTTCATACATGTGCGTGCAACACGAAAAAGTATACTGAAAACAAACAAACAAAACCAGAGAGAATCTTCAAAACAACATAACAATAATCAAATCAAAAAAGTTAAAATAATAATAAAAAATACTACTAATAATAATGTAAACCCAACATTTCCAAAAAGGAGTAGGATGAAGCAGTATGCCCTTTTTTTAAAGCTACCCCTTCTCCTCTTCTCAATATTCAGTCACACTCCAGAATATTTACATTATATTGACAAAAAATAGAAAATAAATAGAGTAAATAAGTACATTAATCATTTATGAAAACACCCAATCATTAAAGCCCTTCTTCCTCCCTGTACCAGGTGAGAACCATGTTTTTGTACAGCTTTTTAAACTGGGTCATGCTTCTTAACTGACGATTTGGTCGAGATTATTTGCACATGGTAGAGAAACACTGATAAAACACAAAATTAAAAAGTTAGACCCCTCTGAAACCAAACAGGGGTTTAATCGGGTGGGATTGGTCCTGGTTTGTTCATAAAACTGGGTCAAAGAGCTGCATCTTTGGAGAGTAGCGCCAGGTGTCTTAATACTCAACACTCTGTAACCCCACACCTTGAAGACACTCAAAGTTCTCTCAATGCTGAGAATGCAGCACCACATTGGTTTTATACAGAAAACAGGTGTCACCTGTGCAAACCCCCCCCCCCACCTGTACTGGAAACAGTCCCTGAAACTCTTGTGAAGAATTTTGATTTGTGTTTATTTTGGCACTCTTGGCCTTCGGACAAAGCAGTTCTTGATGTTTTTATTTGTCTCCTTGGAAATCTTTGCAGGGGAAATTTTAAAAAAGGTCTATTTCAGCGGCGATCAATGTTGTTGCCAGTGGTCTTGTTTTCTTAATGAAGAGGCATAGGAGTCAATTTCAGTCGGCTTTATAGCCAGATAAAAACTTATTGGAGCTTTATTGTGTCTTTTGTTGGATTGAAAAGTAATGTTAGATGAAACAGACTGCATTTACAAATTTAACTTTTGACTTTATGGGCAGAACTTTTTGAGTAACATGCTGCATTTATCTTGAGTTTTACTTCTCACAAGACAAATTGAGGTTGTTCATTCTCGACTTGTTTGGCTCTGATTTAAAACTGGATTTCTATCTCTGGCTTTTAAACAGCTTTTTATCAGGTAGATTTAGTAGGTTTTTTTTACTGTTTATTCAGGCTTGTTTACTGTAAAAGGATTTTTGTTGCTGAAATGAAGTGAAAGAGGAACTGCAGCAATTAAGTGCACTTGCCTATAAAACTGAGGTATTTAAAAAAGATAAATTAGATAAAAAGAGGGGTCAGATGTGACCGTCGTGAGTTTATTTTTTGTTGTTTTGTGTGCGTTTAGTGTTTTCCTCCTGCTGGATTGCATTCAACTAAAATTAGTCCCACCTGTTCACCATCTCTCACTCTGACTCTCTAAGCCTCTTTGTTTTATCATTGATTATCTCCCTTATTATTGCATCTGCCTGCCTGTTTGCCTGGCCGCTGTGTCTGCGTTTAGGTCTAGCTTCCCTGCTGGAGCCAAGATAACCATCATCTACTCTTTACTGTCTTCATAATCATCCGATGCACAGTTTAATGAGGTTTTTCATTAGGCAGCTGATACTGTATGAAAATAGGAGATCTCAGACCAACACTGAATGAATCCTGATGGTTTTATAAGAAAATGTACACGACAGGCCAAAAGTTTGGAAGCAGGATCAGATTTGTACAAAAAAAGATCATAGTTTCATTTATATACTTTGCAACACAATAAACGTGACTATTGTGTAAAGAGTAACTTATCAGAAGACATTTTGACTATAATTATTAGGTATTTGAGTTATTGTTGCTTAGACTTTGCTTTCTTTAAAGTAACCTCCTCTGGCTTTAACCCTCTGATGCATGAATTATGAAAGCCCTGATCAAGATTTTTTTCATAAGTGTTTTTATCATTCTCAGGACATAAAAGAACATGTTAAACTGTTTTTTTTCCAAAAATGTTATTTTTTCACAAAACTACAGAAGTGTCCATTCAAGTGGACTATATGCGCCTGAGCACTCAACACAAAACATTATGAACTTACAGTAAAATGTACAGTACACCAAAATATGCCAAACTATCTCCAACATTAGAAACAATATTGTACGTCCCCACAGTACTATAAAGATTCAGGACTGACATTACCATGCCCTTATACGGGCATGTTGTTTTCAACAACAAAAACTGACATTTTAGTCCCTGCATCTCCAAACATGTCTCTGCTCATCACACCTAGGATGTATGAAAGTTGGCAAAGCATCCAGGGCACAATGGCACACAGGCTTTATATGAGCACAGGATTTGCTCATATCTGTTTACAGACATGGCATTTGCAATCATCCCTAGACGAAGGCCATCCTCACTAGACCAGTACATGTGTGCCCTGGGATAACGAATGTACCCCATGATCATGTTGATCCCTAAAAAAGTCTGCATCTCTTCTCCTGTCACTGCCACATTTTCTTTCCCTTTCTGGGGAGCATAAGAGTTGGTGTTTTTCACTATATCATCAATGAGATCTTCTGGAAACAGATGTCTGGAGAAGTCTATAGGCTCTCTTCCCTCCACATTGAATTTCCACTCTCCTAGAAAAGGAGGCAAATCTCTATCAAAGTGATTGTCTTGGACTTTCCAGATATTTTTGCGAGCTTGAGAATGGTCAGGTGTCATGTGCCCATTTTCCACAGCTCCCTGATCATGCTGACCTTCCCCTGCATCCTGCCTCTCATCATCCTGGTCCTCATCCACTTGACTATAGGCATCTACCCTTTCTGCACCCTGACTGTCTGTATCTCCATCATCCTCAGCTCCTACATGTCTATTCTTCTCTGGCAGCCACTCTTCGTCACTGTTACACACTAATTACATTGTATACACTGATTTATAACCAAAACAGCCACAAGTAACAGAGGAGCAATTACATGACTCCTGTTAAAAAAAATACTGGGTGATGCATGATGTCCACTCAGTTGGACACATGCTTAATTGTAATTTTCTACAAATTGGACATGAAATTTTCAATTCCAAATGGATAATATCCTTCCTTAGATGTTACAGGATATCATCATATTTTTTTTACAGCTGGGGTTCTTCTACTATAGAAGTATTGACAGGACATGCCAGCTGTAGTCAGCAGGGGTGGCTGTTTCTCGGCCATCTTGGATTTGTAGGAAATTTACTTGTAGTTACACTAATTGCTCACTAAATGTAACTCAATGGATTAGGGCAGTAGAGAGCACCCTAGAGGCTGATATACACTTCCACCATAGAAACCATTGCATTTAAGAGAAAAAGAGTTTTTGGTAGCTGTCCACTGTAGTGACCACTATGAACCAGAGGGTTAACAACAGCTTGGCATATACCAGGCATTCGTTCCACAAGTTTTCTAAGGTATGTTCCAGGGATTGCATTCCAAGCTTTCTTAAGTTCAGTAAAAAGAGACTGCTGATTCGTGGGACGCGCCTTTCTGACCGATCGATCCAATTCACCCCGCACAAGCTCAATTGGAGAAAAGTCTGGAGACTGAGGGGGCCAAACCATCTTTTGAAGAACACCTTCCTCTTCTTTTTTGTCTAGGTAACCCTGACAGAGCTTGACAGAGTGCTTAGGGTCATTGTCTTGCTGCAAAATAAACTTATGAGCCACAAGTCTGAGTCTAGATGGAACAGCATGGTGCTGGAGGATGGAGTGGTACTGTTCCTTCTTCATGATACGCTTTACCTCAAACAAATCTCCTACTCCATCACCTGCAAAACATCCCCATACCATGGAACTACCACCTCCATGCTGAATTGTGGGTGTAACAGTTCAAACTTGCTTTCATCGGCCCAGAGAACTTGTTTCCACTCATCATAAGTCCAATTTTTGTGAGCTTTTGCCCACTCATATCTCTTTTTCTTGTTCTGTGGATGGAGTAGTGTTTTTTTTTTTTTTTTGCAGATACACAACCCTTCAGACCAGCCTTTCTCAAACGTCATTTCACCGTTGTCAGAGATATGGGTATCAACCTTGTCATGTTGATTTCCTCTCTTATTTTTGGTGCTGTCTTTCACCGATCTCTCTTACTGGTGACAATGATATGTTTATCCTCTGCTTCTGTAGTAACTCTTTTTCATTTAGGCCTTTTTCTATCATCATAACTTCCAGGTTCCTCTAGTCTCTTCAGAGTGTAGTGGACTCCTTTGTTAAACACCTTTAGGCGTTTTGCAATTTTCTCTTTCTGTGTATCCTTCTTTCCTCGATGTACAAATCTGTACTTTTGTTTCTTTACTCAGTTGCTTCTTTGTAGCCATTTAGCGGTAGTTTGAACGCAGTTGAGATTTATTAGAATTTTTGTATGCAGACTCTCAAAAGCCAAAAAGCTAAAGTGAATAATCCAACTGTGATTTGTTTTTTTGCTTTTGCACTGAAGTTGTGACTCTTGCAAATGTTTTCGACCCTGCAACTAAGCCCTTATTATCTTTTGCTGACATATATTTAGCAATGGTCTGTTAACATCAATGTATATCTAAAGGTAAATGGAGTAAAATGGTACATTTCCATGAAAGCAACATCTGATCATGGAGTAAATACATCCCAAAATACATGAAAGTCATGCTGGATTTAAAAAAAAGCATTGTGAACAAAAACTTGAAGTTGCTCCCAACTGTTCAGCCTGTAATGGCCTTGCTTCCAAACTTTTGGCCTGTTGTGTATGAGCCATAAAGCCTGAACAGTGAGCTCAAAGAGGCTAAAATCTATGAAGAGCTCAGGTTTGTCATGGTGGACAACTAGTCTGACTTTTCTCGCTGAGTTGTGCAGGTATCATTCACATGCTAATATGAGATTAATACCTTCAGATCTAGGGGAAAAATGCATCTAATTCAGAGTGTACATGGACGTTAAGTGAGCAACATGATTAATTCCTCTTCACTCCAGTGACCGCTGCTTTCCTACTATCAGTGATGGCTCCTGTGCTGCTGCAATGGTGATGCACACGTGAGGGAAAAATCAATCGTATGTGGTTGTGAAGGGCCTGTCTGTGCGCACTCATGTGTGCATGTCAAGCGAGTACATGCGCCCTTATAAATTGATTATTGTGAGCTCGCTGTGTGGGTACAAGTACATCTTAACACTGAGAAAGAAAGCTAAATAAAACACCAGCCTGAGAGTAATCTAAAAGGGGCGCCAGTGTGATGGTTTGGGATCATCGCAGAGGTCTTCTATCTGCAAGATTATCGAGAAAATGAGCAAACTGAACATGTTATCGCACATTGTTGGCATGGAAACGTTCGCCTGGTTTACCTGCTCTTAGCTGTTCGACCAAGAACCACTTCTTGTCGCAAGGTTCTGCATAAAGAAATACATTCAGAGCTCACCCAGTACTTCGATAAGTGGGATCGCTTTGAAAGCAAATATAAAGGATTACAGAAAGTTCAGTATGGAGCAAAAAAGAAATAAGTAAAACAAAGATGAAAACAGTAAAGGTTTATTCTGTGGAGTTATGCTAAGAGGTTCAAGTGAAAGCAGCTCTGAGTTTGTGCATGTTTCTTCACGATAACCTCATTTTCTGCAGGCAATAGTAACTGCAGAGGTTAGGAAAATCCTTAATAATCCATTTACTCCTTTTGTTAGAGAACACTGATATCTATAGCCGCAAACATCACAAGACTACAGTGTTTTCGCGGATATTTTCCTTCCTTTGGCTTACTCCCCTGAGAGGTGAGCGGTGCACTACGCTGAGCTTTATTACAGTCCAGTATGGAGCACCTTGCTGACTCAATTGTTCCAGTCAAGCAGGGTCTAATTCTCAAACCACCGAGGAATAAGCTTCTTCTGCTGCTGCCAGGAGTCAATTTAGGCTGAGATGACTTTAGCAAACATTTATTTCTCTATAGATTTCAGGGGAGATTACAGAAATGAAAAAACGGCTCCAGTATTGCACACTTTACCAATTTTTCCTGACCACTCCAACTGTAATATTCAGCCGTATGTAGAATGCAGTGATTAATAAAACCCTGTGATTCATTCACAGCTTACAAGAAAAACACAGTGCAGGTGTGATTGTTAACTAATGATGGCCGCGTTCCATTTAGCTGAGTCGGTCCCAGGCCTCTGCTACTTTATGGCCAACCAGCAAAAAAAAGGCTTCAGGTACATTTTAAAGGAGCAAAGCCATTGATTTTGCTGCAAACTACACCTGTGCTTTTCACGCTCATGAGTAAATGTAGCAACTGTTAAAAAAGGGTCATATTTTAACACAGTGTACCTCTGTTTCTGTTAAAAGTAAGGATTTAAGACGAGGAAAAGACAACGTCCAGAGATTTAAAAGACGGCACTCCAATTAACAAGTCGGAAAAAAAACAAGATGGACACCTACTGTAAGCTGTTGTTGGCTGTTGTTTACAATTGTTAGTTGTTGTTAGCCGTTGTCAGTTGTTGTTGGCAATTAACAGTTGTTGTTATCCATTGTCAGCAGTTGTTAGTTGTTGTTTGCGATACCAGTTGTAAACAACGCATTGGGCAGTACAACATATATCACTTATTTAACTTCACAAAAACAAAACATCTTGGATAATGACATTGTCATCAAGTCAAGGTTGGTGAAGATCGTCCGACTTTCTGAGCTGAAAATCTGATTACAGGGGGGCGTTCCAGATGAATTTCCGACTCGGAGCTCAGATATCCCAACTTCCAAGTACAACAGGAATGCAGCATAATGGCTAAAACCCACAGGATCTGGAACGGCGGCGCTTCACTCCAGCACGGCAGGCGGATCAAATACTGATCGGCGGATCTCACTCAATAAAGGAAACATGGGAGATGTCGTCCAGTCTCGTGAGAAATATCGGTAATCTTGCGAGTGCTTCCAGCGGACGTCGTATGCTTGCGTATTTGATCTGCCTCCTGATCCGGGGCAGAGTGGAGCCATTCCGGATCCAGTGGGATCCCCGGGTAAGACTTGACTTTGGAACGACTAGGAGGCCTCCTCAAATTTAAAGATTCAGACCGGTTCATTGGGGTTTATAATTCTGTAAGGTAGCTTGGATCCCCAGAAGTGCTTTAAAAGTGATGAACAAAATCTGAAACTCAATCGTAAAACTGACAGGGAGCCAGTGAAGGGACACTTAATAACTGTTAAACTGTTAAAAACGTATTACGAGAAGGTGAAGAATGAGATTGAGGTTAGTCCTCATCCTCAAAATGAAGGTTGTAGACCCGTTTGTCATTATTTCAGAGCTGCAGGTAAGTGTCTCAGAGTTAGACTTCTTTATGCAATCACTCTTAAATAACAGTGGACGGTAGAAATGATCAATTTTTATAAAACTACTGTTGTACTCGTGCTTCTAAAACTGGTGTGAGCGAGTCACAAATCCAATCCAAATTGGTCTTTTTTTACTATAACCCTGCAGTGTAATGTATGTACATATCTTTTCACCAGAGGAGTAATTCAAAGCTCTTCGATTCTTCTTAGACAGACACTGTGCATCCAATTTTCTACAAAAGCATAAAAGCCTGTTTTATATAAACAATATCACCCTGAATATTAACAGCCAGAACTGTTTACCTGTTCGATGTGAGAGGACGTAGAGAACAAAACAGTTCACTCATTTGAAAAAGTTCTGGGCAAATGATCTGCACGTACTGCTATTCTGTTATTTCACACCTGAACTGAGGCGAACGCAGCCAGAAATGAAAAATATGTTTTTCACTGAATATGACAAAAAGAGAAAGTCTGCGTCATGATGCTTTCAAATGCATGCTGTATTGTTTTTTATAAGTAAGTAGCACTTTGCATGCAGAGGGATCCTTGAAACAATGTCAGGAGGATCTGCTCTTTCCGGCTCATGAATGCATCATTTACTCTTGTACATAAATGAACTGAGCAACCTTTGACCTTAGGGGAAACAAAACTGTCAGCCAGATTTAACTGCAAACTGAAGTTCCCAATTTGCACACCAAGTGTTCACACTACAAATAAAAGCATTAATTTCAACTGATTTAACATCCAGCATGATCAAATGTGACGCCAACATGCTTGAATCGAGTCAGAAGATCACCATGCGTTCACCACATAATGTGCAAAAGATGCTGCAATACCTAATTGCACCTGTGGGGGCAGTGTTGCACCTCAGTTGGATCTGAAGAAATGATAAAAAGAGGAGGACAGCAGGCATGAAGTAGAGGAAGGTGAGGTGACAGGAGGTGTTGTGCTCCTCTCTGGGGAGGAGCTCTCCAGACGCAGGAGAAAAAAGAAGGAGGGAGAGGGAGAGATGCAGCTTGGATCAGGCTGTCAGCTCGGGGCACATCTAATTGAATACGCGATGCCATTTGAAGTGGAGAGCAGAGCTGGAGCAGAGAAGAGAAGCAAAGCGTGGGGCAGGCGCAGCAGGAGAGCAGCCTTCACCAAACAAAAAGACAAATCAAAGAGTGAACACAGGAGATTCTCCAACAGATAGTCCTGATTGCCGCTCTGTGCTCAACATCTCCCCGTATTCTGTGTTTGCAAGAGGAATAGGTGGAGGGGTGAAGGAGAAAGAGCAAAAAAAAAGAGCAATTTCCTCGCTTAAATTATCATTTTCAGCCTGATTTGAAAACACACAAAGAGGCTAAAAAAAGGACGCAGGCTCGAACCTTGATTTAGAGCAGGTTAAACGACCTCAGACTCGGCTTTGGAGATTCGCTGAAGGCAGAATGTGTGGGTGGAGGTCAGCGGCTGTTTCGGTATTCAACTGGACTCCCATATGTAGCTTGGCAGAGCAGAGTGCTCAGGGGCAGCAGAGAAAAAAATATTACTCAGAAATGGAAAAGATCAAATGGTGGCATTTAACAATCCGCAAAGAAATGGTGTCATGGAGGAGCGTCGTCTTTCTGCTCTCCTCTGGGCTAAGAGGATGTGATGTTCTGTCAGCATTGTAATTTATTTCTCACACAGGTCACACCTGGGCAATCAAACCATATACTTTACAGTACGGCCTCTTGCTATAATCCTCTATTAAAGTCATGCACATATACAGCAAATGCTCAGTGAGCTAAAGGTAAGACTATAGGCGAATCCAGACTTTATACCTTCAAGACACTGCACATAACCATAACCCTTTATGCAAAATGGAAGTATCCGCCCGTATCCACCTTTGCCAATCTCTTTTGTACAGAAGTCTGCGTGTTAACCTTTGAATCCACCATTCCCGACCTGAATATCACCCGAGCTCACATTTTTCATTACCCACATTTATGAATCTCTGAGACAGCCTGAGTGGAAGTGAATATTTAACATGATTTGCATGAACATTACACTTAACTGCGTATTAGAGAAGCAGAGACGTATTCAGTGCGCACACGAGATGACAGGAGAGGAGGCAGAAGTGATGGATCGATGCGTGATTTCTATTCCTGCAACAGCACCATGTAAACATTTGTTATGCACCACTGCAGTATTCCTCCCTCTGAATAGTAAATTTCTGAATTGTTTGATGTGATAAACAGATGTTCAAGATGGTGAGTGAGCAGCTGCCACCGTTGATAATCTTAGTTGCTAATTCTCTAATCTGTAACTTGAGTGAAAAGTCTGTTTTTGTCCTCCTAATGACTAAATTCACACTGCAGCTATAATTCATTCACAGTATAATGTTAAACTGCTGTATTCCAGGTCATAAAACGTATAAAGGTATCTGACATTTGTTATCATTTCCCTGCTCCCTTGTTAATCTCTATTTATAGATCAGACATTAAATATGCAGAATATGTTCACGGGGGTGGATTTTCAGCACAGGAGGTGTTCTGATTTCATTTGAAGCATGTTTGTAGTGTGAGCGGGACTGAGCGGGACTGAGCGGGACTGAGCGGTCATGGATGCAGGTAAAATGACCTGTATTGTTAAACTGAGGCTGGAGTTTAAACTGCCTACCGTTGAAAACAGTATGTAGTTTGTAGGCTACTGCATAGTTTTAAAGATTGAAGACCGTGTCGAATAATTGTTCAAAAGCAAAGTTGGTGGCAAAAATGCTTCTTGAGGGAGCTAGTCTACACTCCAGCCCAGTAGGGGGCAGTAATGCAACTAAAAGCTGCAGTAGCTCGATACAGCATAGTATCGTGATATTTTGTCTGGTGATATATCGTATCATCTCATTTACTAAGTATCGATTTTTTTCATAGTAATTGCAAAGATTAAGTCAAATCTATGATAATGTAAAAATAAAAACAACTGTTTGTCCAGCGAGGTTAGCAAAAGTGACATCATAGAGCAGGAGAAAGTTAGTAGCCGAATGCTAAATTAGCTTAACAGTTGAAAAAATTGTATAGATCGCAGTCTATTGTATCGCTATACTCAATGTATTGCAAGATGTTAAAAATCGCAATAATATTGTATCGTAGCCCAAGTATCGTGATAAAATCGTTTCGTGGGGCTACAAGAGATTCCCACACTTAGTAACTTTTCAGTAGAAAAGAGGTGAAATCACAGATATATAAAAAAGACTAGATACACCAGGGCACTGTAGCAGCCCGCTAAGATACGTGCCTACATGTCAGCCATCTTGGAGGGGGCAATGTTCCCATTAAGGGCATAAGATGTACACAGCGAATAAATCATATCTTGCCTATTTCTCAACTGATTTTCATGAGGTGTACTTTATTTTAAACGTCAAAATGTGCTATAAATGCAGAACATTTAATTTTATATATTTTTAAGTGTATTCCAAGCACATGTTTTGATGTTGACAATAGAGGAAACCGCCTGAAATCAGTTGAGAAATTAGCAAGTTATGATTTACTTTCATTGTAAATGTATTGCCTAGATGGTTGCCATGTAGGCACGCAGCTGATATCTATGGGTGAAATGATAACTATTCGACAGATACCCTGAATTTATACAAAAGCTGGAAAACAGATAGCCAGTATGTTCAATCGTCGGCCTCTCCTTCTGTACAATGTTTCTGTCCACATGCTAACACAGGAATGGTAACACTTATAATGCAGGAGAGAAAACAAGCTGTCAGGCATGTTTGATTGTTAAACGCAGCAGCTGATTTCTGTGAAAACCTCTCAATCGTTAGGTGAGGAGAAATGATGGAGATAGGACTTTGTGATTCTTTTTTCCTCCCCCCTGTTTGTACTTAGTTTTTAATATTTTTGAAGAAGGCAATTCAGATGGAAGATGAATCACTGAGTGACAACGTGACGGATGCATCTCTGTTTTTCAGGATGAATGATGCAGCCGGAGAGGATCACAGAGAGCGAAATGTGAAACCCAGCAGCGGCTCATATAGAAGCTTTCCTGCTCGCTCCAGTTCCAGCCCTTCTTATATTTTTATCAACCTCACTCCCACTATTACAGTCACACCTCTGGCTATTACACCGCAGACCTACCGGCATGTCAGAAAATGACTGGCATTAAATATGACACAGTTGCCATCAGAGCAGAGAGAGGGTCATTTTCCTCTCGAGTGAAGTAGATCCAAAAGTACAGGTTCCCAAAGTTCATCCGTTAATACTAATTGCGTAATTGCACAGACTCTGAATGGTTAAATAATTTTAAAGAAGTGCTTTTCCCAGTTTCCTAGAGTCCATCTTCTCAACTAGACAAAGCAAAACCCAAAGATTTTTCTCACCGAAGGGGCTGGATGAGGATGATTTCCACTGCTGGGACCAGAGGAAAGATAAAAATCAAGTGACTCACTGACTTTATTTCAGTCTTTAGGACTTAAATTTACTCCTCAAAGGGGTCCTGCGTGGGGAGTAGTACTGTCTGAAGTTGCAGAGACTTGCAGCGCTCAACATTTTTGATAGGTCAAGCACTCACTGCATTGGGGAGACCTCTTAATCCCTTGAAAGTGGTCCCTTGGGGTTCGAAGTCCTGGATTCTTTCAGAGGAAATGAGGAACAGAAGTAGTGCATCACTTCATGTCTCTCTAAGACTCTGGAAGTAGAAAATGTGGTTTTTGTTTTGAGGAATGATTGAAACAGCGAACTCCAAATAGTTTGTTATAAACTGATCCATTAATCACTTGATTCAGTTTGGCTGCAGCTCTACTCCCACTGAATTTCCAGAAGTCAGCTGGATTGAGATGACTGTACAACGCCAGATTGCACAGATGTACTATTTCTCTTTAGTCTAATAAACCAAACAGTCTGTCTCTCGGAGTTCCCCTGAATCACTTCCTGTTCTTCTGACTGTAACTTCAGATATTTTCCAGCACATCGGGGATCTGCCGAGGTTAAATCACTTGGTTCCAGACAAACGGTTTACTGCCCACAGCAATGACAAGTACAGGATTAAGAAGTCATGCAGAAAAGGCTAACATTGAACATTGTTTGGAGTTGAGATATGTCTTTCCCAGGAGATTTTCTGTCTGTTCGCCTACGGCAGCACGACCTGCCCACTCTTGGCTGTGTGCTGCCACTGCACTGGGATCCTCCGTGGGGTTATTGATCCAAGCCTGTCCACCCACCAGAGGATCCGATAGCAGTTAACATGATGCAGAGTCCACATATTTAGAAGCCGGAGGGTATCAGCGGATCAAACTCTCATCGGCATAATTGAGAGTGATAGGGATCAGTTAGAGCCAGGTAGACATTGATTAGGAGTGTGTATAAACAGATAGAGAGATCAATGGAGACGGGTCAATGGAAATTATAAGCATTTTAACAAGCACCATTGAGTGACAGCAGGAGTTGAGAGGTGTTATGGATTGATGCTGAGGCTAGTTTTACTGAGAGCACATTAAAGCAAATCATCCTTATTTGACAGATTACTGAGCATCAAACATGTTGGGGCACAAACGCCAATTTCCAATAACAGCAAAACTAGGTCATAAGTATTTATTCCTCTGATCAAAGCTCCTGTGTGGAGTTTTTTATGTCTATACAATAAACTGAAATTCAAATTGATGCCTTTATGTGAGATTCAAATGCAAACAAGACCATCAGTAACAAGACGGATGATTGTCACATTGTATTTTTTAGTGCAAGTGGGTTGAGCAGCAGAAAAAACAGCTGATTTAATGTAGTTTTTCACTTAACTAATACGTTTGGTTAGCAAATTATTAGAATAAGATTTTTCCATGTGTAGTACAAGAGGAGTCAATGCTGCTCTGTTCCCAAGGGGGCGCCAAATTCAAAGTTCTTTACGGGAGCTTTAAATAGGTGGATCTATGAGACCACTTCTTGTCAGATAAATTGCACTGTTCACACTTACATGAAAAAATCAGATATGTGTCACATATGGTTAAAAAATCGGAATTGACCTGCAGTGTGAACATAGCCAAAGTCTCATGCACAATATGATGCAGCAGACAATATTCGGCACGAAAATATAAGGCCTTTTAAATGAATTATTGATTTATTGTTTTTTTTAATATTTTTTTCATTTCATGAACCTGGAAAAACAAATACATCTATACAACATTTTAAAATTCAAGAGATGTGAAAAAAAAAGGTTAGGGATTGAGTGATTCATTTCGGACACAGCCTTAGTTTTTCCCTGGTTTTGTTATTTGAGTGAATTTTCATTGTGATTTGTCCTCAGTGTTCCTGTTCCGCTGTAGTGTTGTCTTGTGAGTTTTCAGTTTGTCATTGACCCTGTTCCTGTTCTCTGTGTTTTATTCTTTATATCTGTTTTAAGTGTTTCCTGTTTTATTTTGTAGTAGTTGATTCCTTGTGTTTCTAGTCTGGTTTTACTTTCCTAGTTTTCCAACCTTTGTTAATCAGTTAACGAGTTTCACCTGTGTCTCGTCTGCCTCACCTGTTGCTCGTTATCCAGTGTGTATATAGTCAGTGTCTTCCCCTCTGTCCCTGTTGGTTCCCTCTATGTTTGTCGTGTACGCTTATGCCTGTGTCCCCAAAATGGATTTTGCCTTTTGGATTTTTCTCTTTTTGTTGCTTTTTTAAACATTTTGTTCTTTTTAAATAAATCCTTTTTTATTGTTCTGCATTTTGGGTCCTTCCCTGTTGAAGTTTTTGTCTTCAATACAGCCTTGAAGTCTCCACAGAAACCTAGGCTGCTATGGCTTAAGTTTGACACAGCTAAATAATTCCACTGTCCAGCCTGGACACTCAGACCACCTGTGGTTCTGTACTGAACATAGCTTGTGTTACATCTATCTCCAGCCCTTCACTTTTACAGCTTCTACTACTACTTTTACTGTAGCTGCGTTCAAATTTATTATGTCTAATAACGTTTCTGTTGTGTCCTCTCATGAATCACTGTGTGCACTTTTACTACTTCTCCCCTGCAAAGAAATATTTTACACTAACAAGCCTTTGTGTCTGTTTGATTATTTCTTGGCCTACACATCACTTCTTTATTAGCGAATTTACATATAACTGGTGTAATGTTGGCATCTCATCATTCATTTTCTCTTTCTCTGATAGCCCGCTCTACATCATTACACTTGAATTTGGAGTGGTGCTCAATCAAGCCTCAGGGTGTTAATAAAATATGCCGGTTACTGAGATGAGATGAATAATCACAGGAGTCAAGTACAATTTCCAACCCCAGCGGGTGGAGCGTGGGCAGTTTACGTCACTCTGCAGAGGAGGAGGTGTGCATGTGTGTGTGTGTGGTGGTGGGGTTGTCTCGTGTCGGCTGTCTATCAGGGTGGTGGGATGTAAGGGGAAGGCAGGCTTGGCATGGTGCACCAAACGATAAGGTTTCTGCACCACTGTGGACAGCACTGAGGGATTGTGGGAGAGCGCTTATCAGTCTGTGTCAGGGTCTATCAGCATCTGTCATGTTTACTCCTCAGGTGAGCTGGCTGCTGGCTGACTGCTCTGCCAAGGCTCCTTCATATCAGCCTACTGAGAGCAGACCAGGAGCACAAACAGATACCCACCCACTGCAGCTGCAGACCAAATCTCTCTCTTTTTGACCAAGTTTACTTCAACGCCTAATCTCGCTTTTTTTAACTATGAAACCCCTCCAGAACTCTTTTCACCAATGTGCCACCACCCTTTCGTATGATATCGACAGAACTCATCAAAATGAGGCCTTGACTTATCTCTGCATACGCTGCCTTTTATCCAGTCAAATATTATAACTCTCTGGTCTCTCGATATATCCACACGGCACCATTTTCCACTGGTTTACTCTCAAGGTCGGACACTGAAATAGTGATAATGATTAGACTGCTGGCAGTCGAATACCATGGACTATCTGGCAATTGTTCATTTCACTGCTTCCAGAGTGATCAGCGTGTGACCGGATTCTGGCACGAGTAATGATAGGAGTGCTGGCCACTGACATTAATTGTACAAAGGAAACTGCCCAGGAGGGCTGCAAACTAATCGAAATCAGGTTCATTGCAAGTACGTTTACACAAAGCGGGCTTCTGGTGCAAAAAAAAACAAAGAACATAAAAGTAGAAAATAAAGTTGAAAGCTACCATCATGGGTGTAGTGATTTGAAATGAGCCTCATACGGTCGCACCAAAATATATGTAGCGATTTGAAATGAGCCTCACCAGGCCGCACCAAAATAATACTTGGCGATTGGAATTTATAATAAATGTCTGAAGATTAATAATCTCAAATTATGACATTTATGCACTCGTTGAAAGGGGCACCACCCACCCTTAATGGTGGGAAAATAAAGAAAACAAAAGTTTAATTCAGAAATCAAACATCAAGTCAGTTTTAATTAATCAGTCTTAATTAATCAGTCTTAATTAATCAGTCTCATATCTTAAGTCGAAATTCTAATTTCAGGGACTCCACTTCTGGAAGAACACTAACAGACAGGAACTTAGAAAAATAATGATCTGTTTATTACAGGATAAATGATGGTACAACACACATGCAATAAATGATAAGATGATGAAGATAAATAATAATAGGTGAATAAATAAAGATTCTGAGTCAGGCTAGGAGCACTAAAGTTAATGATAGTGAGTGAATATGCGCGAACATATTAACCTACACTAACTTTGGTGTCGAGATAAACTCGGGTGTAGATTTGGAGGAATCTAAGATCACCAGAAATAGGTGGATATCTGAGTTATGAACGCGTGAGACAGCATCAGCCCTGTCTGGAGCTCTGGAGGTTTGCATACTTAAGTGAGACTGGTCCTTGGAGAAGATGGAGCAGGTTCCGAAGGTCCGGGGCTACTGGCGGTTCGAGCGGTTCAGCTCAGAAGACGACTGAAGTCAGCCGAAGGATGAGCCAGGAGTTGCAGCACTCGGGCCCGAAGCAAAGCCAGCGCCTGTGGATCCTGTGGATGCTCGTTTGGGTACTTCTTTGGTCTCACTCAAAAACTCTGGCACAGAGGATGACCTGGGCCTGCTGGGTTGCGTTCAGAGGTGACTTTGAAATCACGCAGAAAACTCAGAAAAACGAGGCTCGAAGAGCAGAGAAAACTTTCAAAAATGGCTTCGCGAAATTAAAGAAAAATCAATCAAAGGCTTAATCTTGAATTGCTATGCACACAAAAAGTTGAAGTTTCAAACTTGAACTAAGACGATGTTAAAGAAAAATCAACGTGAATCAACACGTGGCGTAAAACTTAGAAGACTAAGAAAAAGTTCTAAGAGAAAACAAAGAAACGCACCACAGAAGGGTGTGGACAGAAGAGAAGGGGCATAAGAGCCGGGGACAAGAGAGTCAGCAGAAGAGCAGAAGCATAAGAGGAAAGTAAGAGGCATAAGAGAGTGAGCAACCCCACTTCACTGGTTTTATCTTCTCACACTGGGTGTGTCTCCGGCGTGTGGGTGTGAGGAGACAGAGGAGGGGTCGTGTGGTCTTTGATTATTTGATCTAACTTATTCTTTTGGCTGGCAAAAGAGTCAGATCTGATACTCACTCACTATGATTAATATCATTGAATGTTTGGTTTCATGATAAATAATTTGATACTAAACACATATGAATGAAGTGTAGGATCACATCAAACATTCTCATTATGTTTTAAGTATCACATTGAACATGCTAAATTACTCTGAAATGAAACAGATAGTAACACATGGAAACTGTGAACAACAAAAGAGTAAATACATGTGAATGAACGTCATCATGATTAATAATGGATTCTAAATACTCACATTAAGGTTATTCAATGACATTATAACCACCTAATGGTTAAAAATACTAAATAAACGATTAGAATATAGACCAAACATTTCTAAACTATTTCTGTGTTCATAGAGTAAAGTTATGATCCATAGTCAATAAATGTAACTCTTAAAAGTTCATGAAACAGTCTGAAAAGCTGTTGGTCTAAAGAACTAAAGAGCGATAACTCGGCTTCTGGAGCACATAGAAAAATGGGAAACATCTCATTTTAACACAAATTTCATGATTAGACAGATTAGTACATTGCTGAATGCATAAGATGTCATGATCAGTCATTTGTATTCTTTCACCAAAGGAATGCAGTCTTTATCAGTGTATGGTCGAGCAGGGTTTTACGACCGAGGTCTGGAGGTCAGTGTCCCCCCTTATCCTGGGGTCCGTATGTTCACACACTTTAAGACGCTAAATCTCAAATGGGAGATCTGGGTTAATGTTTATTTAGATGGTCAGCAAATGGAGTCAGTTTGAAAGGTAATAAAAACTCTGTCTCTGTTCGCCGAACTGACCAATCCTGAAGAGTCAGAGGTTTAGTCAACCTCCGGTTGGGTCACTTATTTAACCTGAAAGGGCAAACACGTCTGGAAAGATTTATATCCTGTTTCCTGGGACCAGATAAGGAAACTTTCCTGTAAGGAATGTGTGGGTTTCACATCCAGGGTTGTCTTGATTGCTACAGTCCCCCCTTCGTCACGGTGGTCCTGTCCATGGAGCATCGGGACGACGAGTAGACAACCATGAAGCAGCAGCAGGTGTATGCAAATAGGACTGATGCGTCTCGTCATCACTATGTGAATCACTAGTACTGCTTTGAGATAAAATTAAGCATGCATTAAGCTATCAAATAAAATAGTCTTGTTGTTAGACTTTTCTCAGTTAACTATTGGTAGACTAATGTGAAAGAAAATCTCCTAATTTTCAGTATTAATGAGATTTAGGAAAGCACTATTTAGTCTGAATGCTAACTGGATCTAAAGCTATAGCTGTTTTTCATGCTTGCTGGAGAAGTCTGAAAGTTCCATTTCAGTTTCAAAAATGGTTAAGACTTAGGTGGAAAAGAAATGTCTGCTATAGACATATTAACCATCTGTGTATGAGCATAGTCAACCTGAATCACAAACATCAAAAGTTTACTGCACAGAGTTTCTCTTAAACTTTGTCTGTTAAACTTGGGGATGATGCTCTTATTGGTTTGACTAATTATCTGCTGTTGAGTCTGAAATTTGTCAATCTGAGTCTTAGTGACAGAAATTTCAGGTTTTAATCTGTTCATGGGATATTTGACAGCTGACAAGCTGACTATATTGACAGAGGAGAGACAAATGCTAACAAAGAAAGCAGCAACTGGTATTGCAGTCATCAATGTATCACCACAGCATTTGGATATCTTATTGGAGTCATTTAGCTTTGGCTGAGTGACTTCTGCTTTCGCAGGACTCACACCTTCATGACTCCGCAGTGTTAATCTCAGTGGTTAGCTGAGTGGTCATGTTTATTCACCTTCAAAGTGGATGAAACCGATTGAGGTGGATAATAAGATCGTCGTTTCTGAGAGTGTGATTTACTCTGATTCTGCCAGTCATTCACCCCACTTTGGCGGTGTTGATGGTTTTTCCTTTGTCTGGGACAAAACCCACCGTGACGGGAGTCTGAATAACAACAGTTGGTCTCAAAGTTTACCTGGCATTGGTCTGAGTCAGACCTGGGCCTTGGTGTGTAACTTTGACCTTTGTGAGTTTGTTGAGGTCGAAAAGGTTTTGGAGGCCTGGTTAACCACTCATTTGGAGGCTTATTGGAGCCTGAAAATACACAGTCTGAAGCTTCGTTCAGCTCCACGGGCAGTGATTTTGTCTCCATAGCCAAGAGAGTAACGGGCTCTGCTTTCTTAGCCAAAGTTTGTCGTTGTTTGGCAAAACCTTTTACAGCAAGTTCACGAAGCTGTCGGCTAGTCAAAGTATTTGGACAAGCTAAGACGCCAAGGTGATGACTGGTGGTAGGGTGGAGGTTCTGGACGAACAGCGTTTTGAAGTTCAAGTCCTCCTCCATTTCTGGTTCATTTCGGAAACCAAAGTAAGCTTCGCGTAAGCGGTTGTAATAATGTTGGGGAGATTCTAATCTCCCTTGTTTAATAGACAGAGCAGCAGAGAGGCCTGTCTGGGTCAAATGATCAGAAAACTCTTCAATTAATGCTTGGCAGAGCAAGTCATAATTATTTCTGACATGATAAGGCTGTCGTTCAAGGAAACTGCTAACCTCTCGACTTGACGTTGCCTTAATAAGGTAGATTTTGTCATCAATGGTTGCACCTGGAAATTTCCTCAGGTAAAAGTCAATGTCTTTCAAGTAGGTGCAGGTGTCAGTAGCACCTTGGTGCTCAGGTTCAAAGCGTGCTATGTTGCGAGCAATTTTGTCAAGATCCCTGTCTGAGGGAGATGGTAAGAAGCCATCATGAGGAGGAGAGTAGGACTCTTGATTTAAGGATGACCTCTCAGGGTCAAGCAGGGTCCTGTCATGATGCTGAGAGAGATACTTAAGAGTTGGTTTGGAAGGAAGTGATGGCGCTCTCTCAGGAGGCTGATCACCTATCATTTCTTTAAGAAACGTTTGCTCCATGCGTTCTCTTTGGGCTCGACCTGACTGGAGGGAGCATTGTAACTCTCTTTGGGCATCTTCAAGTTCTTTGTCTGTCTTTTCTTGCCGTTCTTGACAAAGAATTAACTGTCTTTGAGCTATCTGGAGCTGGTGCTGTAAGGTAGAAGTTTGCTTCTCCTTAACTTCAAGAGCTTCAGCACGCACTTTGACCAGTGCTTTCAAAGCTTTTACATCTCCTGTTGCTTGCTCTAGCAGGGATTCTGACTGTATCAGATCCTCTGTGGTCTTAGCAAGCTGCTTATTCGTGTCATCAAGTTCTTTCTCCTTTTTGTAAAGGGTCTCATTAAGTCTTTCAATCTTGTCTTTAAGATCAAGATTTTCTTCATGACTTATCAGTGAGGGAAGCTTTGACGCTTCACATCTGACACTGTGTTTTCCTAAAACACTTAGAGACTTCTTAGTCTCTTCTAGCGTCTTTTTCAGAGCGCTGTTTTCGTCTTTTTGTGCCTTTATCTTTGCTAAAGCGCATTCCAGCAAGTAGTCTTTATACTCAAGCTGAGAAGACATCATGACAGACATGCATCTAGTGAGCTCTTTGTCACGAAGTGTCGTGGTTAAGGCTGTTTCCAGTAAGTCAGCCATTTCATCCTCCGGATTGGAGGGTTTGGCCTTTTGAATCTTAGTCATGTACTGAGGTATCAGCTGACTAGTCAAGTTTGCCAACACTGTGGGTATGTCCCTCAGGGGGTCTCCCTGGCTGGACTCTTTTGTGTTAGGCATGTTTGGTTTTGGTAAAGAGGTGCAGCTGGTTGGTTGATGAGTTTGAGTTGACTTAAAATAAAAGGAAGAAGCAAAATATCAAATTAAGTGGGTTAATCGACTTAATTTATCAGTGCTTGATAAAGAGAAAGAGCCTATCTGAGTAGATCTCTAATGGAGAGAAAAATAACATAAAGTTAAATTCATTTCAATGAAAATTGAAAGAAAAACAAGGTGAAATAATGTTAAATTAAATTTAACATCAGATACAGAACCATTGAATAAAGGGTTCAATTTGTCTCCGTGTTGCAGAGATCAGCAAAGATTAAATAAACTGCCTGATGCAGTAGGATGAATTGGAAAAGATCTATGAAATTGTCAATTTAAGGAATTAACTCTGAAATTAATTCACAAATTGCAATAAATCCAAAGGTTCAACTACCCAAATCCATCTGGAATGTTAAAAGAAATTTCAAATATTAATTAATTTGTGCATTAATTAATTAATCTTATGAGGAGGGTTAATACATTCATGTATTATAGGGAACAGTAAACTGCTCAATGGTGTGATAAGTAACAACAAGATCAGGTGATTGATTCAAGGAGTTACTTTATCAATACATTATGGAGGCTCTTATAACAAAGATAAAAATCAAAAATCAATGATCAATGATTTAGAATAAGCACATCAAACTTCATCAACCAAGTCAATCACTTGAGTTATGTCTGTAGAGTGTTACACACTGACTACAGAGAGGCAGTACAGCTAGCTGATACTGCAGGCAGATAATAGCAGTGTTAGCTCAATACCAAAAGCAACCATGTGGGGCAGTATGGAGTTGGGAGAACTGCACAAGCTCAACACAAGTGGAGAAGAAGAAGCAAAGAGGAAACAGTCATCCAACTAGCCTCTTGTGGCTGTGAGGAGTTGGGAAGTCTGCAGGAAGGGGCCTTTAGGCTCTGCCTCCTCGAAGGGCCTTATCTGCTTAAGGCCAAATGGTCAGTCTCTACACTGACAACAAAGGGTTAACATTTCACAGCAGGATCGTCTGCACCCTCAAACATAGAACTTTACACCATCTGCTCAGGCAGATTGGTTCAATAAAATCATTTACAGGAACAAGGATCAAAGTGGCAAATCCTTAAACAGCAGATTCAACTGCAGACTTTAAAATCACAAATGCTGCGATTTGTGATCACGAATTTTGTCTGAATTCATTCAAACAACAACCTCCCACTGTTACAGTGGTTTCCTGTGACAGGTAGCTAATCTGTCAGGGGAAAGGAGGAAATCTGAATCCCGTATAGTTACTAGAACCTCGTAGCAGACTACAGAGACTTCAGGGGCTTGAAACCACAGCTCGGAGCATCGCGAACACTGGGTTCAGCCAAAGGCCTTAAATACAAGCGTACGGCGACGCAACAATCGTGCACTTAAATATTGGACAGTCTAGACAGAGCAGAGGAGTCAGTCTCACTGCTACTCAGAACAACATTTCACGCTGTCCAGCTCAAACACAGACTACAGGCATGTAGTACAAAAGTGTGTGAAACACAGAGCATAAAGGTTTTATGCATAGATCAGGAAAACATCAGAACTTAGTCAAGCAACTTCAGCAAGCATAGCATTGATTGTGATCAAGTCTAAAATAGCCTGGAAATAAGTTTCTCTCATCAATTTGGAAGGCTAAGTTTTAGGTTGTCTGTTAGTATCCAGAAGTTTTGTTTGAAACGCCTCACGCAGGGGCACCAAAATATATGTAGTGATTTGAAATGAGCCTCATACGGTCGCACCAAAATATATGTAGCGATTTGAAATGAGCCTCACCAGGCCGCACCAAAATAATACTTGGCGATTGGAATTTATAATAAATGTCTGAAGATTAATAATCTCAAATTATGACATTTATGCACTCGTTGAAAGGGGCACCACCCACCCTTAATGGTGGGAAAATAAAGAAAACAAAAGTTTAATTCAGAAATCAAACATCAAGTCAGTTTTAATTAATCAGTCTTAATTAATCAGTCTTAATTAATCAGTCTCATATCTTAAGTCGAAATTCTAATTTCAGGGACTCCACTTCTGGAAGAACACTAACAGACAGGAACTTAGAAAAATAATGATCTGTTTATTACAGGATAAATGATGGTACAACACACATGCAATAAATGATAAGATGATGAAGATAAATAATAATAGGTGAATAAATAAAGATTCTGAGTCAGGCTAGGAGCACTAAAGTTAATGATAGTGAGTGAATATGCGCGAACATATTAACCTACACTAACTTTGGTGTCGAGATAAACTCGGGTGTAGATTTGGAGGAATCTAAGATCACCAGAAATAGGTGGATATCTGAGTTATGAACGCGTGAGACAGCATCAGCCCTGTCTGGAGCTCTGGAGGTTTGCATACTTAAGTGAGACTGGTCCTTGGAGAAGATGGAGCAGGTTCCGAAGGTCCGGGGCTACTGGCGGTTCGAGCGGTTCAGCTCAGAAGACGACTGAAGTCAGCCGAAGGATGAGCCAGGAGTTGCAGCACTCGGGCCCGAAGCAAAGCCAGCGCCTGTGGATCCTGTGGATGCTCGTTTGGGTACTTCTTTGGTCTCACTCAAAAACTCTGGCACAGAGGATGACCTGGGCCTGCTGGGTTGCGTTCAGAGGTGACTTTGAAATCACGCAGAAAACTCAGAAAAACGAGGCTCGAAGAGCAGAGAAAACTTTCAAAAATGGCTTCGCGAAATTAAAGAAAAATCAATCAAAGGCTTAATCTTGAATTGCTATGCGCACAAAAAGTTGAAGTTTCAAACTTGAACTAAGACGATGTTAAAGAAAAATCAACGTGAATCAACACGTGGCGTAAAACTTAGAAGACTAAGAAAAAGTTCTAAGAGAAAACAAAGAAACGCACCACAGAAGGGTGTGGACAGAAGAGAAGGGGCATAAGAGCCGGGGACAAGAGAGTCAGCAGAAGAGCAGAAGCATAAGAGGAAAGTAAGAGGCATAAGAGAGTGAGCAACCCCACTTCACTGGTTTTATCTTCTCACACTGGGTGTGTCTCCGGCGTGTGGGTGTGAGGAGACAGAGGAGGGGTCGTGTGGTCTTTGATTATTTGATCTAACTTATTCTTTTGGCTGGCAAAAGAGTCAGATCTGATACTCACTCACTATGATTAATATCATTGAATGTTTGGTTTCATGATAAATAATTTGATACTAAACACATATGAATGAAGTGTAGGATCACATCAAACATTCTCATTATGTTTTAAGTATCACATTGAACATGCTAAATTACTCTGAAATGAAACAGATAGTAACACATGGAAACTGTGAACAACAAAAGAGTAAATACATGTGAATGAACGTCATCATGATTAATAATGGATTCTAAATACTCACATTAAGGTTATTCAATGACATTATAACCACCTAATGGTTAAAAATACTAAATAAACGATTAGAATATAGACCAAACATTTCTAAACTATTTCTGTGTTCATAGAGTAAAGTTATGATCCATAGTCAATAAATGTAACTCTTAAAAGTTCATGAAACAGTCTGAAAAGCTGTTGGTCTAAAGAACTAAAGAGCGATAACTCGGCTTCTGGAGCACATAGAAAAATGGGAAACATCTCATTTTAACACAAATTTCATGATTAGACAGATTAGTACATTGCTGAATGCATAAGATGTCATGATCAGTCATTTGTATTCTTTCACCAAAGGAATGCAGTCTTTATCAGTGTATGGTCGAGCAGGGTTTTACGACCGAGGTCTGGAGGTCAGTGTCCCCCCTTATCCTGGGGTCCGTATGTTCACACACTTTAAGACGCTAAATCTCAAATGGGAGATCTGGGTTAATGTTTATTTAGATGGTCAGCAAATGGAGTCAGTTTGAAAGGTAATAAAAACTCTGTCTCTGTTCGCCGAACTGACCAATCCTGAAGAGTCAGAGGTTTAGTCAACCTCCGGTTGGGTCACTTATTTAACCTGAAAGGGCAAACACGTCTGGAAAGATTTATATCCTGTTTCCTGGGACCAGATAAGGAAACTTTCCTGTAAGGAATGTGTGGGTTTCACATCCAGGGTTGTCTTGATTGCTACATGGGGATGTAAATAATAATGTATAAACAGAAAGATTAATGCATGTAAAACAAAATCTGTGCAGTTGGAGTAGGGAAAAAAGCTGCACAGTTGTCAAATAACTATGCAACAGCACAGATTTAAAGACAGTAGCAGCACAAACAGACATTAATTAAGCCCAGTGAGTATTAATATAAAGCATAAATCAGATTGAAAGGCTTATCTTTAATGTAATGTCAAGTGTCTCTGGGACTAGATTAAAGTCTGTGTTGTGTGTAGGCTGAGGTGTCCTGCTTTATGAGGGACTGCAAACACGTTTTCTGCATCCTGCAAACTGATACGATCAGTGCATTAACATGTTATTAAAAAGTGATTTATTGCCTCAGACTGGACCGGTTGGGGATCATTTTTCTCTTGCATGTATGCAGCACAATCAAGCAGAAACTGGCCTAAGTGTTCAGCGCATGCACCAGGGTTTAGTGCCGGGCTTATAGCTTTATAGAGACACAGATATCCTCTTTCAGCAGGACCTGGTACCTGCCCACTGTGCCAAAACTACCAGAAAGAGGTTTGCTGACCATGGTGTTACTGTGCTTCATTGGCCAGCCAACTGGCTTGACCCGAACCCCATAGAGAATCTCTTGGGTATCAGATGAGAGACACCACAGTGACAATACAGATGAGCTGAAGGAGTGATCAAAGCAGAACTGAGTGCATAAATGGATATTATTTCCCAGAGGAGCGACATTTCTGTCTTATAAATCCTTTTATTTTATTGATGTGGACTCTTAAAAGCATGGTTGACCATTGGAGAGATTGGTAATTATAATGAACCTCGTTTATATGACGATCATGGTCCTACAGTGCGATCTTCACAAAGATCTCCACTTCTGCTTGCCCCACCGCCAAAAGTGAGATGAAAACGCAAGCAGACAGAAGAGAAGGCAGAGACAAAGAGGAAATGTGACCAAGCGAGGAATCTAACTTGAATGGTTGAGAAAGCTCTGCCAGGATTTGAGCCTGAAAATGTGGGAGCGAACAATAGGCATGTTTTTGAGCAAAGTTCTTGCGAAACAGGATACAGGCATAGAGAGTCCAGGTCATGGTGAACTTTCCACACATGAATAATGGTTAACTCAAGAAGAAAATCGTCAGAGCCGGCCAGCAAGGATATGTGCATGTTTACAGAAGAAGTCACGTTGTTGGCTATCAGACACCAATGTGAAGGCCTCTTACAGGAATAGGACTAATGACGCCATTGGAGTAGTATAAGAAGGCAACGAAGGAGCAGTTCTAGGGATTCTAGGGATTGTTGGGGCTTTGACTGTCCGTCTGTCGTGAGTTGTGTTTGATGCTGTCACTAAAATAAAATCCCAGGAGAGGCTGCCAGCTCGATTCTATCTTCGTGTGGTTAATTTTTGCACTTCTATGAATTCCACCATATGAGTGGCGAGCCAGCCAGGAGCCGCGACACCGAGACAGCAGAGTTTTTGTTGAAGAGGTAATTTTTGCCTTTTATTGTGGCACATGTTACATAAATAACTTTCATTAGTCTCTGCAATGTCAACACGGTAGCTGTCCAGGCAGGTGCAGATGGCGCTCGCTAGCAGAGCTGGCATTTACTGCCGGTAGTCACTAACAATGCGACATGTTGAATCCTATTTGAAGCTAGTGTAGGATCTTCTGCCTGCTTCTTGTTCTGCAAGAGGGGGTGTGTTGTGGTAAGAGTGATAAAGGTTCAGGGGGACAGAGGGGAGAGGTTTGTGTGGGGTGGTGGGATGCTTTTTACAAATCTGCCTCAACGGCTCAGTTTTCTTCAACTGCTTCTCCAATCTTCAACCATGCCTTTAAATTTCATAATCATCAGGAGAAAGACATGACTAAAACCAAAGGGACGAAAAGTTTTGGCAGAGCGTTTAACCGCGAGAGCGAAACAGAGAGAGACACACAGATTCACACCGACCGAAAGGTGAGAGAAAAAGTTCAAGCAAGAGCGAACGAGAGATTTGAGAGAGATTGTCAAAATGTCGCAGGTGGAAATGTCAGCGATGAGGTGGAGAGGAGTCAAACTGAGCCAGAGCAGGAGGTTGAAACTATAATTAGTGTCTGTGAGTCACCGTGAAGTGGTCCTGTGTGATGTCACCCGCTCTCCGTCCTCTGTATCCACCACCAAGGACAAGCACCGGGACTAGCACGTCCTGACCTCCAACCTTTCTGAAGAACATGCTGTACGCTGTCCGGTTTTCCTGCTGCACAGCCTCCGGTCTCCCAGGTTTCAGCACGGACTGTGTGTGTGTTGTAATGACCTCGTCACTATTTGTGGGGTCACACTCATGCCTGCTGTGACTACATATGTGTATGAGTGTGTGTGTCTTTTTCCAGTTTCCCCCCTCTTTCTTTTTATCTCCAGGCGAGGAAGAGCAGCTGCTGCATGACTGACAGCAGAATCAAACTGCTGGAGCAAACACCGCCCGCCTGACCATCTTGCCGGGAAATCAATGTAACATTGGAGCAAATCAGAGCCACATATGAGAGACAGCCTCTGTATGTTCCTCCTCTGTGACGCGGACGACCGTGGTCCGTGTCATGCTGTTTTCCTCCTCACTGTGGTATCGCAGGGAGACAGGCAGCAAGCCCCTGTGAGGGAGCAAGTCAGCGAATGACAGACACGCGCTTGATCTTTGAACCTGCGTTACAAATGGTATTCAGACTAACAGACATGGTCAAAGCCGGGAGAGATAGGAAGGTGGAGGCATTCAGACAGCTGACAAAAATAAAACAGAGATGAAGAGCAAAAAAGAGTGGAGAAATATGTGAGTTAGTAAGAGCTTCACTCACTTTTTTATCAAGGGGGAGGCAATTTTAAGTGCTTTAACTGAGGTGTAGAAGGGCTTTTTTAAAAGTACGCTAGAAAACTGAAAAAAATTTGAAAAACAGTAAATGAATGAGACATATTTAGATAGATAGATAGATAGATAGACAGATAGATAGATAGATAGATAGATAGATAGATAGATAGATAGATAGATAGATAGATAGGTGGTTTTGTAATGTGTGTATGCACCACAGCAACTAGGCAATGGTCTGTAAGGAGACAATTCATGAAAACACTAATGTTTATAATGCAGGACTTAAAAACTAAGATAATGTTTGCGTAAGTAACCAAAAAGTCAACAACATTTAGTACTTAAAGCTCCAGTGAGGAGTTTTTAACATGTATGTAAAAGACTGAAATTCACAGTGATGCCATTTTATGATTTACAAAAGCGAACAAGACCATCAATGACAAGATCTGCAGGATTTATAGTGTAATTTTTAACAGCTGCAACCAGTGCAGGAGGGTAGGTGTCAGAAAACAGCATTTTTTTATTAAATATTCACAAACAATGACAGACCTGACTGTCAAAAGTCATAAGGATGAGATTTTTTGTCAGAAGTCCCTACTTAATCATGTAGAGGACAAGATATGCAAAGACTTCTCTGTTTTCCAATGATACTAACAGAAAGTTACTTATAGTGGCTTTAAAAACACATGTAAGACACTCATACTTCTCAATAGCTGTATAAACCCTGAACACTCATCCATGTTTAGAAAGAATGCCACTTTTGGACTTGATTTAGACCCTTAAGTTCTTGTGTTAGATGCTGTGTTAATGATTTCACTTGCCTGTTATTTGCCTCTAATTTTCCTTATTTTTCTGTTTCAGTTGGGGAAGTTTTCTTGTAATATATTCTGCAAATTAAAGTTGGTAAAAGTGCAAGTTAGATCGGGAGAATCTCCAAGTTTAATATCAGAAACTTTGTAGTTTAAGACTCGCCACATTGTTCTGTATTACTGACTAAAATGTAGCTTCATTAGTCTTTTCAGTGCGGTCTGTTTTCCAAAACTTTGCTAAATTATTTCTCTGTTTTTTTTGTTTTCTTATTTCCACAGAAATGTTTGATATCTAATTATTTTTCTGTTATTTCCAGAATAAACAGCATTCTGGTGCCAAAAGTGAATATTTATGCCTGGTTAATCACACTCCAACCACTACGATCTTTCTGTTTATGCTACAGTTTAACTTGAAGATGATTTTACATATCGTTACGGTCTTCATGGACAT